CAGGAGACCCGGGCAGAATTCGAGGTCGTCATCCAGATCAAAGGACCGACCAGCCTCGAATCTTGCACGAAAGGCTGTCACAGCCGGGGCTTCCGCCAATTCCCGCATACTCTTGACTCCTCGGAACTGACGCTGAGCATTCTGCGAGGCCATCTTGGGGGCACGACGAGAGCGCCCGTGGTGGGTATTTGATGCAGACTGCATATGAGCACCATGGTGAGGGTGTTGCTGGTGTTGCTGGTGTTGGTTGTAGAAGTAGGCAGACATTGTGTAATAAGCTGGCACTCGACAGTTGAGAGGATGAGTTGGATATAAGAAGAAAGTTACAAAAAAAAGAAATAGAAAAATATAGGAAAGATCGATGGGATTGAAAGAGGAAAGGAAAGGATTAATGAGAATGAGAGTGTGTGGGAAGAGGCGAAGGGAAAAAGAGGGGAGGGGTGTGTTATGGGGACTGATGGTAATGGTTACTGTCATTACTATTTATTACCATTTATTACCAATTAAGGGAGTTAGTTCAGTGCTCACTTGTGGATTGTTACAGTTTTGTACTGTCAGGCATAAAAAGACACTTACATCGACGCACCAACCAGACCTAAGCGCTAACGGAGTGGCAATAGCCTCAAAACCAATGATAACTCGTAGATCCTTCTCCAATCCTCTAAAATGGACTTTCAACGGCCCACCAAAATACTGAAAAAAAAAAGAAAAGAAACGAAAAAGAAAAACGTGACGTCGTCGACAATTGGAACGTTACCCGATTTGGAAGATCTCTTAGTGATGACACTGCCTACATACCAAGGGCCATCTGGAGAACTTTACTTGGGACTCTAATTAGGTATGTTGTATTTGCCCTACAATGATGATTGTCGCATATTGAAATACTCTTTATTTTTATCTAGATCCGACATTACCGAAATTGTCAATTTCTACAATCACACATGAAATTGTATCATCGAAAATGGTACTCTGTAAGCTGTCCGGAAAAGTAAATCCATACTCCGTACTCTGTTCCTTGGTGGTTGGGGAAGCTGAAATTTTTCTCAGCCCTTCGGGTCCCCCCTTTAGCTGCAGGCTGTGCAGGGCATGGCTTTTCCCAGGTACATTCCCCCTCTATTCTCCCCATAGGGTGCCCGAATCGGCAGTGGCGGCTGATCTTGCTTGATCGGCCCCCGTAACGAATTCCCCAATCCTTCGACACGCAGCGCAAAGACCCGAAAATGAAAACCTTGTTGGTCTCGAGACACACCCACAACCCTAGCTGCAGATGAACCCGCCTATTATTGGTAGGGGGTTTTACCTAGGTAAGATCCTACCTTATCAGCTCACACTCTTCCAAATCGGAGTTCATCGATGCGGAATCCGGACTAGGGCAGGGGCTTAAGGCGCCTTCTCACTTTTACGCTGGGTAGCATTGCCTACCCGTGACTCACTACATTTCCCATGCGACCGAATCAAAAATCAACGGTGAGTTCCCACTCTCCCACTCTATTCAACGTGTGGTATATGTTGTATTTTTCGATCTGGGACCTATTTCCGTATATTTCATTTATTTTTAGTCCTGGGATATGCCCTGGACCTGGAAAAATGCTCACTCGGCGCCTACTGGAGCATAACCCTGTTGCATGAGGTGCCGACCTTCCATCTTCCACCAGTGATCACTTCCATTCTATTACACGGCCCCAAAAAGGATTAAACCCAAAACTCTACTAGAACCAACGTAGTACTGAAAGCTGTCTCTCCAATTTTCGGCTTCACCGCCCCTTTGGCTATTTCCAAGGTTGGGACACAATCTCACGAGGCGCAGTCGCACGCACCTGCCGAGATCGGATATATCACATATCCTACCCCGTAAACGTTGCCCCCGAAGCTTGAATTATGCATTTGATCTATCCAGCGTCTATGCAGAGTGATTTGGTGAGTTGGTGTCTGCGTGAGATCGCGGGGTCCCAATGCATGAAATATGTAATTCAGTGAGGGACTATTACCCTGCGATCCGATCCCCAGATACACCGCGCAAGGGACTTGCCAAACACGATATTCAACTATTCTGGCCCTGGTTAAATTGCAAATATGTGAGATCTATATATTACATCGTGGCAAATGTTTCCGTACTTCCGAGTCGGAAGGTGGTTTCAGACTCTGGGCGTTATTGAAATGGCGATTTGCGGAGTCGAGGCCTCTTTGTTGCATGACAGCATGACAGCATGACAAACAGATAAGTCTAGATTCTAACATCCTTTAAGAATTCTAGTTTGTTTGAGTTGAGTTTATCTTTATTACCCTTGAGTAATTTTTACATACATTTATCTATAGAGCAGGCAACTCTGTTGTTGCACACAAATGTGCTACACCCCTCGTAGCAACCTTGGAAGTTAATTATTTCTTGATATGGAGTAATCAAAGCCAGCAGCTATTGTTTGGAATACAGGCCCTCAACGGGCCTCATATCCTTGCATTCTACATTCTATCACCGAATAATCGTTTCCTTTGTCTACATAGAAAATCTTAAACCCAATCTTTGATTATAGTAGGGCCATGCCATGAACGCCACACCGTCCGCTGGTTTTGTGTTTTGTTTATTTTCTCTCCCATAGCAACACCACGCAAGATAAATAGTTATCGCAGCATAAACTAACTGAGAGCCAAGAACCTCAGAAGACTGTATATGTAGTCCATGAATTGAGGATTGGGAAGAGGCGACGTCTGCAGCGAATATAACCCCCGCCCCCTCCATTTTCTCTTCTTCGCCTATTCCTATTCGGATAGTATAGAGTATTGCACAGCGTAAAATGGCTTTCAATTATAATAGCTCTCTTAATTTTAATAGACACCGACCGCTGTCGATAAGAGAGAACCAGAACTGGTGATATGAAGCCGGACGATGAATCCGATAGACATTGGGGGTGTCGTTCTCCATGGTCTTTTCACACAGTTCTACATGCGCGAAGAGGGTTATAAAAGATGTACAATGCAGGTTGCCTCTCCTACCAGGCCAGATGACAGGTTGGCAATTGATGGATAGTGTCCGACTTCTCATCAGTTCAACGTTCTCAAAGTAGCACAATTGGTTTGAACACGCTGTAGTAGATAGAAAAAAAAGACCCAGATAAGTCTCTAATTGCCTGTTCAACTGTTCCTAAACGGGTTACCCATTTTACGCGCACTGATTGATTGCCTCGGATAAGATGGGGGTGATACGGATATGGAGAAGTCAGGGGCTGTTTCTGGTAGGTTTTGCTGGCGTAATGGTGATGGTCAGGGATATATGCGAAAGAGAGAGCAAAAACATTTCAGATGTTCGTTCCCTCAATGTACGCAGAAAAAGTGTCCACAAAAGGGGCAAAAAACTAGTCAAAACTAGATCAGACATACGTGGATCAGCTCCCTATCTGGGGCAATGAGGTACCGATATATACGTTGTAGGGGTTGTATTAAAGTAAAAGATGCGGGACAGCATCACTTGTCCAAGTTCTTGCTCTTAACCATCCTCCCAAGCAACTCCTTGCAGTTCTTTTCGCTGTATTGCTCCCATACCTCGTACAAGGAGACCAGCTCCTGTGTACATTCGATGACAGCTTTGATATCCACCTCGCTTTCCGCAAGCCAGCCGATAAGCTTCTGAATTTTAGGAGGAGGGCCGGATCCAGTTTTATCTGATAAGGCGGCCAGCATCTGCATACCGCCTCCATCTCTCATAGAGCCTGCCAAAGCCGATTGACCGGTTCCGGGATAGGTAGATGGATGGGTGGGTTTGAATACGACAGCGACGATGATCGCCATGATCGCAATAACGTGAGGCGGGTGTAAAAGTGGTAGATCTGTCAGATAATGATCGTTGATTACGGACCAGGCGAGAGCGACTTCATCCGAGGTGAGTGATAGTTCGGTTTGAAGTTCGGACAAAGTCCGATAAGGATGATGCACGATGAGTTGCGAGCTCAATTCGGATATTAAAGCAAACTCGCATTCTCCGAGCTTCGCCACATCCGGGGTAATGAATTCTGTGAATAGTTAGCATTTGGTTTGTTTTATGGCTTTATGTATGGATGCATACCTGGCCACAGACCACGCGCTTCGCCGACCACAAAGCGGATATGCTGTGGGCACTCTTCCATCTTACATGCGAGATAGAAGGCTGTGGTGAGTACAAGGTATGGACTTGTCTGCCGAATCTCATTCTTGGTATAGAACCTCTTGAGATATACCTGTGCTGTCGCAATGGCCTGCTGTCTGGTGGACATGCGTTTGCCAAGCTTGATGAGCTCTTGTGGTTTCAATTAGCTTGAAGTTACATTCAAAACAATGAACATATCAATATAACCTACGCTGGTTAAAGTAGATATTCAGTAGTCGCTGATCTGGCAACGAGAACTGCGAATGGGCCACTTTATCTTTCTCCCGTAATCCTTCACGGATATCTGCTAATTTCTCTCTGGAGAATAGCCAGTGTCGACGTTGGGTTGATGCCCAGTAGTTGGCTGCCATATTGAAAGTATGATGATGCAAGGCTCATAAATCGAAAGCCGTCACGACATGGTCCGAAGTCCGGGGGTGGGCTATACCGCTGACTCCGCAGATCACGTATGAAAATGAAATGAGATGATACAGAACCAACACAAGAAAAAAAAAGAACGAAAAGCAATCAAACAATCAAATAACCAAACAACCAAGCAATAAATATCATATAAGAATCAATTTATCTAATATGAGGTCAGTTTGTAATCCCAAAAAGGGATAGTAGGGCTTGGCCCTGGTCCCGTGCAAGATAATCCGGCGTCAAAGCCCTTGGGAAGGTCAATGGTCAAATCGCTGGGCGCCTATTAATCAGAGCCAATTTATCCAGAACCTCGGGAGCCATATCATATTCATAACTTTTTACCTCACGTCATCCTTTTTATGTTCCCCTCGATCCTCTCCCCCTCAACTTCTAGGGGTCTTTGAACCTCCCTTTATAACAAAGCATCAAAAATAATGGTTGCTCGGTAACAATTTTCATCATGGCATCCGGAGAGTCAAAAGATGAACGCGACAAACGAGTCGACAAACTTTGGGAAACCTTGGATACCCGAAAAGAGGGCCATATCGACCTGACTGAGTTAAAGAAAGGGTTAAAGAAAATCGATCATCGTGAGTTTGACCAGGCTCCTTGTTCTATACCGGCGCGTTTGTCTAATCTGTTCTCATTTAGCTCTAAAAAATGCAGACGATATGGTACTGAGTGTCGCCCGGGAGGTTGACACGAATGGCGATGGACGTATCGACCAAGCCGGTAAGCTCACGAAAATCACCTCGGCACCATTTGGGGAAGGGGTTCCCTGGCCAATGTTTGGTCCAATCCTAATCACCACCAGAATTCCGAGCATTTCTCAACCACACCGAGGACGGGCTATGGCAGATGTTCCAGAGTATCGATCGAGATCACAACGGAGAAATCGACAAGATGGAATTAAAAAACGCCTTTGCGCGTTCCGGAGTCACGGTTTCGAGCGCTAAGTTGGACCGGTTTTTCGCGGAAGTCGACAAAAACAATGACGGGGTGATTTCTTATGCAGAGTGGAGGTATATGCATTCTCACTGGTCAAAGTAAAGGCTGAACAGCCTAGGCTAACATGAAATCTTTTTTTTTTTCTTTAGGGATTTCCTTCTATTCCTCCCTCTCCAATCCCCGACCGACCTTCACGCAGTCCTTTCATATTACACGGCCACGGGCAATCTAAACCCGGAAGGAGATGTCAATATCAATGACCTGCAGGGTTTAGGTACAGACCATCCGTTTCTTTCATCTTACATTCTAGCCATCCAACACCTTTTGTACAACATTTTGTCCCTCCCCGCCTTGGCGTCCCTCCTTCCCTCCGCGCATGCGCAAACCAGCCATGTCTCAAAGTTGGCACCCGTTTTCGAGCATGATTTTGTCTCGCTAGACGGCGACTTGGAGTTGGAGTGGTTGGCTCTTCCCCAGACTACCGCCATGCGGATGTTTTTCCGATATTATGGACGGAAGTTGACCGAAAATACCCCTCAACTAGGCTACTTCCTTGCAGGTGGAATTGCGGGTGCCGTATCGAGGACGGCCACCGCCCCCTCGATCGTCTCAAAGTTTATCTCATTGCACAGATTGGCGTCAAATCAACGGTTCAGGCAGCTAAAGGCGGAGCCCCGTTAGCTGCGGCTGGGAACGCTTCCAGAACATTGTTCGACGCTCTCAAGGAATTATGGCGGGCTGGGGGAATACGGAGTTTGTTCGCAGGTTCGTCGCACTTGTCGATCTGGACTCAAAGCGGCAACGACTAATTATAAACAGGGAATGGCTTGAACGTGGTGAAGGTCATGCCAGAGTCTGCGATCAAGTTTGGTGCCTACGAGGTTTGTACTCTCAGTATTGGATTTGGTCTATACAATTAGACGAATGCTGACCCGAGAACAGTCTGCGAAACGAGCATTTGCACGACTCGAAGGGCATAACGACCCGAAGCGACTCCTTCCCACCTCACAATTTATGTCGGGTGGCTTTGGTGGAATGGTTGCCCAGTAGGTCTTGCGCGTCGTTGATGAGAGGAGAATTGGTTCTGATTGTGACTAGATGTTTTGTTTATCCCCTCGATACCCTAAAGTTGTGAGTACATCAGCCCAAGTGATTTGTTAGAGCACTGTGGCTTATAATTATCCAGTCGCATGCAGTGTGAGACCGTCAAAGATGGCCCGAAAGGCAATCAACTCATCGCAGCTACCGCAAGAAAGGTGTGGAACAAGAATGGCTTGGTTGGCTTCTTCCGAGGGCTTCCGCTTGGCCTTGTTGGGATGTTCCCCTACGCCGCGATTGATCTATCGACATTTGAATACCTCAAACGGACACTTCTAGCTAAAAAGGCCCGCGACTGTGGCTGTCATGAGGATGATGTACCCCTCGGCAACTTTGCGACTGGTGCGATTGGTGCCATGAGTGGAGGATTCAGCGCCTCGATTGTCTACCCCCTCAATGTTCTCCGCACCCGACTTCAAACCCAGGGCACGATAATGCATCCGCCCACATACACAGGGATCGGCGAGGTCCTAAGCATCACACTCAAAACCGAGGGACCCCGTGGTCTTTACAAAGGTCTCACCCCCAACCTTCTTAAAGTGGCACCGGCTATGTCGATCAGCTACGTGGTCTATGAGAACGCGAAACGCATACTTGGCCTACGATGATCTGCTAGTCCGAATAAGCCCTCATTTCATCTTCCTCGCACTCCCCCGCGGACACCATTCAGCCATTTGCGTGCATTTTTGATACTCGCACTGGTGCATTCATTCCGGTGCCTTTGAATCGATCTTTGCTATTTACTGGCTTGAAAGTTGGAAGCGTTGTCCCCAAGATACCCACAAAAGCCATTGACAGACATGGCACACCCCCTCGATCATGGGTGCATCTCAATGGACCCCATTCTCATTTTTGATCTCTTTGCCATATCATGAGAGATCACAATATTGGCTTTTCTTTTTTGCATTCACCTTTGTTTGATATCAACAAGGCTTCATTGTAATTTTTATTTGCTTTCTATTGCTTATGTTGTGCTCGCTTGAGACAACTGTACTTTTGACCAACCTTTGATACAGGGGACTGGGAAACTCACCATCAACCACATCAGCATGGCAAGGCGTCAATACAATACCACGGGGCTTTTTGATTTCCATTTTGTTAATTACAAGAAAATCTACACGTTTGGATAATATATATGAAACTTTTCTTGACTACCATTCTGATTGCTCTTAAATTGCCCAGTTTGCGAGTTGCAAATAGGGCATAATCACTAAACTTCCTTCATGGACAAACCCCTTATTTGGCTGCCTGCACAGCCCTAACCTCCTCATCCTGAGGAAGGATATCCGGCACTGGCCCCAGAGGAGTAATAGCAAACTGATTAATCTGCGTGTGACTTTTAGTATAATGGAACTTGATGTGCTCAAAGTCAGTGGTATCCCGGAAAGCAGGGACTTCCCAATACAGCCTGCGCACCCAACGGTGAATAGCCGGGAATCCAGAACGGATATCACGCAGATTGCACTTAAAATGCTGCACGTAGACCGGGTCAAATCGAACAATGGTGGTGTAGAGTCTGATATCAGCCTCGGTGATCTCATTGCCGAAGAAATACGGCTTCGAGGCTGCTTGCTGCTTGACGAGGTGGGCTTCAACCTTGTCGAGCGAGGAGAAGAGCGTTGTTACGGCTTTCTCGTAGGCTTCTTGAGTGGTTGCGAAACCGGATTTGTATACGCCGTTATTGATGTCGTTGTAGATCCATTCGTTGGATGCATCGATCTCGGCTTGTAGAGCCTCGGGGAAGAGGTCAACCTTCTTGTATTGCTCGGGAAGGATATCGTCGAATTCATGGTAAAGCATGCGGATGATTTCGGAGCTCTGATTTTATAAGAATTTGGAATTGAAAAATGACTTCTTTTTGGAAAGATTGTTTCGTACCTCATTGCTTACGATCAGCTTGGTCTTCTTGTCGAAGAGAACTGGGACGGTGAACCGGCCCGTATATTCCGGGTCATTGGAGAAGTAGACCTGTCGGATATGGGTGAATTCCGGGTGTAGAGGATCGGGGATGGTGTTCTCCCCCGACAGTTTCTCATCGGGAGTAGCAAATCGCCAACCTAAGAGAGGAGTTAGAACCATAAAATTTCCCCATAGCTTGTGAGATAGGTCTGACCTTGCGCTCCAAGATGCCAATGCACCGAAGAGAAAGAGATAAAGTCCTCGAGACCCTTAAGCTTCCGGGCAATTAATGTCCGGTGAGCTAGTATATAATTAGTCACTGATCGAGTGTCAAGTCAATTAGGAGCTATTTCATACCCCAAGGACAGGCGTAGGAGACATAAAGATGGTATCGGCCCTTCTCTGGAGGAAATTGGGCGCCAGCCTCTCTAGAGATCCAGTTGCGGAAGACAGATTGCTGACGTTTGAATTCGCCCGACTTGTCGCCAGGTTTCACCCAATCAGTAATTGACATGGAATTTCCAGTCTTGAATTATAAGTCAGCATAGTTATCGGAGCTACTGTAGCTGACTCGTTTTTGTAATTCTTACAGCCATATTGCGGGAGTAGATGATTGGTACTGCGGGGAACACAAAGCTCTGGTAAGCTGCACGAAGAGGCCCTTTGCAAAGAATTGGACGTGAGAGATGCTTCAATGGTTGAGATTTTAACAGAGCAAATAACATAAATGGCAGAGAAAGTGGAATTTACACTTGTATATATAGGAAAGACAAAAATGTCGTTTCTGCGGGGGTCATGACGTTCGCAGGCATGACCAAACGCTGAGTCAGATTTGCTTATCGTAAGATCGATCAGCTTTGACAAAGCAATCTGGATGGTCTTGGCAAAGCCCATGATTTCCAAGATATTGATTTGTACTAATTTGTACACAGATGGCTTACATTGGTAATCTACACACATTTGTAGTTGTGGAGAGTCTGTGGAGAGTGGAATAATCATAAAATCTAGCTACTGTACTATCAATGTGTAGTCAATCGGATTTCCGTGGATTCTAATCGCCTTATTTTGTGAGCTTGACCATCACGTAAGGAACCTCGACATCCTCTTCTGTCTGATCTTCGGCGGTCACCTCGAAGATGATGTTCTTCTGGTGCTCGGGAACTGGCTTCTTGCTGACGTGTTCCACAAGCTTGCTCATACTGGAAGGTACAATGTTAGTAATTTGACTCACGAATGGAGCTGTAATAGAGATACTCACGGTAGAGGAAGGCGATCCTTGACCTTCGATGGGGGATAGAAGCTTGCATACAACAAGCTGACTCCAGAGCTGACCATGGTGATGTCCAAGCCCTTCTCGGCGAAGAAGTCGATGAACTCCTGGAGGGGAATATCTTCCACCTCGAATCGGTCCCAAAGCTTGTCAATTGTGACCTCGCCTTGCTTGCCTTGATACTTGCCCTTTTCGCTGCCGATTGGTTCACTGAAGCTAAATAGGGGAAGGGCCAAATTAACGAAGCCGTTCTTGTATTGCTCGATGTCATCCTTGCCGTCAACAATTTTGTACAGTTCGAGGGCAATAAGACCAGTGGCCAGGGCAGTAGTGGTGGCAATCGCTGGGATGATCTTTCCGGCGATAAATTTGGTCTTGTGTCGGTCAGCCTGAGGAATCTCATAGTTGTCTGCACGGAGGTTGCTAGCCGCAGTGATGAAGTCGATGTGGTGGTTAGTGTCATCATCCTTCTCAAACTCAACTGGCTGCAAGCGGAAACCAGCAAGAGACTTGGGCGAGGGAAGAGATGCCACCAGTTTTTGAATTTCCTCCTCATCAGTAGATGAACCAGCTGGCTGGGCATTCGGATCAGGGTCGTTTTCATTGGCCTGAATCTTGACATTCGAGCTCGGGGTGAACTCGGGGACGATCATGTCATCAACTACCCTGCGGTAATAGTCCTTGTCCGCACCGGGGTTTTTGATACCGTAGTTGAACGCATGGAGGTTGGCACCAGCAACGACAAATCCGATATGGGTAGGATTCGTGCTATCGAATTTTAAGGGTGTAGGGGCACGCTTAGGCCCAGACCAGAATGGTTGACCCGATGATGTCTTGGAGTCTCGGGGGAAGTTGTAGAGAAGCTGCTGGATCGCGTTGTTGTACTGCGCTTCAAATTGTTGGCGAGCCCATACAATACAATCATCGAAAGTTAAAGGTTTTTCAGTGACCAAGAAGTCACGCAGGTGCTCCAAGGTTTGCTTCTCATTACCCGCCTGCTTGAGGGTCTGCTGAATGTAGTCGGGTTGCGAGAGGTACAGGTTGACTGATTCAGGTGGGCCAACAAAGTAGGTTTGGAAAAGATCCCGTGCCCAGGCAATGGTGTGCTCAATGCGGTTCGGGAAACTCTTCAGAGTACACATAGGGAATGACTTCTCCGGAGGATCCTGAGAGCTGGAGTAAGACTCCGTGATGAAAGGAAGGACAACCTGTGTGTTACACTTGGTACCCAGGGTACCACTCTCCAGCAATGGCTTGCGGAAGAAGACACAGCGGCGATCAACATATGTCCGTGCGTCGACATTGTCCAAAGCGTTTGTCACACCATCAAGGTTGTTCCAAAACTCCTCGTTGAAGATGTGTTCAGTGTCGGCACCGACGCGATCACGAAGAGTCACAATCTTATCTTTCAATTCTGGGTTCATTGCTTGAGCGGCCGCAGACGCGCATTCACTCTTAAGTCTGCCAACATCCTTGGGACGGAAAAGGAATTGGCGGTTAAGATTGCTCTTCTCAATCTGGTCCATATCGGTGACGTAAAGCTTTCCTTTGGGCCCCGTACCCAAACCCATCATGGCCCAGTTCTTCAGGGTCTCACAACCGATAGCACCAGAACCGACCAAGAATTGGGTGACATTGGCAAGTTTGTCTTGGTATTCCTTGCCGAACACCGCAATTTGACCATCGTAGCGGGTGCCAAGAGGCTTGCAGCTCTCTTCAGATCGAGTGACCGATGAAGGCAAAGACTCCAAAGAGTCAAAGTACAACCACTGGTGCACAGGGCTGAACTTGCCGGAGACAGCCTTCAGAACTTCCTGGGCGGCGATGCCACCGAAGAAAGCTGCTAACGGGTTCAGATCACCGCGGGCCTGGTAGCTCAGCTCCTTGATTATCTTCTCGTCCAGTTCAACCTTTTCCTCACCAGCTGCAGCGAGATCGTTAGCGATCTTTAGGACCTCCTGGGCGTCGCTATCATTGTGGGGACGAGGCAATTGGCCATCGTGAGTATCCGCAAACTGATGAAGAGCCTGGATACCAATGTGCAATTGTTGTGGTCGGTCAAACTTGGCAAAGTCGGACGTGAGAAGCTCGGGCTTTTTAAGTTGATCCTCCAGCGACTGGAAATCGATGAATTTGGGCATCTTGACCTGAGTGAATAGACCACCGCCCTGGTAGGATCCTAGACCAGAGACATCGCCAATAGTGAAAGTATAAGGACCTTTTACAGTGACTTTGCGAGGATCACTGTTGTTTAGGCCATCCATGCCCTTGACTTCAGTGAAAGTGACAAAGTCACCATCCTCGAGTCCATGCCTCGTCTCATCGAGCGCCGAAACCAGCCCTTCCTCGTTGATATCCGCCACAATTCCACCAGCAGGCTCTTCGCCGTTGGGATCACCCACGGTGAAGTTCTTTCCAAAGTCATTGAAGATATAACCAAAGAGACCGAATGTATCCGTAATTGTGAGGTAGATTTTGTTTTTGTGGCAGAAGTCAGCAATCACCAGTTGCTCCTTCAAAGGCGTCTGTGTGAGCACCACTGCCTGGTAACGCTTTAGTTGCTCGAGATCGCCTACAAGGCTCTCGCCTTCATGGACTGTAACGGGCACGTAAGAGTTCAACTCGGCGACTCTTGGGGCGGTAACTTCAGCACGGGGCTTGCCGACGTCCTCTGGCTGAAGGAAAAACTGCGAAGAAAGATCCGAGATAGCAACTGGTGCGGGGTCGTATAGGGTGAGGGATTTGACACCAGCGAGGGCGATGTTCTTGGCTATGGAGACAATCAGACGTTTGGATGAAAGCAAAGTTTGATCAATAGTCGAACCACATACCGATTTCAACACCCAGGCCCTTGAGACCTACGATCAGAACATTGGAAGAGCCCATGCGCTTCATGGCCTCGTGACCAAGAACGTATCTCTAAGGTGTCAGTATATACTCGGGATTTGAATGTTATATAGGGATGCGGGGGGCTTACAGCTGTCGACTATACAATGATTCGTCGATCTCCCCATGCTTGATCGCTTCGATGGTTTCTTGGGGGTTCTCGACCTGCATCTTGACGTCCTTTGGTGAAACATATTAGCGGCGATCTTATCTCTAAGACCAAGGCTAACCATACCGTCATTGTTCTTTTATCTGGCCGAGCTCCGACGTCGTCTTCAGAGGCTCTGCGCTTTCCGGGCTTAGCCGCGTCTCGAACAGGAATGTTTGAAGGAATGATGAAAGTCAGGAGGTGAAAGCCTTGCGATAGAGCAAGTCTTTCAATAGTGATGATAAATCAAGTTGCAACGCCCAGCGTACCAGGTACCTAGCTCAACGAGCACGGAGAAGAGTAGCAATCCGAACGCAATCGGCGGATGATAGAGGGTTATGGAAGAGAAGTAAAAATGTAACGCTGTGTGAGGGAGGAGGTGCGAATAAGTAAATGACAAGTCAGTGCAAAGTAGGAGAGAGATCGAGAGAGGGAGGGACACCGACGTAAGAGGGGTGGCCCGACAGCTAAGGGATGACTAATGGGCGGTGAGAGTGCGATTGGCCTTTAGCCCCGCGATACTTCAATGAACCACTGGGAGCTATTGTTCTCGAGTTACAGAGTGTCTTGTTGAGAGTTGGAAGCTGTGATACATCTAGGTAGGTTTGAGGTTCGACTCTGGAGAATGACAACCACCCTTCTCTTCTCCGATTGGTTTTGAAGCCTGCTATTCCATCCGCCACGTTTGACGCGTCTCGGTATCAACGCGAAGCTTGGCGCCGTCAAACGCTCCAATTCATGTGTCGCTTTGAATTCGTGGGGCGCGGTCTATTATACTGGCAGCGAAAAAACTGTTCAGTGGAGAGAAGACATTTCTCTAGGTGAGATTTCTGCATATACGCCTATGATGAGCTCGTGATTGATATCCGATAGGGAACTCTCGTCAGAATGCTCCATGAGATCCTACTCTCCCTCTCCGGCCAGCCATCCCCCCTCTTCAGCACCCAAAAGGGGGAAAATGCTGTCACTCAAGATGATTTTCCCCTTCTTTCACCTCCGGAGAAAGCCCTCCTCGCCTCCGTTGCCCATCTGAGCCGACTCCACGTGCAGCTGCGGAAATATGCCTCCGATATATCCTCTGCGAGTCCATCTGTTATATGCCGCTCGGTCTCTACAGCTATTGTTGGAACCCATCTAGGTGAATTCCAGAATAAGATCCTGGAGGTTGAGAGGGCAATCCTTGCCGAGGATAGTGGATATGTCGGAGGATATGGTATTGTCCCATTGTCGACTATCGTGGGGGAGTTTGCACCATGGACGCGCCGCATGGAGTGGCTTTGGGCAGTTATCCGGTTCATTCAACCCGAAAGGAAAACCACCCAACTTTTGCATGATTCCACGGGGGCAGCGCTCATGGATCACCTGCGGACCGAAGCTCAAACAGGATATCTTGATATCAAGGAGATGGCCCTGCAATTGGCGACAGTGGCTGAGATGGCATGGATGAAGCAGCTTTCGATGTGGTTACTTTATGGGAATCTTCCTATCTACGGGAAGGATGACTTTTTCATCCAGGAGGATACCGAAAACGAGAATGGCGAGGCACAATTCAGCATAAACGTCCGATTGCTCCCAAATTTTGTCACGGCACAAACAGCCGGCTCAATACTATTTATTGGCAAATCCCTCAATCATATTCGGGCGAAACGGAAAACTTCAATAGCAGGAACCTCTACTGCGCCAGTGACGTTATACCGGGAGCACATCGACCAACTTGCGGGCCTGAAATCACCAATTTCGCCTTCAAAGCTGACTACCGCCGTTGACTCCATTCGCCTTTCTCTGTCTCAATCAACCTTGTCGAAATTGCTGCCCCTCCCGAAAATCCTGGAAATCCTTACTTTGCTTCATAATTTCCTTTTACTAGGACGAGGGGAATTTGCGGTGGCTCTTGTAGCACATGCAGATTCACGCATTGAGGAAAGCCGACACCGGGGCCTATCAGCGACCCGCCCATTGGAAAAACCTGGTGTTCTCCCCATCAAAGAAGGTGATGTCACAGCTGCTCTAGTTGAAGCATGGGCAGAGCTTTTCTCGTTACAAAAGGAGGAGGATCCAGCCGACGAAGAACTTGAACTTGCCCGTGACCTTCTTTGTCTGTCCACCAGTATCCGCAAAAGTGGCCGACCGATGACCCCTGCTCAAACTCCCAATTCAATATCTAAAATTTCAAAGGTCTCATTTGAAGACTTGCTCTTCCCCACACCCACAAACCTCACCGCACATATCCGAGCTCCTCTGGACCTATTTATCTCCAGCTCTGATATTGTCATATATTCTAAGATCCATTCTTATCTCTTGGGAATACGGCGGGCTCAGATCCGACTTGGAGATCTCTGGAAACGAACTCCACTGCGGCGAAACCACCCTACACCATGGGGGCCACCCAGAAGCAACAGTATCTTTGGCCAAGCTAAGCTGAAGGCAAGAAGAGATAGAGATAATGCTCGTGTTCGCCAAATGCGTCATATTTGGGCCACAGGAAGTGCATGTCTGTTTATGCTGTCTGAGATTGGTGGCTTTTTCCAGGGAGATGTCGTCAATGAGTCGTGGCACCACCTTCGCCAATGGATTGAAGGATGCTCTTCGTCCACAGCATCAGCCCCTGGATCCCGACCTGGAACAGCATCGTCTTCAAAATCGCATCACAGTTCCAAGACAGTGTCTCCCGGCCATATGCCTACCAAAGACTTCTCCGAGTCTGGCCAGCAGACCATGGGGCGGCACGACCCGGAGGCTCTCACGGTTGCCCACCGGCGGCACCTGTCATCTTTAGTGCACAGTCTCTTTTTGACTGAACTACCCTTCACACATACCATGAGAGGACTTCTCACATATATCGACCACTTCGTCGCTCTTGTGATTCGGTTGGAAACCATTCAACGCAATATGGATCTGGAAACAGATGAAGGCGTGGAAGATGCGTTGGTAGATTATGCCCACGAAGAATGCGAGGTATGGGAAGAGTTGCGCGCCACTCGAAACGATGTTGAGGCGGGTATTAAGAATCTCATTGGGAGCCTGCGAGACATTGACGATAGTCGCTCGGGAGAAGACCAGGGACCCGTTGAATTAACAACAAACTTCGGACAGATGTGGCCTGGTTCCCGTCAAGATGACAGGGCAAGCCTCGGCTTTAGCCACTACATGCCCCGTAAAGCACCGGGGGTAGATCGTCTGCTCATGAAACTAGATTTCGGCAGCCTTCGCAGCGGCTTCGGACCCGAGACGACTGCGGGTTTTGCGGGTATGCCATGATGACTGGAGCGGCCTATGAACTCTCATGGGTCTTTTGTCTTTATTGTACTTCGTTTACGACCACCTTCCCAGTGAGCAATTGGCGTTTTATCTTAGCGGCATCGGATAACTGGGACGGTTGACAGGAGTCTGGATATTGCACGGATCGTCTATTTTTCCTTTCATTTTCTTCCAATATTTCTTCGTGGCGGTCTTTGTAAAAGTTATTTCCTATGAAATAGAATTCAGTTCATCCATTGCTGCGGGATGGGGTGTGTCCGCCGGCCTATTCATTTGAAAATCAACCGCAGGAGAAAGTGTACACCGTGTTCCCGCAGATAACGTTGCTTATTTCTGTATTAACAGAAATACCATATAGCCCTTATCTGTGCTCTGTACTAAGTAATCCATAAAACATAGGGTTCTGTAAGCTACAATGAGCAAACTCGATATGCATAACTATTGTATGTGCATACACTGTACTCCCCAGTTGAATCTGCCTTCCAATGCCTTTAGTTCCGGGCAATAGAGAAAGCTTGATGGGAAGGATGCGCTCAAATTCCTTGTTACTTATCATAGTAAGTGCAAAAGAAAGACTTAAAGACCTTACTCAAGGTGAAACATTCTATGGGGCTGTTGTACGAGTGTCCCTTGGGCATGGGAGTCGGTGTAAGATGTGAGAAAGGGTTACCGGATTAGGAAATCCCGGGCTTGAATGTATGAGATTTTGTTAAGCTCATGTGGTCCATTCTCCCCATCCTAAAAATAAAATGAAATAAAAATTCGAGCTTGGGACTGGACAATCTGCCCGCCCACGGAGTTCAGGTGGATTTAAGGTGGAACTCGGAGGGTCTGGGGGGTCCCAAGGGGCCCGGGACGCCGAGAAAGGAGAAGACGAGTTATCATCCTGACTTATCACTGACTTGTCACTATCCACAATTTTTCTGAGGAACTCGGAGCCTCTGGATGTCTCGAAATCCCCATGGAGTAATGTTAAATAAGAAACTAGAAAATACACTATGCTGCCAGCTGGCCGTTAAGGCCGAGTGTCTTATTGGGGAAGGCCGGCATTCCGCAACTGCACGGGGAGCTTGAGCTTCGCGGGATCTTCTGATATTCCCCTAAATATCCAGCCACTCTCGACCCGGGACAAGATCGGGGATCGGCATGGGGAAAAGAACCAGATTGTAAGCCAATCACGCTCACGGACCATCAATTGTGATAGACAACCGTGCATACTCCTGCCGGGTAGGCCATTCCATCGAAGCTCCCATCGAAGTCTTACCGTCTTCGGCCCAAGGTCACGATACTCCTAAATAATGAGGGTGCGACCCTCTTTCTCCGGCATCCCCATCTATATAGCTAATCAGAGGTTAGGTAGAAAGCCTGGGCCTTACCGTGGATGCTCCCGATTGATCAATGTGCCTGGGTTCATTCGAGTCATGGTAAAAGCAGTTATCCATTGGGTCACGCGTAACTGGGATATTTTTTTTGCTGTCAATATTTTTATGCAGGATCTTCCTATTCTCGGTAGGCTCTCCAAGGAAGTGCCGTCCTAGCTCTCTGGACATATAAACCTGTCACCCCGATGCCGTGGATGGAATATCGTGAATTTTTTGGTCGCATCACTACTTATTGATACCTATTGTTTCACTTCACGGCTACCGACATTAATACCATCTCATTCTCCCTGATATCTCTCATTTTATATTTCCCCGATCCCTTCCTTCGCCATGTCTTTTGTTCCCCGAGTATTGGCTCCCACTCGTACACGGCTAGCTAGAGTTGCCGTTTCTACTCATCATTCTCTCTTTTCCTCTTCAACCCGCTTGTATTCGACCTCCAATAGCTTGTTCAGCCCTCAGGGTATCCACAGTTCATCTCACAGCCCGGACCACATCCAATCAAAGATGCCGGCGAAAGAGCTTTTGCACAACAATCACCGTTTCAGCGAGTTTGATCTTGAGGGCCGAGTATATGCCATCACCGGCGGGGGACGAGGATTGGGATTATCAATGGCGGAAGCATTGGTCGAAGCCGGAGCAAAAGGTACTTACGCCCTCATTCTCGAAATGGACGAATGCTAACGCAATATCATGTAACCAGTATACTGTCTGGACCGCCTTGAATCCCCACATCCAGACTTTCTCGTTGCTAAGAAAAGGGCTGAGGAAGACTACGGCAGCAGCCTGGAGTACATCCGCATTGACGTACGCAACAACACGGAAGTCAACAACGCATTCGCAGCCATTGCAGCACAGGGACAGCGGCTGGATGGTCTGATCGCCGCAGCCGGAATCAACCACCTCCAAAGTGCACTGGAGCACTCCCAGCAGGCTTTAGACGACGTGATGTCGATTAATTATAATGGAGTGTTCAACTCAGCCACCGCGGCCGCCCGCCAGATGTTCAAATACCAACAGAAGGGCTCGATCCTACTAGTAGCCAGCATGAGCGGCCTCATTGCCAACAAAGGCATGACCTCACCCGTGTACAACTCATCCAAGGCCGCGGTTATCCAACTAGGCCGCTCTCTTGCTATGGAATGGGGTCGTCACGGCATTCGCGTCAATAGCCTGTGCCCAGGTCACATCATCACCCCGATGGTGGACGAGGTATTCAGGCAAAATCCCGCTGCCAGAGCTACTTGGGAAGCGGAGAATATGCTTGGTCGCTTGGCGTTGCCTGAGGAGTTCCGCGGTACGGCTCTTTTCTGTCTTTCTGATGCGAGCAGCTTTATGACAGGAAGCACTCTGCTCATTGATGGAGGACACACTGCTTGGTAATAGGTATCCTCAACCGAGAAAACAATTGCACAAAAGTTAAGCTTGAGTTGAAGATACAAACATATCTGGTGAAATTTTTCAAAGAAGGGTACTGGCGTTGGCGGCGAATTTCGTACAATAAGTGCATCAACCATCAGATAATACGTATACCGTGTGTAACAACCACTTAGCCAACAATCCAGATTTTCCACAGTACCCTATCCTTTTTATCCATCTGACATCGCAGTGCATGGCAACCAACTCGGTACTTTCCTCCTATTGGCTTTTTTTTGCCATCAAAAATTGGCCACATGTTCACCACCTGTCCACCATCTGTGGTAATCTTCAAACAACAGTTAGAAGGAATGCAATCGTCTATCTATGATAGAAACCAGGCATTTGCACACATTGAAATTGAAAGGGTTGTAACCTTTCTAGATAGACGTTTCCCTTTCTAGCCTCTGCTTTATGGACGTCAATAGATAAGTTACTTACTTCAGATACTTACATATAGACCTCTTGTTGGGAGGTCGATATAAAATTGAAGTAACTATGCATTATCAGCAATTAGGAAGGTAGAAATAGTGTGGGAAGGAAAAAAAAAAAAAAAAAAAAAAAAGGTCCAAGAATATGCAAATCTTAAGCATATTCTTATATTCTTGCCATACGGATATTTTCAAACCGGATTCCACTTAATCTCGGATGTCTGCTCCGATATGATCTATCATGAATGTCCGCGGGTTGTATGGATGTTGGATGTTGTATACTGCCGTACATCGTATACTGGATAAGGCGGTCATTGACTTTTCTGCCCGAAATCCCTTCACAGTTATTAAACCCACTTAGGCAAATATATCAAAAATATCAAAAAGTCCAAACTATTCTAGATACTGTCTTTACACCAAAAGAGTATAGAGTAAATGAGTCAGAGTTCCGTCACACTGCATAATATTCTAGGTAAGCAGTTTGTTGGATCTTGAAATCACATGTGCGATACAATTCGAATATATCCTGTTTGATGCCCCTCCTTTCGACCGTTTGCTCTTTATATTTTCCCCTCAAGACCATCCCAAACTTATATTTTACCCTCTCCTTCTTTGTGCCATGCTTTCCCTCGCTCTCCTAGCTTAGTTTACCTGGGTCAACCATGTTCGTGCCTTTACATGGCGGTCTCCCAGTCTTGATACTAATAGTCTATATCCAGCCATCTAGGCGAACTATCGGAATATTGAGAGGATAATGGATCATCATGTTGTACTGGATTGGTGAGCACTGACTTTGTAGCCCTTGAAGTCAGCTCGTTTTTACTAATTATTAAACAAAGGTACAATAACCTAGACTCTCGAGTCGTTGATCTCGTCGGTGACTTTGTTGGTGACGAGCTCTTCATAATCGAAGGAGATTCGCTTCTACTCGAATGTTTTTCCAACGAAAAACTTGATTTCAACCCGGGCTTCCAGGTCTTGCATGCGACATACCTTGTCGAGAAGTTGTTGCAAAAGCTTCAGCAGCGCAAGTGTTTCTTCGAGGTTGTCTTCTTCGCCGAGAATGCCTCATTATGCATTCCGAAAGGAGTCCACAGAGACCTCCACGCGAGGTACCTCCTTGCCCGAGAGGCAATCATACAACACCTTGTCTCTGTTCGCGTCCAACCCTCGCAATTCTTCCAGGCTCTGAGGTTTGATAGCTTCCAGTCCGATGAGTTTAAAGCTCATCTGATAAGTTCGGGAGCATATTTGTTCATGTGTCATGATGGCGCTTTTTCCGAGCAGAACAATGATGATACTGCTAGTGATATCGACAGCAGCGACTCTGAAAGTGACTCTGATGACAGCGACTTCAAAGATGATGATCAAAAAGGTACGTTTGTCGATAAGCGAGGCGAGATCTCAAGATTTAAGTTCCGCGCGATGATCTATTGGTTTGTTGTCCACGGATACAACCTTGCTCTCGCCAATAGTCTCGAGTTCCGTGATACAAAGGTAAGTCTTTTTCAACCGCCGGAAGACTAGTCTCGATTCTCACAATATACACAGGTCATGGCAATGGTGATTGAAAGCTCCATTAAAACGAACCCCTTGTCGACTGGCCCTGAAACAGATGATCCCAATCATTTGTGGAATTCCCTCTCTCAATTAGAGATTGAAGACGGCCAAGATCAAGCGGAGGATGTAGAATATGAATCATCAACCCAAACTCAAACAGACAAGTTCCTTGAACAGGCACTTCTTGAGAAGCCTGAGCTGTCACAACGCCAATGTCTTGTGGTTGCTACGCTCAGCTCTATGCTTTTGGACGGCATGGCAGACAACGAAAACAATATTGGAGCCCAGTCTATGCTTTTGCACATTGTACTTTTGCAAAACACCCAACTGTCGGATCGATCCATCCAAACAACTGCACCCAAAAACTTGAAGTTTTTCAACGAATTTGTGAAGACCGCGAAGGCTTTGCTCAGCTCAAAGCTGTGGGAGAAAGCAATGAATGACCATACCCTACCTTGCGATCTGTCTGACCTCTTGGATGGAACATTGTTTTTCGAAGTCCAGCGGATGGTCGAGAAACTGGGCATCCAAACAGTAATCTCATCGGCCACACAATCCCCTTTCAACACCCTTGCGTGTCTGGTGGACCGCATGTGTGGTACAACACTGCAATGTGAAGCGATTGGGGGCGCGGGAGCTACCTCTGAAGATGACACCCATGGAAGTATTTCCGAGCCTCATTATGGCTTTGAAAAGGTGCTTCCATTTAGCAATTCAGTCTTCGATAAAATTCTGAAGCCTGTTCATCTCGCAATTGACGAATCTGCCGATGCGAAGAGTGATTCCCAGATTTTCAAAGAAGATAGCCACTGGCATAGCTCCAGGCCCCTGGATCAAAAGAAAGTCATCTTAACCCCCCAAGAGGTTGAGCGAAACCACAAACGGAACCAGCGTTTCATGGCCGAGATGAGAGATTATGCTGCAAGTCTCTCGGGATCACAACCGGAACCGATTGTCGTTGAATCTTCCAGTAGCTCACGCCAGAAGTCTCACCAAACCCCTTCGGCAGGCAGAGACGTTGGAACTACCTCGAAGCCAGACAAGAAATCCCACTCTAAATCCGGTAAACCATCCACCAAGGAGAGGGCCGCAGCTTTCGTTCATCAAAAAGCAATGGAAGTCACCCAGAAACAGAGACAGAAGTGGAAAAACGTGTACAATGATGAGTTCGCTCAAATCGATGATCTTGTGACTCGTTTTACAAAGCTCAACGGATACTTGACTAGTTTGCCCAAAGACAGTCGGCAGGTTCTGGAGCCTGAAATCCTGACTTGCTTGATCGACACATTGCTACGGCTTCTATTTGTCGAACGCATAAATGTGCAGAGCAAAAAGCACATGTTGATCGTGACACGCATTTGGGAGATCGTCACTTGCCTCGCGAAAATTAAGCAAGGCATCTCATCCGATATTGTCGCATACGTCTCGACAGTCTGCCAAATACTCGGTTTGCCAGCTGCTCAGCTTCATGCCGACAGTGAACAGAAGTTATCTTTCCCTTTGTTCAAGATTCCCAAAGCAGCACCTAGCATGAGTATCGAGATGAGCCCAGTTGAATTCCAGCTTCAACATGGTGGGCCTTTCATGGAGCGCAGCATAGACTCATTGCCCGACTCCCGGACGCCTGACTTTGCGCCTGATCGCTGGCAGCGTGAAGTGTTGGATCAGATCGATGCAAAGAGGAGCGCATTCATCGTGGCCCCAACGAGTGCAGGAAAAACATTCATCTCGTAAGTCGCAATATGGTTCAATACAGAATCATGCTAACATTCACCCAGTTTCTATGCGATGAGACAGATCTTGAAAGAAGATAACGATGGAATTCTTGTTTATGTTGCCCCCACAAAGGCTCTTGTCAATCAGATCGCAGCTGAGGTGCAAGCCCGATTTTCCAAGTCGTTCCCGGCCAAAACCAGTGGTAAATCGGTTTGGGCCATCCACACAAGAGACTACCGCATCAACAATCCCCAGGGATGCCAAATTCTCATCACAGTTCCCCAGATTCTTCAGATCATGCTGCTTAATCCCTCGAACGCCAATGCATGGACCCCCGCTTGAGGCGTATCATTTTCGATGAGATTCATTGCATCGGTCAGGCTGAGGATGGTGTCGTTTGGGAACAACTGCTTCTGATGTCCCCATGCCCAATTATTGCCCTCTCGGCTACCGTCGGAAATCCCCAGGAATTCTACAACTGGCTGGATTTCGCCCAGAGAACCAATGGATTTGACCTCAAGATGATTCAGCATCAACACCGTTATTCGGATTTGCGAAAGTACGTTTACCAGCCTCATGGTGACTTCGCGTTCAAAGGGTTTTCCAGTACTCCTAGCTTGGCCCGTTTGGGCCTCGATGGAGCAGATGATATGACATTCGTGCATCCTGTCACTAGCTTGCTGGACCGCACCAGATCGATACCAGATGATCTTGACTTTGAGCCACGCGACTGCTTCACTTTGTGGAAAGCAATGAAGGACCTTCAAACAAAGCAGTTCCCTGTTGATCCATCTTTGGACCCCACCGTCTTTTTCTCGAATATTGTCATTCAAAAAGTGCATATCATAGAATGGCAGAAACGACTAAAAGTGTTGTTGGGAGAGTGGATGAAAGACCAAGAATCTCCATTTGAGAAACTTTTGCTCAACCTTGAGCACCCAACAGATTTCGCAATCGGAAAAGAAAAGGACTTGTCTAAACAGGTTTCTCGGATGAATGGCCTATCTGATCCCCTAAACGGTAACCTAGTCGACACAACCCTCCCTTTGATCTCCTCACTACACGCTCAGAATGCTCTCCCTGCCCTATTCTTCAATTACGACCGCGGTAGATGTGAAGATATATGCCAAGAGCTGTTGACACAGCTACAAAATGCTGAGACAAAATGGAAAGAAGAGAGCCCGGTATGGAAATCCAAGATTGCCAAATGGGAAGTATGGAAGACATCCAAGTTGTCAGCAAAGAAGAAGCTTGAACGGGCTACCAAGAAGAAGCCAAGTGGAAACGCCGACGAAGAGCCAACTTCCAAGGCAGAGCAAGCCAAAGAATCAGCATCTACTGATTTCGGCTGGCTTGATCTCTTTGACCCGAAGAAGCCTGTGGATGGATTCCATTTGGCTGACTTCAAGAAAGTTCCCGCTTCCGAGTTCCTTGTCTATTCCAAGCAGCTGCAGTGGCGCTCGGTGCCTCAATGGTTGATTGATGCCCTAGAGCGAGGAATCGGTGTCCACCATGCTGGTATGAATCGCAAGTACCGTCAAGTTTGTGAAATCCTCTTTAGGAAAGGCTTCCTGCGTGTCGTGATTGCTACTGGCACTTTAGCCTTGGGTATCAACATGCCTTGTAAAACAGTCGTTTTCTCGGGCGATTCCATTTTCTTGACAGCTCTGAATTTCCGACAAGCTGCCGGAAGAGCAGGACGTCGTGGATTTGACGTCCTCGGAAATGTTGTTTTCCAGCAAGTTCCACCATCCAAGGTGCAACGTCTGATGAGCTCAAGACTCCCAAGTCTCAGTGGACATTTCCCCATCACAACAAGTTTGGTTCTACGGCTGTTTATCTTGCTGCATGGCTCAAAGCAAGCTCCATCTGCCGTGAAATCAATCAACTCGATACTCTCAAGTTCTCGCATCCACCTCGGTGGCCCTGAGATGAAGCAAACGGTGCTCCACCATCTCCGATTCTCTATTGAGTACCTCCGACGGAACAATCTTCTTAGCGGTACTGGCATGGCCTTGAACTTTGCGGGCTGTATCTCTCACCTGTACTACACAGAGAATTCGAGTTTCGCTTTCCATGCCCTACTGAACTCGGGATACCTCCAAGATCTCTGCCAGGACATAGAAACGAAGCCAAAACGGACTGTCCATACTCTGATGCTGGTTATGGCCCACCTTTTCGGGCGTATTCCCCTGCGAGCTTCCACCTTGGAATGGTTCCAGAACGCAGAAAAGAAGCCCTCCTCGATCGTGGCTCTTCCACCTCTCCCGAGAAAAGCAGCCTCCGCCCTACGGGCTCACAACAGACAGGTCCTGGACGTCTACACGGGCTACGTTTCTACTTTCGTTAAGCAGCATATCAAGGAACCTGACTGCTTGCTACCATTTAGTGGAACCAAGTGCGGCGGAGAAAGCTCCGCCAAGAAACTCGGTTTCTCGCAGTTCGACCACATCTCCCCATCAATTGTCTCCCCATTCTTCGCCCTTTCAGGGAACGGAGACCAATGCAACACTGTCTTTGAACTCAGCCAGATGGTTCGCAGTGGCGTTTGGATCGAGGATTCTGTCATTCCATATGTAGCTATTGACGGCAACGAGAACGCGACCCCTCTCAACGCATACCTGTATGACTTCTTCAAGCACGGAAATGTTTCTCAGTTGGAGACTGCAAACCGCATCCGCCGCGGCGACGTCTGGTTTGTGTTGAACGACTTCTCCTTGACTTTGGCCACCATCAAGACTAGCATTGAAGGGTTCCTCAAACCTGGAGGTAACATCGGTGCCGACATGCTCGATGTTGCTGGCGGAGGTGACGATTACGAGAATCTCGTGGACGACAAGGCTGTTGATCAGATTGAGGCTGAAAATGCTGGAAAGCTGGTTGTGAAACCAGACAACAAGCAGACTATGCCTGCTGCTCCCATCCCTAGCTCTCGCCCCAAAGCGAAGAAGGTTGTGATGGATAGCTGGGAGGATGAGATGGATGATGAAGATGACGAAAGCGAGGAGGAAGCGATTGCTGCCTCCAAAGATACGGCCAACGGGCTCAGCTCTAAAACCACGCAAGAGAAGCCAGTGGACAACTCTCACAGATCTATGTTCTTGGTTGCCAAGGCCTTCAAAGAACTGCACAACGAGTTTGATACCAAGTTCAAGGCTATGTGGGCTTAAGAATTTGTTGTGAGGGATGAGATACCAAGACGATATACTAAATTGAGAAATATCTTAGGTGAAAGACTTCTGAAGTAAGATATATCTAAAAGTATTACCTAGGTAAAATCAGATGGTGTAATAACCTGTGTCTAAAGATATCGGCCCCATAGAGCTTTATGTGCTCGCATCGCTGATCAATCGTATATAAAATCCCTTCAGCTCCCTAGTCACGACCATCAATTTCTAACCGGAGACAGCTCCACACCCTGCTACTTTAAAATAGGGCACTAAACCCACGCCTTGCGTAGCTAATTGCACTTTAGAAGATGTTGATCGCGAGAATTTTGCCCAGGAGAATTATATAGACCGCTAATTGTCTTGCTACAACAGTTCCTATTTATCTTGACGGTATTAGTTCCAGGAGTAGCTTGAGCGACAGAGTGATCCACGTCCTGAAACTACGACCAGTCCTCACCTGCCATATAGCTCTCTCATCGAACCGTAGTCTGGTTTTTTCTAGAGATCCCAATATCGCCCAAACACGGCGGGAAAGTGAAGAAGATACTAAGCCAAGGGATAGAACGTGCAAGCAAGTGTATGGACCTAGTGTGGGGTGTGGAGAAGATTAAACAGGAAGGCTACACTTGTAGACCAATCCAGTGTTGACTGACTGTAACAACTTGTATTACAGCATTAGAAATCTTCTGAATTGAACATCCATTGGCTCGGTTTTACCCGTGAGGTAATGCCTATGCGTGGGGTTCACTAGCGACAGGCTCGTGCGCGAGAGAGAGGAAAACATGCTAATGTATGTCCCTTGCAGAGACGTCGTAGATCAATATACAATGATCTACGTTGTATACTTGGTTCAAGATAATCTTTGACACACCGCTATCCCATATTATGACTCTTTCTTAGTCTAGAGGAGATCATTCGTATTGTCGAAGCAGTAGTGATTTGTCTTGGTCTAGAAATATTTTCTTGTTGGCTATATGAACACTTGGATTGTGTTCAATCAGTCTTCATGTTTTATACATGACATTGTTGAACAGACTACGGGTAGGCAGTAGTCACTGTAATCACCCATGACACTCTATCATGTGGTTGACATGTGAACAACTAAGGTTTGCCCCAGCTCTGAAGCAGCGATAAACATATACGTCACTATGGAGGACTCGGGCAGGAGGACTCATGCAAGATGACCTCGACAGACCTGATAGTGACTTGAATTCCACCTCATACCAGGGTTTTTTTGGGAGAAAGTAAGGAGTCATTGTAGGTCTGTTGTGCCTTGTGATCAGATGCATTCGTTTCTTGCTAGAGCTGGATGTCCAAGAGTCATTGAAAACCTGGGGATTGAATTCTTATATAAACGAGACAATCTATCCTCAAGACTCAACTATCCATTACTCACAACAACGCCATTCAGCATTAATCACAATTATCTCAATATCCTCAAGCAATCACTCCAAATATGTTTTTCCTCAAGGCCCTCGGACTCCTTCCCTTCATAGCCATGGCTTTGGCTGGCTCGTCCAAGTTTGCTGACACCTGTCAAGACATTGATGGCGACGGTACAACTCTGCGAGCGCAGTGCCAGGAGAGGGAGAATGGCCAGTTGAAGTCAAGCACACTTGACCTGAACCGGTGCATCAAGAACAACAAGGGCAAGTTAAAGGTAATAGATCAATCTAAAACACTCGGACTTAAAACAATGCTAACCTGCTTACAGTGTGGAAAGAAGTAAGCTGGATATCTAACAATGGTCAGTATCGGAGTCGAAGAACAAAGAGTCTAACAAAAGCAGTGGCAATTACTCCGGTTCTTGTATCAACTGCACCATGCGTGGAACCGCCGAGTTCTCCTGTCAGTGCCGTAACTCTGAGGATGATCACAAATACGTTGCTACTACCCTTGACCTCAGTAAGTCAATCCTTGGGAATATACAGGTTACTTTCCGGAAGAGGCTAACAAACTGGGGTTTTAGACAAATGCATCAGCAACGATCACGGCGAGCTTCGTTGCTAGATTAGCAATGTAGGTATCAGTATATGGGGGGATTGGAATGCGTATTAATGACTGGAAATTGAACTTGTATTTAAAAGGATTATGAAGACATGATATAATTGGACCGACCATCATAATCCCGCCTATTATTCTCCGCATCAGAGCTCTGTTGACTTGTCGTAGCCGTAGCATTGCGGTTAATTGAGTTCGCTGACGCTCCACAGTCACTACCAAGCGCTCGAAACTCGCCTTTGCTTCCCCGTATCGTGCGTAGATGGAGGTTGGATCCGGTAGAAGGTTGAGAATGATACTTTGAGGCGTCACTTCTGACTTTGCTGCGGACGCCTTGCACGAGTGGGTTAAGAAACGGAAGGCAACCACAAATGATAGCCACATCGAGTTCGAGGCAAGTCCAGATGGACTCTTTGGCACTTGAGGCTGGATGATGTTAGTGGGAGTCGTTGTATAAGCTAGGGTTAGGAACGAACCGGCAAGGTCGGTGAGCTGGAATTGGCGGAATTCAATCAGGCGCATCAAACTGAAGATACAGACACTACAATTTGTCATTAGAAGGAAGCGATATATCATGTGGGAAAGGATTCACGCACAGTCCACCTAGAGAAAAGACCAGGGTTAATGCGATTTTCTGCCGAGTGTTGACCTGTAACTTCCAGAACACAGGAATTGGCAGACAGAGAATGATAACATCTTCAACTAATGCGATCGATCCCATAACCTGGAAGAATTGAACCTGTCCCGACATGCAGTGTCCTTCCAAGTCTTTATTGTAGTAGTATTGCACCGGTGTACATTGGAAGATATTGGTCAACAGGGCAGCGAGAGCCCATGTGGCGATAAACCCGGCTAGGCAGTTGCAAATAACGACGTATGCCCTGATAGAGCCGAACAGTCGCTTGATGAAGATGACAATGGAGATCTTGACAAAGGCCATCGACGGGGCCCAAAACTTCTGTATCATCCATGATCCCTGCGAAATGACGTTAGATGTTATTATTATCGAAGTATAAACTATAACGTACGAATTGAATACGCATCCGTTCATCTTTGGGGAGCGACTTGATCGGTAGACCGACACCATTGAAAGCGGCTTTTTAATAGTTAGTATGGTTAGTCTCCATGGATGTTAGGATATACTTACTATCTACTACAAAGGCCGTCACTGCAAAGGAGATGATCAAACCGACTCCCATTAGATAATCTTCCAGCAGAAGCCCCACCGCTTTCATTCGTCTGCAATACAGACGTAATAGAAAGGTCATCGTAGCCAAACCAGCCCCAACAATGGGCACAATAGTAAGGACATTTTTCCAATATGTATTCACTTTGTGCGCCATCTTGACGTGGATAGAAAAAAGAAAGCAAAGAAAAAAAAGAAAAGAAAAGAAAACCTCATTATCCGAGACCCTGAAATCCCGAAGAATCTATTCAAGAGGCTAAGGGGGATCGACATTTCCATGTACAAATTAACCAAATTAACCGGGATTGAGGTCACCACTTGAACTCTACTTTCACTCATTGGACCAACCGAGATCTAAAAGAAGCAATTATAAGTGGGCTAGGGAGTGGACTACAGTGGAATATCACGGAGGATTCAAAGTTTGTCAGATAATTGGATTAATATGAGGATCAGCCAATGATAGAGATCATACAAGATCATTTTCGATGATCGTTTACCTAAATCGGTCTAATTCATCTCTCGTAGTAAGACACTGACTGGTTCATGCGTACCTTTTCTAGCGCTTCTTTAGTGAATCTTAGTGAGTCTTAATGAGTCTTAGTGTCTGAATATGTTTCAGTCCTTTTTTTTATATTTCTGCCTGGGTTATACTTTCTCTTCTTTTCGTCATTTTTAACCTTCATTCTGCAATCGCCAAGAATGGACTTGGCCAAGTTATCCGGCCTCCTATTGGCCTTAGTAAGCTCGACTGTTGCGGACTGTACTTTGAATGACTTCAATGCTACAGTTGGAGGACGCGCCCAGCTGTTAACCCCTTTCTCCTTACCCTGTTTCTCCAGCTACAATGGGAAACCGGTGACTCCCGACAATGCGGCCTGCGCTGTTATCCAAGGAAACTACTCGGATCCGTGGCTGCGAACAAATTCTCCCAATGGTTACATGAATAACCAGGATGAGATGTGGGCATCTGATCCTAGTGATCAGTGCCTCCTCGATAGTAGCAATCCGACGGATCCGCTGGCGTTCGTGAACGCCACCTGTCGGCAGGGTAATCTACCCTCTCACTATCTTGAAGTGCAGAGCGAGACGGATGTGATTGAAGCTTTCAAGTTCTCCAACTGCTCCGGCAAGAAGCTCGTTATCAAAAATAGTGGCCATGATTACCTCACCCGCAGCACTGGCCGTGACACGCTATCCCTTTGGACGCGAAACCTGCGATCTATGTCCTACAGTGCGGACTTTGCCCCCGCGGCGCCAAAAACACCGCTCGCAAATATAAAGCTATCACTGTCGGCGCCGGAGTCAACTTCGACGAGGCGTACGAATTTGCACAGAAAAACAACGTAACCATACTTGGCGGCTACTCACCTACCGTCGGCGTCTCAGGCGGTTGGATACAAAACGGCGGTCATTCCATCTTGAGTCCCGTGTACGGTCTCGGCGTAGACCGTGTCCTCGAGTTCAAGATTGTTACCCCAGACGGTGTCTACCGTACCGCCAATGAATTCCAGAACGCCGACCTCTTCTGGGCCCTCCGCGGTGGTGGCGGTGGAACCTTTGGCGTAGTCCTTGAAAGCACTCACCGTGTCGAGCCTGCTATCCGCTTTGTCTCTGCCAACATCAAGTTCCCCACTACCTCCACCAACATGCTTCCATTCATGGAGATTGTTGTCAACAACACCCTTAAATGGGGACAGGAAGGATGGGGCGGCCACATCACCGGTAACACCCTCGTCAACATCTCTCCTTTCCTCTCCATCGAGCAAGCCGAGGTCTCTCTGGCAAGCGTAATCGCCTACGCCAAAGCAAACGGCGGCTCCGCCACCATCGAAGAGTTCACTTCTTGGTTCCCCTTTTACGAGAAATATGTCAAGACCAGCTCCGTCGCTGTCGGTGTCACTCGCTTCCCCGGAAGCCGACTGATTCCCCGGTCCATCTTCAAGACTGCGGAGGGTCGCACGAACCTCATGGATTACTTTGCAACCATCCAATCACTGGGCCAGACACCTTACATTCCCGTCGTCGGACCAGTGTTGTACAACTATACCGAAGGATCGACCAGTGTCACTCCCGCCTGGCGTGAGGCTATCTGGGAGTTGGGATCTGGTGCCTCCTGGGAGTGGAACGCTACCCTTCCCACCCGGAAACAGAAGATCGCGTCCATTCAGAACATGACAGCCGTTATTGAGAGCATTACCCCTGGCAGTGGTGCATACAGCAACGAGGCCAACCCGTTCACGAATGATTGGGTCGAGGCGTGGTGGGGTGATAACTATGAGAAATTGGTGAGCATTAAGAACAAATATGATCCCCAAGGTTTGTTGAGCTGCTGGAAGTGTGTTGGCTGGAAGGACTCGCAGGTTGCGGATTCGCCCTTCGCTGGGCTTCTTTAATTCCAAGAAAGCGCGAAATATACACGCTTGAGCGTACACATGTACATATAGATTTTACATATACACCATAAACATACTCTGCACGATTTTTGAGTGTTACGAGACTCCTCACCAAAGCAGATGAATCTCTAGCGGTTATTACTATATCAACTATATGATATACACAAGCCTCCGAGCCCCAGTAGAATTCTCCAAATCATCCCTCCTGCCGCCACCCATAAGCACATCCCGCTCTTCGCCCTGATCAACAGGACCAGCCTGTGCAATGGTATATGTCGTCTCCGCAGCTGCCCGATTCATCCTCTGTAAAAGAATCCGTAGTCCCACCGCCAAAACTGCAACAACAACCATGAAGAACGAGCAAGTGGCCATGCCCCGAATATACCACGGCCCGTCAGTCTCGGGATACAGTCTTGTCCCAAGCAAGGGTCCGCACTGTCCGATGATATTGAGAATGGCTATGCTCGCGCCTTTGCCCTCCTTTTCGACACGGTTATCCATTGACCATGTGATAATGAGTGTAATTGCGGAGAAGAACCCGGCCGTGGCGGGGTAGACACAGATGTAGCGGATGAATATGTGAAGCCATAGTGGCAGGTGTGAGTGGAAATAACCCGTTGCTGCGATCGCTAAGTAGGCGAGTGATGAGATGAGCGCGTGGGCTATTAGGTATGGGCTTCGGGAGCGACTGCGATCTGAAGCGTATGCAGTGACAAGGACTACGACAAAGGCGACGAGATAAGGAGGTGCTGAGAGGGCCTGGGCCTGTAAGGAGGAATATCCCATGCTGTATCGGAGGTAAGTAGGCTATAAGATCATGAATGGATAGTGGTGAAGCATACTCTTTAATGATAGTGGGCAAAAAGACAGGCATTGAGCTGAAAGCAACGTTACAACTGAAGAACATAAACTGGAGTAAATGTGTTAGGACCTTTGCACAATCTCAAATAGAGATAACACTCACGGCAGCCATATAAGCCTTGGGGTCAGATGCAGTCTTCAGGATTTCTCGCCAGTTAAATCGACTTCCATACGATTGTTGATAATCGGATGTGCTCTCCTCGAGGCGCTGCTGAGCTACCACCCTTTGTCGGCGACTCAGGAATCGGGCCCGACCAGGGGAGTCTGGAATCAGGAACCAAGCAAATACTGCAACAATTACACTTGGGAACCCCTCCACAAGGAACAGAGTTCGCCACGGTGAGATCGGACCGTCACTGCTGAACCTAACAATCAAGTAGGCCAGACTGCTAGCAAAAGATGTCGCCAGTGGTGCCGCTGAGATAAACAATCCATTACGGAAAGCCAGCTCGTGTCTGCGATAGAACAAAGACAGGTAAAACGGAACACCCGGGCCAAAGGCTGCCTCAGTAATTCCAAGCAACGCCCGGAGAACGACCAGGCCCCCAAAAGAAGTAGCTAGACACTGGAATGATGCGACAAGACCCCATCCACATACACATAAAGAGATATAGATATGCGGGGGAACAACACGGTACATTAGCGTCATCCATTCGAAGAGAATATAAGTAATATAAAAAGCAGTGAGTAGCCATTCATATTGCGAAGATGAAAGTTGTAGATCGTCTTTGAGTCCCGCTATCTTTGCATTTCCAATATCTGGGTAAACTATCAGTACATGCTTGGAATCACAGGGGAAACATTCCGCTGTGCGAAATAACCAAACATACTCGAGCGGTCCAAGAAGGAGAGCAAGTAGAGAAGGGCCAAAAACGGGACCAGCCTTCGGTCAAATCTCCTCACCACCTCGCTCTCCTCCTCTGATGTGTATCTTGGGCCCGCGCCACTCCGTGGCAGCTTACCCTCGAGCTCCTCGCTGGTGTTATAGTTCCCATTGTTTTCGAAATCCGATAAAGGGTCGCCGACGTCTTGATGGTCATCAAAGTTTGTCTGCAGTCGCAATGGGCCTGTGGGTGATTTTGCGGGGCCTGGTACTGGATTATCTTCGTCAGAGCCATACGAAACCGGTGTAAATTGTGGGTTTGAGGATGTGCTGGAGCTGGTGGAAAATGCATTATTCCCCGCGCCGGAGGGATGAAGGTCTGCCATTTCTTAGGGGGAGACACGTTTGGGAGTCGTTCTAGGAGTCAGGTCGATAAGGTAGCCTCTCCATTAGGGAGAGATAATCCCTTCTCTGAGATCGAAATGAAAGAAAATAGCAAAATCCCCCTCGATTCGCGAGACCGGGTGACCGATGTTGATCAGCTGGGCATCTTTTGGGACGGATTATGTCATCTGCGCACGTGGAGTCGTAACTGGCGCTAAGATGAGAGTGGCTTAGCGCCGAGCTTAGTTCTATTGGCGATCCTGGACCGGGGTTTATACTTCAACTGTCAACTAATCTACATGTAGGAGAATGCTTGCTTTTGATACTGAGTTGATGTTTCGATTTGAGGCTGATTTTTCTAGTACATTCAGGGTTGTACTTTGTTTCAGACGTAGCGAAGAAAAGGCTGCCCTCATAGTTCAGAACATATCCTTCAACCAGGAGCTCTGATCCGCGGCGAGCTTAAGGACGGTAGGAGTCCAAGGCACGGTTATCCCATCCAATTCTTCTGTTGATATGACTATGGTCCCATGCACCCTTGTGGCTATGGTCCCATGTGACACTGTCGGGGACATATCGGTCCCGGCGGTTGTGTCCTCCGCGTTGGTCTCGGTAGTATCCGTGAGGCCTGTAGGGGCTGAGGCTTGGGCTGCCCCTCGAGTCGTTGTCTACGTGGTCAAATTTGCGCTTGCGGCCGCCAGCGAGTTGGCTTGCATGTGCCTGGCTGATCTGGATGATGTCCTCGATTTCGGGGATCAGATCGTGGTCTTTGTCGGCTGACATCAGGTATCGCAGGAGGTTCTCGGCCGTGTCACGGAGAAATCGGACACTGTTGGTTCGCTCACGGTGGTTCTCAGAAGCCTGAAGGATGTAGTAGTCGGCCTTGGCTTTCTGGTATACCTGGATGAGCTTGTCGATGTGGTGTGACTTGGATGCGTCAGAATTCTGTGGCGATTTGCCAGTCTCGACCTCTTCGATGGCACCTCCCACGTCATCGGTTGCAATAATTGGGATTTCTGAAATAGGGCCTGGTATGTTGTGTTAAAATAGATAAAAGTGAATTTCATCAAGGCAAGCGACAAACCATTATCCAGAATACGCTGGGCAGCAAAGTGGGCAGCAATGACAGAGTTGCTCTCCTCCCCCGAGTGGCAGTTCTTAGTTTCCAGATACTCAGCCAGGTAGAATTCGAGCAGACCGTAATGTTGCATGGTGTGTCCCTCGTCATAGAGGCGAAGGAGAACACGGTCGTAGATCGTGACCTGGCCATCATCGTAGGACTGCGAGCGGTGGCGGATGGAATTGACCTGGCGCCTCAGTCCATGGAAGAGGGCTCGAGCATGCTCGCGATTGCCAATAAGCTCTTTTAGGAGCTCGCTTGGATTCATGACCGTACTCCACTTGAGGTACAAGCTATCCTCCTTACCACGCACCCCGCGCGGCATGACACGCTTTGTCTCTATGGAAACCATTCCGTTAGCATAATTAGTTGACGATATCATAGTCGAAAATATGGGTAGGGCCAAGGTTGGAACCAACTTACCGCGCTTTTTTGGATGAGAAGATGGTGGCATCGCGAAGCTCCACGCCGGTCGAGGAGAATAACCCCGCGGTGTTGATAAAGATAGTTGGAGGGGAGAATGAAGAAGGAGAATGAAGAAGTTATGAGATCTGATGAAATAAAACCATGGCAAGGAGACAGGTAGATGGCCAGACTGCGCGCGACTCGGCGAATAGGCATCGTTTGTCAACTAAACGCGCGGGAATATGGTCTTCAATGCATGATATGGGAGTCGGAGTTACCAAATACGGGGTTTCATCTGGGAGATAAATAGCATAGGCACTAAATTTGAATGTAGGGGATGCCTATAGTGCAGGTGCAATATGATAACGTGTATTAAATCATCAGGGGCATTTATCGAGTCTCATGTCCTATCGCGTGAGAATGAATGCAGGGTATCAACAATGAGGTATCCATCTAGAACTCAGTTTCTCTCCTTCCAGAGCTTTTCGACTTGATCGATCAGGGCTGAGGGTTGGCTGCCTTGTCCATTCTGGGCACAGTTTTTCCACTCGTCGTTATCACGGATGCACCAGACAACATCATCGAGACGCACTGTGCAACTAATCTTAACACCAAGTTGTTCGCCATGCAGAGCGCTTTCGCGTAATAACGCAATGCCACTGAGCGGTGGTCCGCCGTCATTGCCATCGTTCGGGTCATCATTCTGTTGGCTCGCACACTTGTTTAAGGCGTCAAAGTCAATCCCATGCTCCAATGCACAGTGATGGATAAATTCGCGGTCGGGGATCCGGGCAAAGTCATTGATCAGACAGTTTGCGAATCCTAGCGACCGGATAATAGGGGTCCGGGGGTACTGAGATGGAAGAGACGCTTCGTCCGCGGTGGGAGGGAAAGGAAGGTTGGCCGCACAGAGCATGATCATGTCACCAATGCATTCACCTGGGCCATGCTTGCATTCTATCTCTTCGGAATCTTTAGACACGCTATAATGATAATATTAGTCAAATGTTTAGGATGAAGTCTGGAACAGAATAACATTGGTTCTTCTCCGCGTGTGGTTCGATGCTCACCTAGCAATAAATGACAGTTTGAAGTCCACCTTGTCACTGATTCTTTCCATGGCTGGTAGAACGAGTTTTTGCAAGCAGGCTTGGGCATCTGGGCATTTGCTCATAATGTGGGCCTCCAGCGGTATCTTAGTTTGCTCAAGTGTCTGATGTGCATCAGAAGCAAAGCGTCCCAGCTGTGAGTAGCTGTCATGCTCTTCTTGAACCTCAGCTCTATAATTCTCCGTTTGGGCTATGTCGCTACATCGTGGGGAAGACGGCCGTAGAAGCAAAATGTAGCCGATGAAGAACAACGCGATGACACCGACCCGACACAAATAGGTGGTTGTGCTAGGACGTGCACGACGGTAGGGGTTATTTTCTAGTTGAAGAGTGTCACCATATCCTTCCTTGGAGTGGATCGGTAGTTTTTCCATGATGAGATAAAATCAGACGTGACGTTGTTTTGATAAGATCATGTGGAGAGTCCGGAGCTCCCGTCCTGGGGCCCAGGTGCCCAGGTGCCCAGGTGGGCCGAGTTGGTTATGTAAGCTATCCTTGGCCGGGGACGTTGGAAGCCCGTTTTAAGGTACATCCACATATAACTAGGTAATTAGGTAGTTTAACTACCCATGAACATACCTACATGTAGGTATGCCCTTGTTACTATTGTTAACAAATAATAAAGATACAGCCCTACAATTATTACTCTTGCCTTAGTCGAAAGACCGGTAAGACTTTACCCTCTCCTAAATGCTTAAATGTGTCCACAATCACCAAGCCCATACGATGTATCTGTGCTAGGCTGGGCTCCGACTTCGGAGGCGATTTGGACGGGGCATCAAGTACATACTCCGGAGCTTAGGTTTTAAACAGCCCCAGGTCTAGAATCACTGGGCATTATCAGGCATGGTCCATGGGCAGACCGTGCATAATGGCTCGGGATCGCGTGCTTTTGAGGCTCGTACATGAAAACCTTCATTAATCAATTATATGATTGAACTGCATCAAATACGAGAACCATCAAGTCATTTGCCGATGGGCAGGCAAATGGCCAACTATGGGCAACCCCAAGGTAAGGTAGTTTGAACCGAGTCCAGTAGGATCTGACAGCCTGATGTGGCGGGTGCCAGCGAGCAATCGAGACCTTGCGAACGAGGCCATGCAAAGGAGACCATGCAAACGGGATCGTCCCCGTTGGATCAAAAGGTAAATGCGCCTGCGTCTGAATACGGGTATGTCCGGCCCGATCACCACGCGAGTGCCACGAGTGGTATATCGAACTTGGGCGGGCCTCGTATCGAACGAATAACAACATTGGAACATAATACTTTTGCCGATACTTTTGGCGCGTTTTTCCAAGCCAGAATCCTTCGACCCCACCAATGTGCCTTGTAAAAGAGGTACATGTATATATTACTCCATAGTCTCCAACGGATTGGAACTCATATTCAAACGTATAGGCTGTGTTTCATCTAATCGTGAGACTGCCAAGAATGGAGAAATTGGCTTGGCTTTCGAGGATAATCCTCTACTGAAAGGTAGGGGGAAGGGTTTAACCGGACATAATGGCTTAAAGGTAGGGTTACATATGGAGTAGACTGAGAGAGTTGAATTTAGAAAGATGCCAAAGAGGGGAGACTAAAAGTAGAGTTTTTTTTCCAATCGAAAGTCAAAGGATACTCTTAACTAAGGTTGTCCCGTACAGCGTCACATCGCCTCGTGCCTTCCGATGGTCGCATCTCATTTCTTATATAAATTTACTTCTTTTCTTTTCTTATAACTTTCAAGCTTATGATCTGTCAAATTTTTGAACTTCTCTATCTGATCATATATCATATCTGATAGGAATCATTTCTTTTCCCCACTTCTGAACTTCCGATTGTTCTCCGACTTGTTCTTCCGATCACTACAGTATTTGGATCAAAACATTAAAAGGTACTGAAAAAATTTCCTATTCTTTGGTTTCTTTTACCTTCATCTATCCCATCTAAAAGGGAGCTTTATACTTCCATTCTTCACCAACTCCCTCAGGGTCCATCTAGGGATATTTCCCTCAAAGATCCCCCCCGAGTTCCCCATATATAGTCTAATCATCTCCCTCCTATCACCTCTGAAAGAAAAGAAGAAAAGAAAAAAAAAACCCACATTATCTTTGTGATCAGCGCAATCAGTGCATACCTAAATTCCAGGGTATGTACGGAATAAAACATAGATGGGGGATTCCCCCTTCTGGCATGATCGTCGTGTTTTCTCTTTTTCCCCCGCAGGCCGGACGACCTGCAGACCGCGTCACCGAAATGTTCCTTTCTCTTTATTGCAACCTCGCTAACACAACAAGTTTAGCTCTTGAGCCATTGGATTAGCTTCCCCGGTAGCTTGTATCCACAATTCAGGGATTTTAAGGATATGCCCTGTCTCTATTTCTAAACATTCCAGAACCCTACACGTCACTATTGACATAGCTGTGTCAGCTCATTTGGTCTGGTATTTTCAACCATTTGGAATAGGGAATTTTAAGCGGATATATATCTTCCATTTTTCCCCATCATGACCTCGGTCAATTCAAAATCATCCAGGAAGGATGAAGAACACGAAATCATGCACGACGATTTGATTGAAGATGAGGAACATGAGGATGTCAGTTTGGAACTAGACGCCATTCAACAGGAATATCTGGCACACCAGCAACAATTGGAAGAGTTCTTGTCACCAATTTCCCTGGATGAGGCCGTACTGTACAAACTGGCCCGGCGCTTTTCCACCACATACCGCAACCTTGCCCTGACATCAGACCAGCAATTTTTGCCGACACCCGTGACTCAACTTCCTACTGGCCGGGAAACTGGTCGCTATCTAGCGATCGATGTAGGAGGTAGCAACCTTCGGGTGGCTTTTATCGAGTTACTCGGAGAAGCCGTGGATTCCGATGTTCGACCTACAGATGCCACCGAGAGGTCACAGGACACGATCCGGAAAGCCCAGCGCCAGCGGGTGAAGCGGACGCTGGAAAGAGCTTGGCCCATTCAAGAGCATTTGAAGATGGACAAGGCAGAAGATCTCTTTTCTTGGATCGGTGATTGCATTGCGGAAGTGGTAGCGGAGAGTCTATCATCAGATGCCACGAAGAAGGATATCCCTTCCGAATTAGATATGGGAATCACATTTAGTTTCCCCATCATGTGAGTTACTTTCCTTGTGCTTGTGCTTCTGGTCTTCCTGGATTCCGGGACTCCTGTCTCGTGGATTTTCATGCTAACTAAGCCCCAGGCAAGAATCGTTGGCCGAGGCCACATTGATGCCCATGGGGAAAGGCTTCGCTATCTCATCAAATCTCAATCTTGGCAACATCCTTCTGAATGGATATGAAAAACACACAAGGCGACCCGATGATGAAGATGAACCTACAACCAAACGTCGAAAGCTTTTCGCATTACCAAAACTGAAAATCCAAGCTATCACCAACGACACAGTGGCCACGCTAGCTTCCCTTGCATACAAAGTCAAGTCTCTACCGAATAGTAGAGTCGCCATGGGTATCATTGTGGGCACTGGCTGTAACGCAACTATCCCAATGAAGCTCGGTGATTTGCACGAATCTAAAGCCAAGAGCGTGAACGCAATGGAACCCAGCGCTGTAGAGACTATCGTCAACACCGAGTGGACTATCTCTGGTGCTGCGCCACCACTCAAGGAGCTCAACGTGACCACAAAATGGGACATTGAGCTGGACCAGGCATGTGCACGTCCAGGCTTCCAGCCCTTCGAATATATGACCGGGGGCCGCTACATTGGTGAGCTGATTCGCTTGATCCTATTCGACTATCTCACAACAGTCGCCGAATTATCAAAACGCTCCCTACCTGCAAACCTCATCCAAGAATACGCCCTGACAACCACATACATCTCCGACCATGTCGCCAAATCCCGTTCTGACAACGACCTGGCCCAAGCCTTGAACAAATCCCTCCCCCCACCAGAGAGCAGTGATTGGCGCTGGGATGCCCGAGCCGCGGGCGCATTCCGAAAGATCGCTCGCACAGTACAAAGACGGTCAGCTGGACTGATCGCCGCTGCAGTAGTCGGACTCCTAGCCTGTGCTCGCGAGATCGAGCTGAAGGAAGACAGCAACAGCAGTTCACCCGAGAACCCCGCTTCACCCCAGAACAACGGCGATGCCATTACTGAGTTCACTGGTGCACCGGACGCCGCGACTGCAAGCCTTAAATCTGCCACTGCCGCCACCAACCACGCAACTCAGGAACATGTCGTTCCTGTCCTCGATCCTACGCCAATAGATTGGCAGTCTGGTCCTGAAGAGCTTGTCGTAGCTTACACTGGTGGCATTATCCAACATTACCCGCAATTCAAGGAGATGTGCCAGCAATATATTGACCGTCTTATCATGCGGACTGGTCCACAGCGAGGTGGAAAGTCGGTTTTCTTACGGGAAGCCTCCGATGGTGGCGTCATTGGCGCTGGTGTTTTGGCTGGCATGGTTGTGCGGAAATGAGCTTTTCTTTTGAATCATCAGCAATCATGCATTGAGCCTCTCTTTGTTTTTTTCTTCTTTGGGCGGAATTCAGCAATGCGAAAATGGTTCGAAATTAGGTGTTAATGGGATAATATTTGTTTCTTTTTAAATTTGAGTCGGGGCTCACGGCATAGAAATGAGATTTGATTTCTGCCACTGAGGTCCTATTTTGGACGGTGGTAATTTCGTTTATCTACGCTTTCATTGGATTTGGACAAGTCTATTTCTCGGCCCCATAATATGGCTTGCTATGTTTATGGTCTGCCATTTCTCCTATCCAAATTCAACTCGATGAGCGAGACTTTACCGCCGACCAAAACACGGCATTCAAGCCTGATCAATTAATGAGACACTGCTCCGAGAATTGGCACGACATAGATGCGCCACACTCCCTCTGACCCAGCGCATTGCAATTGAGTTGCTGTCAACCACGAAATGAAAGCTCCTGATGGCAGAGGCCCAAGAATGTTCCAACTATCGAAAGTCAAGTTCACGACGAGAGCATCGTGACTGATTGCGCGGCTCCACCCAAGGAAGCGTCATCGGAGAATGCAGGCACACCCGAACGGCGGAATGCATTATGCATGACCGTTTATCCTTATCAAAGAAATGTCACACGCACCCGTCCACGGATGGACATATTCGGATTACTAATTAGCCAATCTCAGCCGAGGTCAAGCCCGGCCATCCTCATATATGTTGGGGGAAACAAATTCCAAGAAGTCTGGTCTTGGTGAATACCTGCAACTTCCGGAGATGAAAGAAGACGAGCCGAAAACAATATTTCCCCACGTGAGTTACCAAAGCATTTGGAGCCAAGCCTGCTTACAGGACATGAGACCTCATTGGGGTATATATCCGCGACATTGGAGATGATCAATGTTTGTTTTTTCGATATGTTAATATTGAAGATTGTTTCAAATCAATCGGAACATGTTGTTTCGCACGCCGCGCTTCATTGCATTCGGTTTGCCGTCTTCATATTCAATCCCACAGGCTCCTCCTGCTCCAGACATTTGTTCGAGTCGCTCGCGAAGCTCGGCGTCGGCTTGGGATACGGTTTTGGCCTTGGGTGGAGGCGTGTGGAGCGTGTTGTCTTGGTCCGAGGAGTTCTTCGGTACCTGATTGCTTTCCTCTTGCTTGAGCTCAGGATTTCGGTGGCCTTGGGAGCCTAAAAGTCCTCCAAGACAACGGATGTTAGCTCTGGGAAGTGCTTTTGAACGGAACCAACCGACCTTGAGCTTCTGATGCTCTGAATGTTGTCGATAAGGATCGTATATAAGTAATATGCAATTGACTGGATAATGTTTTATTCAGAAGGGATAGAGGCCCTGAGCCCTTCACCATCATGCTGAAGTAGCTCTCGAGTTTGTTGTACGTTTACTGAAGTCTTGGAGGTCAAAGAACATGTTCAAACAGAAGTTGGACTGACGCCATTCAAGATAAGAATCCACACGTGACTATAAGAGAGTCACGTGGATTCGATCGCCCCCGCAATTCGGCCGGCGATCGTGAACTTGCTCTTGTCACTCACTCTTCCGATACTCTTTCGACGGGTCTGCCATTATTTCATCTCAGAATGGCATCTGTGGCTTACTATGAGCTTTACCGCGGCAGCAGGTAAATATACTCGATTAAGCAAACCGAAAGCTTAAAAGCTGACTCAAGGAACATCCAGCCTCGGGTTATCCCTCACGGATACCCTCGACGACCTGATCAACGAAGGCCGTATTGAACCCCAGCTGGCAATGAAGATCCTCGGGACCTTTGACAAGATTGTCACTGAAGTCTTGGCGGACAAAGTTCGGGCCAGACTGACTTTCAAGGTAACTCATTTCCCGTTCAAAGCACCCTAGCTCAAATGGGTCATGGTTCAATGAGAGTTCAATGAGGCTAACATATACACTTTCCCATCACTTTTAGGGCCACCTGGACACCTACCGATTCTGCGACGAAGTCTGGACCTTCCTGATCAAGGATGTCTCGTTTAAGCTGGACAACCAAACAACTGTGTCCGCGGATAAAGTGAAGATTGTGAGCTGCAACAGCAAGCGGCCTGGTGAGGTGTAAGCGGAGCCTTGGATGGGCAGAGATACTGGCGTTTAATTTTGTTTCCCTCAAAATGGTTGAATGGGCGTTCTACCGGCAGTCCGTTCTTGATTTTGGTGATTTATCTTGCACGAGGCGTTTGAGGCATTCCCAGTTCTTTTCATCTTGCATTACCAATGTCCAAAATGGCATTAGATACCCCAAAGAATGAGGTTCATACTCGCAAATTTTCCACTTCGTAGTGAAGCTCCAAATTGAAGGTTTGTGTTGCGCGGAAGGCGGGTGACCTCTCCTTATCAGCGGTGGATGCCAGGTGCCTATCAGCAGCTTTCTTTCCCTCATTGTAACCTTTGGCTGAGATCGCGACACCAAGCGACTTCTTAATTTTCCTCTATATCATTTTGAATTATGCCTAGGACATTGCCATGGCTTCGCGCCGAAAATAACATTCCTGTGAAAAAAGCGTCAACACCGCGAAAGCGCGTGAAGACGGAACCCAGTCCTGATCACGACCTCACTCCTAAAAACCCTCGAGTTTCTCCTCCAAGGCGCGATTTCTTCAGATCCTGTGAGTTTTAGATTTGGAATATTTGTGACAAGATATAAAGTCTGATTGCTTTGTATAGCCCAAAGCCCGCCGACCTCTCCTATCAGACGCTGCCCCTCCGAAGAGTACGATCGCAACCAAGCCCCGCGCAACTAGAAAAAGTCGCTAATAGGCACGTTATAGATTTTTGGTTGAAGGAATCCAACACGATGATGGCTGGGTCATGGTAGAAGATGAGTTCTATGCCGTCGCGCAAGCATTTACTCAACATCTACATCATGCGGAGTACCTACGACGGAGAAAGCAAGTGAAAGCCGAACATGCAGCCGGAATGAAAGAGATCGAGAGGCCTACCGACAACCGTACCCCACTGCCAAATGAGGTTGAACGAAAAAGAGAAGCCGAAGCACTCAGGGAGCGACAAAAAGCCGGGCTCGCCCAGATTGGAGACGGAGGAGTCGACGAGAAAGATGAAGATGAAGATGATGAGAGATGGGCTGGAACACATCTTCACGATCTTATGACGAGCCCACGAAAAACACGATCCTTGGCGGGAGTCTATGCGCCCAAGTCCTCTACTAGAGCCGCTGCGGGCTTTGGACAGGCGCCTACTTTAGGTACTGGATGGGCCCGGGTGAACAGCATCGGGAGTGTGGCTGCGCCACCAAGAGCACCAGAAGTTCCGGTGATCGAACTGGATGAAGAGACAGCCTCGGGTTCGGATGACGACGACGATCTTAACCTAGAAACAAAGCCAGTCGTGTTGCCGCCACAAAGAACAAATGCCACTCCACGAAAATGTCAAACTCACGATCAGACAACACCACGAGCTCGGCAGCAATCTAAAATACAAAGCACGTTTACGTCAAATCCGAAAGTGAAACCGACATACGGACGACCCAGTCCAGCGAATGCGTATAAATCACGGGTTCAATCACTTTTTGATGACCTTGATGAACTGCCAGAGTCATCTCGGGTAAATAACTCTATCTCTAACAAGTCCAGTAGTGAACCGACTGCAAGACAATCGCCTGTAACAGGCGGAGGGAACAATTTAGATGCAAAAAAATCCCGGCACAATGAAGTGCCCACCTTCTTGGTGTGACCATCCATGTACCAATCCACAATTTCCCTATGAACACGCCAATTCGGTGTTTCGCATTTCCTCCATCTTGATCGATTCGGCCGGGGCCTTAGTTTCATGACCTGCAGCTGAGCTCGATTTCCACCATCGGGATAATTTCACACGATCTCGGAGGCGGAGGACAGTTTCACGCTCATCCTTCGAACGTGGGCCCGCATCTTGCTCTTCGGTGACGATGGTAGAGATTCCATTTCGATCATCGTTCCGTCCTTCTCCACTGTCGCTATGCAGCTGTCCTGGGACGTAAGCGTCCTGTAATTGATTGGTCAGATGTGATCGTTCTGTCGGATTTTGGCTGGGCGAGAGAACTGACTCGGCATCAGAAAAATAAGCAGGCAATTCTTCTTTGCGGAAATTAGTGGGAGGTCCCTGTTTCATAAATTTGTTAGTGACTGTCTTTGCAACGGCAAACCACTTTCCCGAAGTTCTACTCGACGTACAATTTCGATAATCCGTCCCTTGTCGCGTCTGAGTGGTGCCTTCAGGCACCGGAAAATTTGCCGAAAGCATTCCATGTTGGATTGGTGTTGTTTCAATTGATCCGATCGGCGGACAAGGAGCTCTTTTTTATAGAGAGCTAGGTGGTTCGCGGGGAAATTGGAACAATGGCGATTCCAGCTTAGATGTCCTTGAATGCGAGCAAGGAAATAAAAAGAATAAAGGCAACGCTTGGAGGTGAAACAAATACTATACAACGAGTGACAAGGCGAAACGAGAGACTGGGGATGACAACGCCCAAAGAAAGGAAAAGGAACAAAAAAGAAAAAGGTCACAACTGCTCTACACCATGGAGGTGTGTGTGCTTAGAAAATGAAAGAGTCAAAAGACAGGTGGAGCGAGAGTACATATATTAGTATGTATGGAGTTATGCACATCTATGCTATTCCCGGCGTGTCAAGGACAACCCGATCCACAATCTCCGGTTCAACTAGGCGACAGCCGTACCTTTGGCATGGACAGGATGACAGGCTCGGCACACCAATCTGGCAGTTCGCTCCCCTGGCGGCAGCAGTGGGTCCTCCCTGGGGGGCTAGATTGCTTGGGATTAGCTTTAGGAGAGCTCCGAATACTTGAAGTTACTTTTACCTATTCTGGCTCTCACTGGGAATTCAAGGTGTCTATCGGAGGCGATCACCTCTGCGGGTATCGATCTCTGTATGCGGGCGATACACCCACGATCTACTGCAACTCATCAGATCCAATACAGCAGGTGGGCAGTACAGGCGGCAACCATGACCTGCAGGCTGCAGGGAAGATATGCTGGCGGCAGAGACCCATGCAGATTAGGTATTCGACCCTCAGTGGATCAAGTGGAAAGCAGCCCAGACCAAAGGGGTAAAAGGGAGAAGAAGCAAAGAAAACCCTCGTGTTCTGGCGAAACCTATCCCTCTCATTCTTCGGGTCCCCTTTTCCTCTTTTGGATTAGAGACTCATCTCTAAAATTTTGTACATCCCGTTTTCTGAAATACAGGATATTTCAATAATAGCCAGCCGCCGATCCCCCAAGTCTCCGTTTACCGGGTCGGATATGTGCATGAATGAACCCTGTGAGGGTCCTGGAAGCTCGCGGGAAACGAGATTCCTTGTCCCTAGCGGTGGGGAAAATCGATTTTTCTTTCGTTTCATGCAAGCTGACTAGCTCAATTGGAATGTGTCTCTTTGCCTCGTTTCCTTTGTCTTTGTCTCGGAAACCGGGTGTCCATGAGACCCGGTTCTGGGTAAGCAATTTTAGACCTTTCTTCCAGGGATACATCGTCGATCCCCAATTCTGTACCCGTGTCGATCGATCACGAATTTGTCACTGACAGGGATGATCCTATGGGTTACCTCATCATTCAGGGTTAGATATGTGCTCATATCGGGAGTTATCGGTTCCGCCCCCGGTGTATTTGGTAGATCTGATCTTGGAGGTCAAGTATATACACAATCTCAGAGACAATTATGGCTATTCTCAAACCTTTCCCGTATTAGCACAAAGGGGATATCACTTTATGCACAAGTTCCAGCCACATTGGCAATTTCGAAACAAGGCAGGTTCTTCGACTCGGTTTCCTTTGTCACGGATTGCCTTCGTTTCACTATAATAGTAACACCGCGCCTAAAAGGTTCCAGAAATGCCATCAATTCAATCGAAACAAAAAAACCTTGCGGATGGCTGCGAGGCTCGGGAATGGTTGGCGTGTTTTTATTATTTCGCGTCTCCCTTGCGTCGGAGCTATGCTGAGTCAAAGAACAGCTCACACAGATTGTAGTTCTGGATAAGCTTTACGCAGTACGGAGTACGCATTCTAATATTATCAATTCTAACGTGAAAGACATAAGAAAGACCAATTCAACCTTTCTTTACTATAATCTCTCTTTTTCGGGTAATTGTTGTTTGTTGTCTCATCTGGACAAACAGAGTCGAGCCCTAACTTGAATGGAACCGCAGGGGTAGGGAATTCTCGGACCCTGAGCTAAATCCGAGTGGAATTATGAGTAGCTGAAAGATACGCTTATTGATATATTTACGAGAACTCAATCTTAAACAATGTATTGAATCCTAGTATATTCCAGACATACAATCTATGCTATTCTGGTAAACGTTAAAACCACGAAAGAGTACCAAGCTCGGCAGTGGTATGCGTTGCAGTCCTCGCAATGCAAGGTGTGTCTAGATCTGGAGTTTTAAGTCAGAAGATCCGACGCCTATCTGAATATAGTATACTATTGGCGCATCGGCCAGATCTAATAGGGTGGCTCCCCGAACCGGAAGCTTGGCTTACATTCCTGGCTATTAAACTCACCGGCAATTGGGACATCGCTATTTTACCCGGGAATGTATTTCCGTGTTTCAAGCATCCAGCCATTCTTGTGAGACGCACTCTACGGACCATCCACAAACGCTTTAAGCTACAAATTTATCTACACTATGGATGGGAGGTTGATTAGTATGTTGTACAGAACACCAAATTCTGGATTGATGCAAGACCCATTAGAAAGCTTTAGCCATTGCATTGCTATGTATTGTACACTAGAAAAAAATACGCTTTATGAAATAACTGGTCATATATATATATATATATAGCGTAACATGCGATCTATTCTCTCACATTATTTACAAAAGCCAAGGCTCTGTGTCCTATTAAAGCTGCAAATTCGTGGACGCTTGAAGCAGTAACTGAAAACTTCAGAGAACTCTGTCGGTGAAGTCAATGACTTGCGCTTTCTCGATGAGCCCATCCAGAGTTTTAACAAAGGCCAGATGAGATGGATCGCTTTGTACATAATAGTCTCGATCTGCAGCACTCGCAAACTCTACCACGAATGCATGTGTAATTCCATTCTATCATGTATCAGTAAAATATCCTCGGAGTTTTCTATCTGCTGGTATCTCGGGGAAACTTACTTGGATGCCTTCGGGAGAATTATCCTTCCCGCCAGATGCCGATTTGATATAAGGCTGTTGTGAGGTAGGATGGACGCAATTGTCCTTGAGAGCGAGCATACGCTTGCAGGCCTTTGGGTTAATTGTTAATATCAAATACAAATTGTTTATCGTTCATAATTCAGTTCATCTGCGTCATGGTCTTTTGGTAAAACGTACATCTTGGACAACCTCCGCGGCTACTTCTGACTTGAACTGAAAAAGAACGATATGGGTAATCGACATGCTGAATACTTGTTCCGTGCAATATAATCTTGAAAGGGGATCAACGTAAAGACTTTACTAGGAGCGGGGTAGAATAACAATTCGAATCACATGACCGATGTACTTTCAGTTACCATGGGGTGTCATTCTCTAGAAGACATGAAGAAAAATGAATGATTGACCGAGGTGAATGGAAGAGGGAGGGACTGCTTGAAATACCACAAGCTGACCGATGCAATGACCAAGGCACTAGCACATACTTCTCAACTGCTGTGTAACGACTTGCGAACTATGAATTCACTCTTTCTAAACATTCTAGATATAGCTTAATGCTTGATTATTTCCCATATAAAGCCTATATCATCGAAACTCCCTGTAAAATGACCTGGGCCAAGCTTAAAAAAATGCCGATGCCGCCGAAAATAGCCACCAGCCAAAATGTCCAGTACTTCAAAGTATCACGCCTATCTCTCATGAGACTAAGGATTGAACTTGGCCTTGCATCCTTTAGATTATTTGCCATGACCGTGTTTTTCTTGAATCTTATGAGCTCCAACTCGAAGTTGTACAAGGCTGTGAGGTAGATTCTGCAGCTGTTGAGAGAGCCATTTATCGTACCAGCTCATATCAATGCTAGTATGCGTGGTATCCCTATAGATAATGCATCGTTAATGCATCGTTTCACCACCCCGAGCGGATTTTGCAGATATGTGCTAATACGGGAGTTAAACTAGTTTATTTACTTCCGTATTCGCTAGACCTAAACCCGGTTGAAGAGTTTTTTTACTGAACTCAAAGGCTTTATACGACGCAATTAGTGCTACTACGCAGAAGATCCAGATCGAGAATTCGCCTCCTTTCTCGAACGGTGTATCAATCAGGTTGGGGCAAAGAAAATCAGTACTAGGGGCCATTTTCGGTGCGCAGGCCATAGTGTTGAGAATTTAGACGATTGCAATTCTCCATCGGATGACACCATACAGTAACATGAAGCGATCAATTCCTACATTCAAACCCATCTCATTATCATCATCTGCCTTCGGCCGCCCGTGCGGACCAGTACGGGTGCCACATAGACCAACAACGTAGGCCATATGACCCTTAATGAGCGTTTTGGATCTTAGAAGTCCTCTGTGGTTCCATTACGTAGCGATTTCTTCACTATGCAGCCTCTGTGGCAAAAGCTAGCTATTCACATGGATTAGCGACTCTATTAGTTACTACTCGAATTTTCTGGAATATTCCGCAAGCAGGATAGAGCCGTATAAAGTATTCCCTTCTCCCTCGCCCTTCTTTTATAAAGGGATTAGAAAATAGAGGAAAGAGAAAAACCAAAAATTATTGAGTATTACATACAAAATCCAATAAAGGAAACCCGCCCTGATGCATGTCCTAGGGCAAGTACATTGCCGTTTATCTTGAAAGTGCTAGGTCGAGACTCGATAGGAAGCCACAGAACCCTTTTGCCATTCAATGCTATCCACTGGTGCTCAATAGAGATGCTTAGAGCCGCGTGAGATTGATGGGGCGTAGAGGAGAAGGCCACTGAATCAACCGCATCTGAATGGCCCTCGAGGGTCTGGGTAAGCGCGCCCGTCGCTGGGTCCCAGAGCCGTACTATCTTATCCCCAGAGCCGGACGCTAGTAGGCGGCCGTCGGGCGAGAAGGCCACTGAATCAACCGCCTCTGAATGGCCTTCGAGGGTCTGGGTGAGCGCGCCCGTCGCTGGGTCCCAGAGCCGCACTGTCTTATCCCTAGAGCCGGACGCTAGTAGGCGGCCGTCGGGCGAGAAGGCCACTGAATTAACCGTATCTGAATGGCCTTCGAGGGTCTGGGTGAGCGCGCCCGTCGCTGGGTCCCAGAGCCGTACTGTCTTATCCCAAGAGCCGGACGCTAGCAGGCGGCCGTCGGGCGAGAAGGCCACTGATTTTAGGCGGCCGTCGGGCGAGAAGGCTACTGATTCAACCGCATTTGAATGGCCTTCGAGGGTCTGGGTGAGCGCGCCCGTCGCTGGGTCCCAGAGCCGTACTGTCTTATCCCAAGAGCCGGACGCTAGCAGGCGGCCGTCGGGCGAGAAGGCCACTGATTCAACCCAATCTGAATGGCCTTCGAGGGTCTGGGTAAGCGCGCCCGTCGCTGGGTCCCAGAGCCGCACTGTCTTATCCCAAGAGCCGGACGCTAGTAGGCGGCCGTCGGGCGAGAAGGCTACTGATTCAACCGCATTTAAATGGCCTTCGAGGGTCTGGGTAAGCGCGCCCGTCGCTGGGTCCCAGAGCCGTACTGTCTTATCCCAAGAGCCGGACGCTAGCAGGCGGCCGTCGGGCGAGAAGGCCACTGAATGAACCGCATTTGAATGGCCTTCGAGGGTCTGGGTAAGCGCGCCCGTCGCTGGGTCCCAGAGCCGCACTGTCTTATCCCAAGAGCCGGACGCTAGCAGGCGGCCGTCGGGCGAGAAGGCTACTGATTCAACCGCATTTGAATGGCCTTCGAGGGTCTGGGTAAGCGCGCCCGTCGCTGGGTCCCAGAGCCGTACTGTCTTATCCCAAGAGCCGGACGCTAGCAGGCGGCCGTCGGGCGAGAAGGCTACTGATTCAACCGCATTTGAATGGCCCTCGAGGGTCTGGGTAAGCGCGCCCGTCGCTGGGTCCCAGAGCCGCACTGTCTTATCCCAAGAGCCGGACGCTAGCAGGCGGCCGTCGGGCGAGAAGGCCACTGAATGAACCGCATCTGAATGGCCTTCGAGGGTCTGGGTAAGCGCGCCCGTCGCTGGGTCCCAGAGCCGCACTGTCTTATCCCTAGAGCCGGACGCTAGTAGGCGGCCGTTGTTACCAGCCAGTTCTTAAACAAAAGAGTGCATTTCAACGAGAATACTAAGTACAGGGAGTAAAAGGAAAGAAGAAGAAAGGAAACCTGCCTGGCAGGACCTTTGTGGGTCCTGGTCCTGTCTCCTAATACAAACCATGCAAACATCTACAAGTCGGAGACATCTGGCAGAAACCCCCGCAGGCGGCCAGTACTGGCAGAAAGGATAGTGCAGTTCAGTCTCAATCGTCACAGCCGTCGGGCGAGAAGGCCACTGAATTAACCGTATCTGAATGGCCTTCGAGGGTCTGGGTAAGCGCGCCCGTCGCTGGGTCCCAGAGCCGTACTGTCTTATCCCCAGAGCCGGACGCTAGTAGGCGGCCGTCGGGCGAGAAGGCTACTGATATAACCGCATTTAAATGGCCTTCGAGGGTCTGGGTGAGCGCGCTCCATTCTTCCTCAACTTGTGGTAACTGACATATCCAAGTGGGAAGCAACCGTTTGAACTTTCTACGTATTATCCCCGTTCGGGGTGCAAATACAAGTCCTGCGCAATAAACTTGAAGGGGGGCCTGATCAACTATCTGGCGATTTTTCAGAATAAAGCGCTTTGCATCGTGAACGAAATCAGAAATCAGAGAAGAGTCGTTACCCTAAATCTGTCAGTGCATATCATCTATGATTATCTTCGGAACTTACCGATATGGCCGTTTGGAGCAGATCAAGAATACCTAATACTGCTGACGTAAGGCGCAGTAGGCTCATTGCTTCCACCCAGTGCAAAAAGTGCACCTGGAGAAATTGATAAACATTGTGTATCATGCTAGGCAAGTCCGTGCATTGTACAAGATGATGCGCCCAGTATCGACAGGCATATTTCAGTTCGGGAGGTATATAATGCTGGATCGAATCATTGCTAATTTCATTCCATTGTATGCCTTCGCTTGGCAGTTTGCAGATGTTTTTCTCTAGGCTGTCCTGCATGATCTGAAGGCATCGTTCTGCAAGACGATGGTTTGCGTACTTTCCATTGATCCAGAATTTGCTTTCGTCTTCGCGGTGATCCAAGAGAAAATCTCGGAATGACAGATGGAGGATCCTGACTGGTGTGTCGAAATTGTTTGGTACACTGAGCACCGAGTGGAGCTGGTCTAATCGACATTTGATATCATCTGACTCTCTGTCTATTAGGCGGCCAAGGGAGTTAATCGAAAGCGGAGTGGCAAGAATAATGATCACCCCGACTATCTCCTTGAACTCTTCGAGTAATTTCCGTGACTCTGTTTCATTCTGGCCAGTGAGAAGTTGCTTTAGCACGGGAACATAGGTGCTGTCCATCTTAGACACATAGGTTGATTGGTCTGTCAATATCGCATCAAGTCTCTTTTGAGGGTTCCATTTTATATCACTGATAAAACGACATATGGTAGCAGCTGCGATGAACAAAGGGACGGTCCTATCAACCAATATCTTAGTAGCTGCGGCTCCGGGCCAGTCTGGTGGAAATGAGCGCCTCTGTTTTAAGCGTAGGAACTGATCCTCAAAATATAAGGATATGTCATGCTCTATCACTGGCTTTTCGATCTCATGGAGGACCAAATCCTGGTGGGCATCGGTGATCCCTTCGAAGCCCAGCCTAAACGGCAACTCAGGTCTGCTTGTCAATAAAAACCGTAGTTGCACAGAAGTTGACTTTCGAACTTGTGGCAAGAGCCAGAGGAGACTCCCTATATCCTCTTCTAAATCGCATTCATCTAGAGCATCGATCACGATCACTCTTCTTATGGTCTCTTCTTGCTGCTCAATTCCAAACAGTGGATCCAGTAGAAGCTTTTCAAATTGTTCTCTCAACACCTTTTCCGAAATATTAGGGTCATCGTCAATTGCCTTTTGAACTCCAGGCAGCATTTGAGGTATTTTGTTGACTATTTGCTCGGTTAATGTTGGGAAAAGCTTTTTTGCTGTCCCTCTGTCCTCTTCGCCTCTCCGAAAGAAGAAGCTGGCCCCGAGAAGCTGCTGCTTCTGAAGACGACTTGCAACTGTTTGGGAGATTGTTGATTTCCCTGTCCCTGCCATGCCGTTCAACCAAAATATGCATTTTCCGTGTGGCGATTTTACCCACTCTTCGATTTCTCGAAGTAGGTCAATCCGGGTCCCCGGGAGACATTCACTGTGTTGATTGTCGTAGGAGTCGAATGATGCTTGTTTTGCGGTCTGTAGTCTGCTGAGGTCTATCTTTTTATGGATCAAATTGGTAGATCTCCTGAGTCAGTGTCAGAGTTGGCCCTTGATATGAATAATTAAGAGATCGGATTTCGGTCCGGAGCCTACGTTTGATCAACCTGCAAGGACAAAGCAAATGTTGTTTTGTACGACTCAAGCTCCATGATAGCAAAATCTACCTCCGACCGTGCCAGTGGCCATTTTAAGGCTCGAAGGCCCCATTTCCTCATCTGTTTCTGCGTCGTTTCCGGATTGATTCTCTCTTTCATATTTGTAAGTGCTGAGGAGCATTTGGCAATATTGTCGACCAGGTCTTGCGTAGCAGTAAGTTTGTTGCCATCAGTTCCACGGATCAGCTCATCGAGAGAGTGGAGGACTTGTAAAAGGGCGGCGACCTTCTCTTGGAAACGCTGAATATCCTGCTTCGCGCTCTTGACGTTATTGAGATATCTTCCACATATTTGTAAGATAGCTCCGGTTAATTGGATAACTGCGATAACACTTGCTGCACCCGAAAGTGGATCCATGGTTAACAAGCCTTCCACAGTATTAACGATATCAAAAGTAAAAGTAAGATGTCGGGAAGGATGATAGACAAAAATGGATCTTACGCCCCTCAAAGAGGGGTAGGCATCGAAGTGAGGCTAAGAGCAAAAGGGGATCCTGATTGGCGCTTGTCCGATCGGTTAAGCCACGCAACTACCACAAGGGGTCGTTCGTTTCTGTCCAAGTGGAAACTCTTGCAACCATTGGCTGCGCCCAGCACAACTGGGTTCTAAATAGCATCAATAGAATGTTACGAATCAGGGACTCTTGGGAGAGTGGGAAGATCGGTCGGGGGCCCTGTGAGTGTGTATTGGGGATTGATGATTTGCAGAGACCTGCTGTCAGCTTCCACAGAAAGAGTGACGAAGAGTATACCTGTCAAACCGATTTCGAGAATGACGATACCGCTCAGGGTTCAGATGTAAAACAGACCAGGTCAGAAGGGAGGCCTAAATGCATGGTGGGGAATTATTGCTGATCGAGGTATTCAGCCATCGACAGCAGCCGCCGATGGTAGAAACAACTTCAACAATGAGCCCACACAACATAAACGACCGAGATTGTCATATCCAATCAATAAACCAGAAACAAATATTGCTGGTGGATTACTACGGTACTACATCTTCAATACGAATAACCCTTTGACTCAATATCTTCCGCAATTTGTTGCTGGTCGTTCCAAGCATTACCGTAATGACCAACATCAAAAAAGTGACGCGCTAAGGCGATTCCATCATTATTGCAGGCCCTTTCATATCCGTCACACACAGCCATTCCTGTACATATGGTTACATTCGTTTCTTGTTTCAAATATTAAAAAAATAATTCTAGTCGGTTTACGTGACTTCATAAGCGCTAAGACATTCAGCAGCTACACCTAGCCTCTGGCGCAAATGATTTTGAACCGTTCTAAACCAGACAGGAGCAATGAACGTTGACATTGGAAGTCGTGCACTTTCAGTCTGGGCCATGAGCAGCAAGCTGAGATCACGCAAGAAAATATTCAAATCGACGCTATATCAGCTCTATCTGCTGGGGATTAAAGAGCGCAATCCCTTCCTTGCTAAAGCGTTCCATCTAGACTATGGGAAGGCAAGGCGTATTCCAATCGAATTCCCGAAACACATGGGATGATGACATAGTCTCTTTTTGTGAGGCGCTCATTAATGTTGAAAGGTATGTAGCTATCTCACTCAGTATCCAATACGTTCTATACTACAACATACGATACAGCTAAACAGGGGTTAATTTTGAGTGAGCCCTATATGGATTAGCGTGGTTCCGGGTACGGGCCGAGAAACAAATCGTGAGTGTTTCGAGGGAAGCCGTTTTCGAAATCTACTGTATACGATCAATCACCGCTCAGAAGGTTTAGTGCACCTCACGGTTCACCCTCCCAAGGGCCACTACTACTACAAAGAAGAGATTTATCACTATATCATTGTGGGAAGAGGGACTCTTAAATATTGATCACGATCTGACTTTTGCATATACTATTTGGGGGTCGGAATTTTCTACATCAAGATAAGATGCATGCAAGTTAATAAATCAAACCAAAAGTAATGGGGCTGAAATATATTTTTGCTACACCACTTCATTTTACTTTAAAACTAACAAGGACTCTGCTCCATTTAGGACATTCGTAAAGTGACCACTGCTTGATATCTCAGAGTGAGATGAAGTGTTACTGTTGTGTGTGGGAACTCATCATCTCGTATAATAAAAAAATCGAGTCCAATAACAGCAAAAAAAGGCATCCTCCAAAGTAGATCCTACCTACTTTGGATGCGCAAAAAGAGATGACCGACGCAGGGATCGAACCTGCAATCTCTTGATTCGTAGTCAAGCGCCTTGCCATTGGGCCAGCCGGCCGTGCTGTTATGGTGTCTTTGCTGAAATGTGCGCTATAGGGCAATGGAAAAGTGGGACCAATCCTAAATGCGAATTGAAACCCATCAGGGTCGATTTATTTGATTTAAGTAAGCGTAAGTGGAGTCTTTGGCCAATATATATCATTTTATATAGTAATTTAACTTAAAATAACGTCTAAATTGCTCCTTTTATCTCACTTTTGAGAAACTGCATCAGCACGTGAGATCACGTTAGGTTGTCAAGCCGTGAATGGTGCCTCAGGCTCCTCGGCACCAATTTATTGGGAAAGGGGAAGGCATTCCACTCTACGATTGCGTTCATCTGTCACCTGGATATATTTCATGTCTGTCTGTTTATGTGCTAGAAAACAATGGCTACTACACTAGACAGATACCCTGGCAAGCATTAGAACGACTCGTTGAGGAAGGTCTAGTTAATAACACGAAAACGACTAACTGCACGCCCTTCTAGAACTAGGAGGGTAGGCCGTGATATGATCGAGCAAATATCTAGTCGAGCGGCACATACTCGCCGCCTCCATACCAGAGCCGGCCTCTCCGAATGACTAGACCCTCTTGTCCAACAATCCATTCACCCCCCTCCCTCATGGCACCCTCTTTGGGCCAATACTCATTTTCTAACTTTTGGTTAATCTCGCCAATTTTATCTATCAACAGCTTGACACGCGAATGATCTACTGTCTCTGTTCCATCTGATCCCTTGACCACAAACCCATCCTGAGATATGAACCTTGCGATAGTGAGATGTGCCGAGGGAACAATATAACGCGAAGCAACAGGGACCTTGGTTTGTCGGACCATATCAAAGACATCTCGGCGAAGATGGTGGTATGTGTAGTGCTCGTTATCGCTACTAGATTCCGCTTCTAGGCACTCACCAGCAGCCGGAACAAAGCTGAGCGCCAGTGCAGCGGAATCAAAGCTTACCATAGGCTTGATGAGGCGTGTAGGGCGGCTGCGTGGGTATGCTGCAATATCCGCAGATGTGACATCTTTGGATGACAAGAGGGTCTGGACAAGTCCTTCAATTTGCTCTTCCGTCAGAGAATGCGCGGCTTCCAAGACAGTTATGTGAAGGTTCTCAAGAGGCATGAGCCAGAGTGCTATAGCCACCCATATTAGCCACATAAACGCCTAAAGGGGAAGTACCGAGTCAGGGGATTGTATATTGGTGAACTTACAAGGAGAAATGCTCTTCAGTTCATTTTGAATGAAGCCTATCAGGTCGCGAACTTGAGGTGAAGGTCTGGCCCAAATGACAAGACAGTTTCGAGGATCGACAAATCCGTCCTCCTTTCCAGGGCCATCAAGTCGCTTCAAAATCTCGTCAAGAGACCAGCCAGGAAAGCTGTCGGCTAAGATCTTTGCACTTTGCTGGCTATTACGAGCCACTCGGTGGTTCTCATATCGAGATTGTAGTATTGCCTATTATTAGGCCAAAAAAGGGTTAAGCATCTGGTCTTATCTCATAGTTCTTGCATACACTCACCGAATCATCGTTTGCCTCCGCAATTAAGGTCTGGAAGGGGTTGTCATCTGACAATAGGACTGGCATCATGAGGAGCACCTTGAGATCTAGTCGAGTTTGTTAAAAGGTCAATTGAGAACAAGGGTGGGAAGTGAGTCAACTACAACCTTGGCAGTTGGCAGGCTAAAAATACACATATAATTTAAGGACCAAAGCTGAAACAGGCTAAAATAGCCGACAAAAGGCAAATCCCGCTAGTTTGTTACAAACTTAGAGCATCGGGCCCGAGATGACAGTGTACGAAGTGGTACCATTGACAAGCAAATTTGAAATGCAAGCATATGGATAGTGAAGCCTTGAAAATAGTACTGCAAAAAAGGAGATCATTGAGGGTTGTGCCTTAGGCCGGTAGGACCTGAGCTCCCCTGAACTACTGAATAAACCAAGCCCGAGCGGAGCTGCAGAGCCTCGGCTGTCCGTAGATATGGCCCATCTAGGTTAAACTGTGCAAGGCTCTTATGGCTGTAAAAGAATACATCCCCACTTAGGCTATACGGACGCGTGGCAGGAGAAAATGAATGTGCATAGGTCGACAAGGTAACATATGTAGTCATGACTTCGTACAGATTGATGCAATAAATCTCCTTCTCCTGACGAAAAGAAAATGAACTCATCTCACATGCACATGTTTATTTGGGGTAATCCTTGATGTGGTGGCTTTTCAGTTTGACAAATTGCTCAAAACCGAATCGACTGAGGGTAACACCACGGCCAGAGTTCTTCCAGCCTGTCCAGGCGAGATCCTATAGGGTACTTTGGTTAGCGAACGGTGATAATAGTAGATGGGAAGAGCCGAACTTACAGGGCTAGGGTAGTCAGATCGGTTGACGAAAACAGTACCAGCCTCGACACGTTCAACCAGCTTCTCGGCCGCTGCAACATCCTTGCTCCAAACACTGGCGGTGAGACCGAAGTCGCTATCGTTCATCAAACGAACAGCCTCGTCATCACCGGAGACTTTCATTACAGGAATAATAGGCCCAAATGTTTCATCCCTCATCACAGCCATATCATGATTAGTGCCGGTCAGCAGTGTAGGCTTAACATAATTTCCATTCGGGGGAAGTTCTCAAAGGTCTCATTTGCAGGAGTCTCGTTCTTCGCACCCTTCTGCACGGCATCCTCGATGTGTGCGAGAATGGCCTCCTTTGCACGCTTAGAGACGACAGGTCCAATTTGGGTCTTGGGGTCGGAAGGCTCGCCAACACGGTAGTTGCTCAGGACCTTCTTCACCTCGGCAATGAAACCATCGTAGACCTTCTCGTGGACATAGACACGCTCGATTGCGCAGCAGCTCTGTCCGCTATTGAAGATAGCGCCATCCACGACTTCCTCGGCGGCCCAGGCGAGATCAACATCATCTCTTACGTAGGCCGGATCCTTGCCACCAAGTTCTAGACCAACATTCACAATCCGATCGGCGGCTGCCTTTTGCACTGCCAGGCCACCAGCTTCGGAACCAGTGAAACAGATATGGTTCACCAGCGGAGACCGCACCAGGGTCTCGATAAATGTAAAAGATCCGGAGTGGAAGAATTGAAGCACATTTTCGGGAAGACCAGCCGCAGCAAAAGCAGAGGCAAATTGTTCCACGATTGTTGGAGTCTGAGGGGAGGGCTTGAGAATAACAGCGTTTCCAGCGAGGATGGCGGGAATCAAGCTGTTGACAAGGGTGAGGTAGGGGTACTATATATCGATTTATCAGCATCTGCAAGTATACCAATATCTTCACGGATTGGACTCACGTTCCATGGGAAGATAACCAGCGCTACACCGACAGGCGAACGCTTTATATACCGTCTGAATCCCTTCTCTTCCTCTCCAGCCACAATTCCTTGCTCGCCTAGCACGGAGGCGCTAATGCGGACCAAGTAACGACTACGCTTGATGGCGGTCGCGACTTCAACACCGGTGTAAGCGATGGGCCGGCCCATCTGCTCAGTAATCTCGCGTGCCAATTCATCCTTCTTTTCTTCCAAGATGTCAAGAGCACGTTCCACGATTTGCTGCCTTTGTTCCAAAGTTGTGGACTGTGAGAATGACCGGAAAGCTGCTTGGGCGGCCACAGGGATCTGTTTCAACTCCTCCGATGAGACACCGGTGCGGGTGACAACAGGCTCATTGGTGGCGGGGGAAATCGTTGAAATTGTTTCCAGTGACATCGTGCAATGTATTTATGATTCAACTAATGAAGAGAAAACAAGGAATTGGAGAAGATGTTGGGGAAGGGATGAGGGGCAGTCACGTTACGGCTCCCCGCGGTTTATCTCTTATCGTGAAAAATGAGGTCATCGTCATGCAGCACTTGACATTGCTCAAGCTCTATATATCTCTAACTAGACGTGCACCCGCCCATGTATAGCGGTAGTTATGCTGGTACCAATTGACACTAAAATGTGTTAGTTGGTCTAGTTTGCTGAATATCATGTGGCCTATACTCACAAAGTAGTCCGGCCAGCAATTCGAGGCAGAGTAGCCCAGGAGCCCCCGAGAACGATATTGTGTTTTCCATCAAAGAAATCCGCTGTTGAGGTAAATTAGTTTAGGTTCGGTTTTAATGCTTAAGGTATCACTCACATGTGTATCCAGGGTAGATGTCCATAGGTTTGAAGCCATCGTGCGGCATCAAGGGCGTGCTAGTCCATTCCCAAACACCTCCCATTTCACCCTGACCAGCTAACTGATCCCCATTGGGCGTGACAGGAACAGGGTGCCAGTTATTGAAGCCAACATTGCAACCAGTGAGATCACGGAAAACAGTCTGATTAGTAGAGTGGGCTTTGCTGAACCCATTGACCCCATTCCTATTTTATAAGTTAGGATCTGCTATATCATAACTAAGATTATTTTCATACCTTTGGCCATTCGTGATTCGATCACTCTTGAGTTGGTCAGAGTAGTGATATATGCTCCTGGTCTCTTCAAATGTGGGGATCCTGCATTTCATGTGCTTTGCATAGCTCGCTACTTCATCATAGGAAGCAACCAATGGCCAATCTTGTGCAACTTCAAGAGCCACAGGTCCAAACACAGTTCGAACCGTGACATCCTCAAGAGAAAATCCTGCAGGACTGGAGCTCGAACCGGCCTGGGCGCCTGAGGAACTGATGCCCTTGGAAACGAGATTGCCTTGGCCTGGGTTAAACACCCAAGACGCAGGATATGTTTGAATACCCTTATCCTGTATGTACTTGGCATATTCACCATTGGTGATGGGTCTTGCTTGAGCTTCGAAGGCATGCACAGTAACCTTTCTTTGAGGTTTCTCGTTGTCCCATCCAAAAGAGTCATTTGGCATGACTTCTTCATTGGAGTCATCCAGTCCAATTTCGATGGTCTGCTGTGGAATTCTAAACCACTTGTTTGGCTTTTCGTCTCTCTTCGCTTGGCGGCTGATTTTTTCAAAGTTCGGGCGATCAACACCTGTGGGAGGCAGAGTTCTATCACTCTGGAGCAGCATGTAGAGGAAAGTCTCGAGATGCATTGCTTCGTGCTCGTAGCCAAGCCAAAGTGCCTCTCCAAGAGTACGGTCCTGTGGCGCATATCCCTCTTGTAGGATTGAGAGCGCACGGTTTCGTACTCTGTCTTGGTAGTCCAGAATTTCGTCCAGTGGCGGCCACTCATCGGGTATTTCGCTGTGGCTGTGGCATTGCCGTGGGTCTTCGACGTCCGGATCAATTCCGCGCTCAAAAATTAGTTTATAATGACTAGGCTCGGTAAGTTCCTCCTGCAAAGCACGCGCCAAATGAATATCTGGGTTCCAGCATGATTAGCAATGAACATGATAAGCAACGTTGAACATCGGAGACACACCGAAAAATGTCGGAATGTGGCCAAGATAAAAGATCAGCTCATTTCGGAGTTTGATCGGCTTGGACAAGAGCTCCTCGTAAGGGACCATGGTTCTAGTCGCGAGATCCCACGCAGTCCACAGAGACTGAAAGTTGTCGATACTCGGGATCGGTTGGGCTGCATATTTCGAAGGGTCCATAGACACATCAAGCGCAGCGGGTGATAGCAGATGAAGGTCTGTTTAAAGTCAGCAAATCTGCCATGACGATTCGATTAAAAGATCGAAGCTCACGATAATCATCCGTCAAATTTCCAAATTCGACCTGGGAAATGAGGTTTGCATTGCGCCAGAGCTCATCTCGTTCGTTGCGACCGTACTTCCATGCCTCTTCAAAGATGAGCTTCTCTCCTTTGGGAATATTGATCCCATTGATGACCACATCAACTCTCGGAACATAAAATGCTTGATGCCGTCCCTCAGTGGCATCGTACTCGGTCAAGATCTCCCATTCGTCAGCCTTGAAGGCCTCGAAGCCAAGAACCCTGTTGGCATGCAAAAGGCCATTCTCATAGAATTGGCGAGTAATGCCTTTAGTATCATTGTAAGCCTTGAACACCTTTTCTGGATTCTTGCATGCATCCAATCCAATAAGCATGAAATCGGACGGGCCCAATAGCTTGGAAAAACCACCAAGAAATTCCGCAGCACCCGGAGGACTAAAATTGCCCATGGATGATCCCATTGACAAGACCATGGTCGGTCGCTTCCGATTTTCTGGGCTTTTCAGCCAGCCGACAGCATCATCGTACGTTCCGTGGAGTCCATGGAATCCTACATGGACGAAGCTTTCGGGAGAGATTTCAGAGAATGTACGCTGTAACTCCACCAATGAAAGGTCCAAAGCATAGTAATCCACTTTCTTTTCAGTCCGTTCACACTCACGAAGTAGAATCTCGATCTTGCGCAGGTTTCTAAAAAGAATAATCGTCAGAATTTAGGATAAACTCCTCCTAGCGCGCGATGCGGCAGATGCAGGGTGTACGGGTAACAGACCCACTGCCGAGCTCCACCAACTGTGCATTTTCTGGAATGCGTGCGACTATCCTCTTCGCATGTTTTGTCAAGATCTCGATCTCCGTATTGGTAAGATAGTATTCATCCAAGTAAGTGATCTCCTCGAAGAGCTTCAATCCTTTGGTGTCGTAGAGTAGAAGGGTTGGGAATGTGCGCGGTCTGCCTGCTGGTGGGTCCAGATTCTTGTAGATATCATCCACCAGGGAGAATTCCATATCATCCTGGTGGATATTCACGATTTCAACCGTGTCGATGTTTCTAAGCAGGGTAGGAGACATGACTGCGAATACGTCAATGTCGGTTCAGAAGTGGAAGCAGAAAAAAAAAGGTAGAGGGTTGATCTCAGGCATTTGCCAAGTGAAACCAACCTTGGGGAAGTGGAAGAGGTCAGCGTACCTGCTAAACAAATCTCTATGACAAATTATTACGGGTGACGTCCACGGGCCGGAGGATATATGACGACTTGGTCTATAAGAGAATAGGGAAATAAATGAGAGAAAATAAATGAGAGGGGAAAAAATTACTACATAGGAGGCCTCGGGGATTCTACGCACACTTTATAACTGTGAGGTTCCAGCCTCTAACCCGGTTTTGTAAACATGTTTGCAACAACACCCCCGCAAGTCTAGATTTATGGGCTGACTCTGTAAGTGGATTACTCTGGGAGGATCTGTAGTATCAGATTGGACAGCGCAGACTAGACAAACAATTGACTCACCCTAATGCGCATTTTGCATCGGCGTCGGAGTAAGACTATACACTATTCTACTACACACTCTACAGCTAACATACTTTGGGTATCTCTACCAACCACAGTTCCGAATCAGTTGTGGATGTGCCCGGATATACCTCGATTAATTTAGCGGCATGCCCGTGGTCTTACTCTTCCACTTTGTATGGTTGCATCTTGCTGCTCGAGGTGCTTTAGACACGGAGTAGATGTGGGGCTACAGAGATAGGTGATGTCAGAAGTGGCAGTTTGCTGCATTTGTAAAGTTTGTTCTGTTTGTGTTTGTTATGTTTGTATGTTTGCAAGTTTTGTTTGATTTGCATGTTGTTAGGAGCCCCACTTTTCCAAGGGAGTCCACGGATGTGTTGCCAGTCTATGTTTAGTAAAGATTTCAAATCATGTTTTATTTTTTGACTCCATTAGTACAATGAAATTATTTTCAAAGAAACAATTATTTCTTTCATCAGTATGGTGGAATCCTCCTTTAGAAGCCACCCCGGCAACATCTCGATGGACGAGTATATAAACCCTGAAAGAATCATCCCAAACGAACTATTCATCAGCTTGAAAACATTACAAGATATTCCCAGTCCAAAATGGCCCAAATAACCAACATTTTTCGACGTCTGCGCAAGGGTATCAAGTCCCGACAGTCAACCTCGGAGGGCGCATACACCAAACTTGCCGAGCTAGAACAAGAACTATCTCGAGCCATCAATGCAATGTACGACCTTCAGATGCGGCTCGCAGAGCATGATTTTATGCTCGCACACACCACCTCAAGTAACCCCATTCTTGTCATTCTCCCTTTTCAATTTAATTCCCACTCCCTATCTGACAATCCTAGAACAATTTCACCAACAGAAATAACCCCAACCTCGATCAATGATATCTGGCTCTGTGAATACAGTGGCTCATTACTGATAGACGCAGAAGAGCGGTGGCAATGCGATGAGCCAGAGCTTGCAATGGAGCTTGCCTCACAGGTCATTAACCAAAACCCCTTTCTGTGCGAACTTGATGAGATGCGATGTCGACTATTTATCGCTGCTGTTCAACATTATCTTTGCCGATATGAAGATTCCATGATGAGCCTAGAGACGGTTATGCAAATTAACACGTGCTATGCTGTATTAAACAACCCAGAATCTAGCATTATCGCCGGCATTACTTATTTTATCAAAGGAATGAACCTCATGAAACTTGAAAGGTTCCCAGAGGCTTATGCATCGCTCACTCGAGCACTACATATACCGGGCTACAGCGAAAAGGCCCGCGAGGTCCAAAAGCAGGCTATCATTGGGTTTACTTGCATAGAGGCCGCTGAGTTTGACCCCTCTCCGGCAGCGTCCACCAACGCATTATTAAACTGGGAAGATAGTGAAAAATACAAACAATTTCTAAAGGACTCTCTATTGGGTTGATGTTGCTACCTCGGTATTTCCTCCGGTTCGTTTATTGATATATATGACTCTCACGATAAGCAAGCTGGCTCGTGTCTAGTTTGTTTGCAGTCAGACAGTAGTCCGGGAAAGAAGGTTCCAGAAATAAGTTGAGAATTAGGTTTGAAAGGGGGACTTGCAAGAGTTATGTTGCTTGGGGTAGTATGTGAGGAGGGCATGGTGCCCGGGGCGGCTTAATATAGTACTTGAGCGCTTTGTGCTGTCACTTATTCTTTGATTTTAGTATTACGGTTCTCCAAGCTTCGTGATTTGTTCTCCCTGAGTGACGGCAAAAATATATGAACATTTTGTAAGGGGATATCTTGTTGTGATGTCCTCAAGCTGATGAATAGTGCTTGAGCAAAAATAATCCAATAAGAAACATCCACAATTTGAATTTCACTTTCGAGTAAACTGTGACAGAGAAAACTTTGTCTATATTATCTCCAAACGTAATCGGCTTACCTGCCACAGTTGTATCTACCCAAAGCACAACGTATGTGTATTTTGACAGAGCCAAAACACCTCTAGGGCTAGGTGGGGAATAGTTACTTAGTGCTAAATACACAGCCATGAAACTCATTTTACTGGTTTCTTTCTCAACTTGTATAAAGCAAGCCAAGAGATGCACAAAGCGAATAGGGTAGTACATATCTAGGCGGCGTTTCGGTTTCAGCGAGGCTAACAATAGGATTGGGAGAAACAAAGGAAAGAACGATCCAAGTCTCGGTATCCCTTTTCAGACAAATGTCTTTGTCTCGAATTGTCTTCAAATTCTTTGCTCTTTTGAACGCGTTTGTTGTCTTTCTTGTCAACGCGTCTGCAAAGTACATAAGGGTCACTGTTGATCGCTTGGTCACTGTCTTCCTCCACCAACGCCCAAAATACCAATATTCTTTTCCGTCTCTTTTATCTGACAGAAATTCTTGGATCATTGCAAGATTACCAGCAATCCCGTCGCATCTATTTCACGAATTTGCCAAGATCAACCCTCAAGACCCTGCTAGGGAAAACAGTATTTCGATCATGCCCAACAACTTGCCCCCCGCGAGCAATGAGAGGAGCTCCTGGCAGACCACACTTCCTCTATCATCTCAAGAAGAGAAAGAGCTCATACTAGAAGCCCGCGCTTTGCGAGAAGAAAAGCTCAAGGCTCTGGCAGACGTCATCAACAGCATGTCCGTCGAGGTGACTGACAGAGATATCCTCCATATGTACTATCGCGTCGAGGTTGGCTCTTATCTCTTGCCAGCTTCGGCCTTCATCGCCAACGAAAATCCCTCTGGAGCTGAGGTTATGATCAAGCTCGCCAGGGAATCTGCAAATAAATCCAAAAATCCGCTCCTCGTTGCCAAGTGTGAGTTTTGGATGGGTCGAGTTGAGTTTTTGCGCGGAAACATGCGCAAAGCTCATGAGCACTTCGTGAAGGCGAACCCTTGCGCCATGGATCCGAAGGAAGGTGTTGAATGCCAGGACCTGAGCTTTTATTTGGATGTTACCAGGCATGGAATTAGTGAGCATACTCGGGCTGTAAGACTACGTGCTCACGAGGAGGCTATCGCGGCGCACGCGAAATTCGACAAGACTGCGAACAACTCTGTTTCCACCGAAGATAAACGCAAGCGGCCATTGAGGACTTGGAAGGGGGCTCTCGTCAAACTACAACTACCTTTGATCAAGCAACGTCCACTTACTAAAATCAGAAAGCCCCGGTGTAGGGTGCCAATTCTACGAAAAGTGGGCGAGAAGAATCTCCAGCAAGGGATAGATACCGAGACAAGCTCCAAAAATGAGGCTCTTGGAAAAGTCCTTGCAGAAGAGCTTGGGTACGAGTCTTGGAGTGATTCTGAAGATAACACCGATACCGAGACTGAGGATGAATCTGATGACGACCCCAGCGAAGGCCCTGCAGACGGTACAGATGATACCACAGATGAAAACACACCAAACTCTCCAGGTGCCCCTGATGAAACCCAACAGCCAGAGCCCTCCATTGACACGACCACAGCTCTGGTCAACCGTCCGACTGATCAATCCGCGTACGAAATGCCCAAGCCAGGATCGGCCCGGGCCCGGTTCAGACAAGAATGTTTTCAGATGGGCCTCACATCAGTACTCAACGCAGAACCTTACGAGCGTCCGAAAGAACCATTTGTATTTGGAATCCCCCACGAACGTACGAAGCAGACCGAGTTCCGGCTCGGTTTTTTCAAGGTTGGCCTGACAAAACGGTGCCGCCCAATGTCCATTTTTCCGAAACAGGATGGTGAAATCACAATTTCTCCAGAAGAATGGAAATCCATCGAACAGGATGCTCGTCAAAAGATTGTGACTTATGATTACTTGCGAAGGGAGAGATATGAATTGGTCAAGGTTGCTGAGGAGATGTAAGTTTGGGGTTGATTCAGAATTGCAGACATGGACCAAAATATGTTCCGGAAATATATGTACGAATTGTTTAGTTCGAATATTTTCTTTCATCTTTCATCTTTCTTCCTTTGATCCTGGATCTTCTAATATGGTATTAAGTAAAGTAGTCAAGTTTGATAAAGTAATAATCAAATCGGATAATACAATTCATCTCTAGAGGATGTTCTTGTTCCAACTTGAAAGATGAGAGAAGTATGGTATACGGGAATGGGATTCAGTGATAATGTCAATATTGGCCGTGTCTTCCATCAATTGGCCCAAGTGGTCGAGCAGTTTCCTGGTCTAGCGGTTATGATTTTCCGTTAACAAATGCGATTAGCATATGTTCCGGAAAGGTTCTGGGTTCGATTCCCAGGGAAACTATTTTTTTGATTTTGCATTTTTGTTCTTAAATTCATCTTGATTAGAGAGAGGCACTTGGTTTCTCATTTGTTTTTAAACTTAATAGTGAAACATTGGAGATTTTCAATTAAGTGGTCTGAATTCAATGTCTTCTATTTGCAATGTTGTATGCCAATGCCACCACTGGCTATAAACTTTTTGTGTCTGAATGATTTTGATTGACTGTCCAAACTCTAAGTGGTATTTCAAAAAAAGAATTATATAAAATATGTGCGCTGTCAAAAATGTGCAACATGAAACCAAAAATGCCAAATCTCTAAACGGTGAGGAAATGGGGGGCGTTCAGGATCAAACCCATCAGGCATCCACCAATGGTACCAGCAATGGGAATGGTCATGATCCAAGCGGCCAACAAAAGGCCAACACGCTGCCAGTTGACAGCCTTGTAAGTTCCGTTGCACAGTCCAACACCGACGGTAGCGCCAGTGATGCACATGGAGGTGGAAACGGGCAGGGAGTACTGCGAGAAAACCAGAACTGTGAGGGCAGCACCCATCTCCATGGAGGAACCGCGGGATGGGGAGTGGTAGGTGATCTTGTTACCCATGACTAAGTGCATAGTTAGTAAAAATGAAAATTAGAAAAAAGGAAAGAGGAATGGAGTGCTTACCCTTCATGATGTTGTATCCGTAAGTGCAAAGACCGATGGAAATGCAAATGGCCAGGACAGCAAGCTGCCAGATGGGCACGGGGGACTTGGATGCAGCGGGGGTACCGGTGGACCAGGCAGAGTAGATGGCAGCCCAGGGGCCGACGGAGTTACCGATATCATTGGCACCGTGAGCGAAGGAAGCAGTGCAGGCAGTGATAATCTGAATGAAAGAGTATGTATGCTCGACCTCGTTGGGGTACTTCTCGGCGTTGGCATAGACACGCTTCATGCGCTCACCCTCCGGTGTACCCTCGTTACCGCTCTGGGCAGTGTGGATATCGTAGTGGAAACCGTAAAGAAGACCGACAGTGATGATGGCCGGGATGCGCTTGGCCATGCGCGCCATGTTGCGGAATTCGTAGATCTCACCGGGGCCCATGGGGTTGTCGCGGAGAAGGCGCATAGCCCAACCAATAGGTCCACGGCTTTGAAGGAGCTTGGCGTTGTGACGGTCGTCAGACTGGGCCATGAGTTCACGGTAGGTGAGTTGATTGGCCTCGAGTCTTTCGAAGGATTGCTCTGTAGTAGAGCCTGGGAGGGAGGCAACGCCGGCTTTGGGCTCCTTCTCGTCGATAGGCAGCTGAGGCTCAGGGTACTCGGGTTGATCTTGAACCACAGCGTAGTCGGGGACCTTGGCAACCTCGGAATCGGTAGGAACAGGACGACTGAAGAGAAGAGGGCCTTGGATGACCATCCACCACTTCACACTGGAGTCCCTCTTGATAACGCGGGCGTGAAGGAAAGGAACGAAGAAGATAGCAGACAAAAGGCAGACACCGCCACCAGTGCCCATAGTGACAGCAGCAACGTACCAGCCGGGCTTCTTGTTCAGACCCAGGTTGGGAGAACCCTTGTACACAATGGAGAGCGTGCAAATGGTGGCAGCGACCAAGAAGAAGAAAGGAGCACTCCAGACGGCCCAGGAGATGGGGTTTCTCCGCACATGAACGAGGTACTTGATCAGCATGAAGATAATAGCACCAAAGCAGCCGGAAATGACAGGAGCCATGCCGAGACCAGCGAAGATGGCACCAAGACCCTTGCCATCGTTCCAGCCCCACTGAACCTGGGAAGCACCAACAGTTGCAACACCGACACCAGCGACAGCAGAGATGAGAGAGTAGGTGGAGGAGACGTGGGCGGAGTTTTTGGTACACCACATCACCCATGAGGATGCAGCGGCAAGGGCACATGTGAAGGCGAGCATTTGAACGCCGGCATTGCCTTGGAAGGCCGAGTTGGGGATGATACCGTTCTTGATGGTATCAGCGGTACGAGCACCGACAGCGACGGCTCCGACGAACTCGAAAATGGTACCGAGGACCATAGCCTGGCGGTAGGAGATGGAGCGGGAGGAGACACTGGTAGCCCAAGAGTTGGCAACATCGTCTATGAAAATCCAAAGGTTAGTTGAGGTCAACAAGTAGAAGATAGGCTCTGTGGCTACTCACTTGCACCGTTGTTGAATGCATCAAGCATAGCAAACAACGTGCCGATGGCAAAGATGTAATCGTACTGGTGGAGATACATCTTGATAGCTTATATCAAATCAAATGATATAGTGATACCAAGTCAATTGAAAGCTTAGTTCTGAACTTTCAGTTGCACGGATGAGGAAGAGAAACAAAGACCAAGGCGAGAAGAGTGCCTTTTATGTATGCATGGAAGATTCTAAAGGTTGGTACGGGCCCCTCTGCTCCTCTATGCACGACAAGCTCTGGTGGCAAGCGTTCCACGCCCAGGAGAACTTCCCGTTTGGGTAATTCTGACCACACGTGCTGGTCCTACTCGCAATGGTAGCCCATGAATCATCGTTCGTGGACTTGGCAAAAAGTAAATGTAACAAGGCCTGGCCAAGAGGGAAAATAGCACATTTCCGCAAGCTTGTGGTCTCAAGCAAATTGGACAAGGCCTTGGCAACGACTGGGCGGAACTTTTTTACATTGAGATATACTATGGAATGCGTCCAGATGAGGTATAGATCTAGTGGGATTCAGTGGAAAAGACATCTGATTGGCTGTAGCGACACAGCCATTGGATGGTTGCGGCTCTTGGCGGGGGTGGGGGCGTACGACCCACCTCTACCTATGAGAGCACAGTAAATCTACACGTGGGTGTATAAGAGGCCCATCCCCGGAGTGTCTTTGGAGGTCTCTCGCATGGCTCGTTTCTATTCTAGAAACCACCTGGGCACTTCTTGACTTTCTCTAACCTTTGCTGGTTTCACTCTTGCCAAGACGGTGGGTCGGACACTCCGAGGCGAGCGCACGTGCCCTCAATGGAGGAATTTGTTCTTTTTCAAGGTTGACAGTCAGCAATTGGTAGCGAGGAGAAGGATAAGAAAAAAGAGATCAGAGAATTATCTCTCAGTTTGGTTCGTCAGTTCCAAGGTTTTTGCCCCAGACAACCAAAGTCATGGTTGAGTAATAGAGCAATTTGCCCACGTGCAATGTACATGGATAGTACGACACTACGGAGTACATAGCACGCATTAGGCATAACGGAAAGTTGCAATGGGATTAATAATATGAGATAACTGATGCGGGAATTTCTCGCATGCTTTCGCCCCGCTCGTTAGAGGCGTTCGCACCTGTTCAATACTAATATCTTGGCAATTTAACCAGGGGCTCGTATGACCGCTAAGCTCGCCCAAAGCACGAATCAATCGCATTGATCTATCCCCGAGGAGCCTTCTTAGGTAAACGATATCTCATTTCTGTCTAGTCAGAACTTGTTCTTTTGGAAGTTACTCCCCGAAGCTCGTGTGGTGTGGTGGTGTGCACCAACCTGGTTCTCTAAATGGATGTATCCGACAGCTGGCCGACCTCAGCAATGTTTTTCGCCACGGTGGGTTCTAGGAATTTCCTCGAGAGGAACAGAGCAGGGCGTTCAGATGGCAAAAATCTTTTGGCCAGTCTCAATAGAAGAAGCGGGCAAACCGAACAGTCACTCATTGGCTAGATCCTGATAGAACGGTGGAAAGAATGTCAAGACTGCGCTTGTCACGAATTCCAGCACATAAAAGCATTGATGTTTGGATTAACCATTAGCTCAGTAGACACCGAGCAAAGATACTTCACCACACTCTCGTCTACCGGTACGGGGGTCTCCCAACATCGACGTGAACCGTATCATCAAATCGAAGCTCCCTATTGTTGACGCTCCAATTTGTCCCCCAGTCCACATCGAATGTTGTCTCATGGACATCATCATATACGTCAAATATACGCTTCTTTGCGGACCGAGGAATCGACTCGAGACCAATTGTCCCCATATTATTTCAGTCACTGTGATGCATCGTCGAATACGAGCCTTACTCAATACTCCAAACAATGCTCGCAACACTGGGATGGAAACAGTGAGAATGGCGGAACTAACTTCCATGGTAGACCACACCATCACAACAGAGAAATAGAAAACTCCGTCATCCAAGCGTTGGAGGGCAACTATCATGGACAGACACCATTCGGAGAATCGACGTCCTATATTCTGTGAGTTAACAGACAACGACTGGGATAGAGGAAGATGCTTACACAACCGCAATATATAGATGGAGATTAGCTCCTTCATCTCGCTCAGTGCTGACGAAGAAAAAGACAAGAGAACCTACAAATTTCCCACACAAAGCACAAGCGAGCCACAAACGATAGTGAGCACAGAAGTCGAAACGAATACCGGAGCCCATACATCCGCCCCTTGTGCTGTCCCAAAGAACAGCGAGAGGAACATACCGCTGAGCGATGATGAGTGTCTGCGCGACATACAAAACTGTCGTGAAAGCGAAAGTTGGGGATAGAGGGTAAATCGTGGCATTTAATCCAGACGAGGACAGAAGGCGATACCGGAGATATGACACGGCCACATATGAACATGTACGCGAGTTAAGCTGTGGCAAGCCATTTGTACATGTGTGCAAAGACTTCCGGGTTGTTCCTCAATGCTGTGAGATGCTGACTGGAGCCACAATGAGCGATCATTAGTCAACCCCAGGGGCTATCCAGCCGACCAACTATATGGATTTCCAGTTCCTAAGAGCTTGCCAGTGATCAGATCCTACGCCTATCGACCTGTGCGATCACGATAGTGAGACCATCCATCCCGGCTCATGGATCAGATACCCCTCGAGCATCCAGGCCAACCAGAACGACAACCAATGCCGATAATCGCCAGTTGGAGGCGATCTCCGCTAAAACGGCCGAATATTCAGAAGAGGATACCATGCTCAAAAGAATATACGAAGAATTGATTTCATTTTCTAGAAAATGAAATTGAGGGCGAACATATGTCTCTTGAGTCTGTCTTAATGTGGCTCTCCAAGCGCGGCCCCACAAGGAATCCGCCAACACCAATGCATCTCACATTCACCAGCTTAGATTGATACAAGACAGCAAAAAATAAGGACTAGTACAGTGAGTTATGTTTTATAAGTTGTGAACGGTTTCCTTACTTGTGTCCAGATTTCCCCTAGTCGTGTCATATGGTGGGATGAGTATGGCCGGTAGATATCTCCTGGAAGTAGTAAGACTAACCGCAAGGCATCTATACCTATTGGTATTTGTTTTAATGCTGACACTACCTCTAGGTGATTCTCAGTATCAACACATGGGTCTTTCATCCCAATTCACATATCTCCGGCGAGCAGCAGATTCAACCCAGACCGTTGGCTTCAACAAAGACGAGTTATGTCGACCGATTTCCCATCCATGTGTGGATTGATAAGACCTATTGTAATGGAGAGCTGGGTACGACCAATGCTTCGGCCGCAGCCTTGCTCAATTTGAGCAACTCAAACTAATGGGAACCTTGATAAGGGACTACGGTATTGAGCAAGTGAATGCTAGAAAGGAGTGGGTATTAAGAAGCCAGTTTACAACTATTCCGTCTGAATGGCCATGCAATATTCAAAGACGCTCGCGCGATTGATCGAGAAAAGAAAAGGAAAAGAAAGGGAGATCACCGACGGCATAAGCGGTCCCATAGCCTCCCCATGCCTGCCATTGGTTTCTCAACAACAACATTGGGGATAGCTTGCAGAAGGAATCCGATGGGAATAGATATTGCACCAAGGACGATGGAATATGCCCATTGATCGCCAGTCAACTTCGTGATTGAGAATGCCCGCCCGCCGACGAACATAATCAGGATCTGAGCTCCCATCATGATACAGGTGATTGCTATGAAGAGCCAGTTATGATGGATCCCTTCGATTAGGTTAAATGATCGCTCAATTTGTCGATTGCTGTATTGGTGTTAGCAAGAGAAGAAAAAAACCGAAGGCAATCTCAACATACTTGTACATGTTGAATATTTGCATCCAGACATAGGTGTTGAAAACAGCAGTCTGTAACTGTGATGTTTGAAGGGCACTGTGGTAGGAGAATATAGAAGAGCCCGCGAAGTATAAAACGAGTGTTACTACCATCTGATACACAGATTGGCCAATGATCATCTTCCACATCGTAGGGGTAATCAAAGGTGTAGATGTTGGCTCAGGTTTGCGGTCAAGGATCCGGCGAGGAGGGGGGTCGGTTGCTAGCGCCAGAGCTGCCAGAGTGTCTTGGAAGAGGTTTACCCACATGAGCTGCACTGGTGTAAGAACTGACTCTTGCGATGAGTTGGCTACCGCAGAGACAAATGCTAGGCCCACGGAGGTGAAGGTGATGGTGATTTGGAACTGGAAAAAGCATATTAGTCTGACCGGCCATCTATACTCCTTGTTGATAGAGCCTCTAGTTTACCTGCAAAAATTTCTTGACGGCATCGCTGACTGCTCTTCCCCACATGATAGCCTTAACAATTGAAGAAAATGTATCATCCATCAGGACAATGGAGGAAGCCTCACGAGCAATTTCAGTGCCGGATATTCCCATCGAGAACCCGATATCAGCAGCTGCAAGGGCAGGGGCATCATTGGTACCGTCTCCAGTGACAGCAACAACTCTTCCAAGATCCTTTAGACGCTGGACCAGAACACGCTTATCATCTGGACGAGATCGAGCAAGGACCTTGAGGCGTGGAACTAGCTCCTTTTGCAGTGATTCATCCATCGCACGGAATTTGCTGCCTTCCATCACAAGATCATCTGGACTGTTAATGATCCCGCATTCTTCTGCAATGGCTCTTGCCGTTAAAAGGTTATCACCGGTAACCATGCGCACAGTTAGACCTGCTTTATGACTGGTCTCCACAGCACCCCGAGCATCGGCCCGGAGAGGGTCTCGTAGACCCAAAATTCCATGAAAGGTAAGCTCTTTCATCAGCTCCTCGAAGTCGATAGTTTCCTCCTCGCCTCTAAAAGGCAGCTCTTCTACATCACGGAAGCAAATCGCAATTGTGCGCAAGGACCGTGAGGCGTACCGAGATATTGTCTGGAGTATTTGTTCAACAACATCATCCGTGATTGGAGCAGTACTAAGCCCTTGAATTGGCTGTGAAATTGTGGCCACACATTTCTTAAGGAGAATCTCAGGAGCACCCTTCACATATGATCGATACAACCCGCTACCCAGTTTGACAACCGTGATCATGTATTTGCGAGAAGCGTCAAAAGGCAAAAGATCCACAACTTCCGCACTGGCACGATCAAAGTCAAGCTGACCTAGCTCGAGATAGTCCTGGGAAAATCTCAATAAGGCTGCCTCTGTTTGGGACCCAAGAAATTGCCGACCCCCGTCATACTGGCTTTCAATTGCGGTCGAGTTGACCGCGATAGATTGCCTCAAAAGCGATCTTGATTGACCTGAGAGACGACCCATGCACTTTGCCACAGATAAAGAATTTTCTTCATCCAAAATATCTGGACTGCTAGCTCGATCGGTAAATTGTGAGGTAGCACCGAAGAAACCTGCGACAACAGTCATCTCATTCTGTGTCAACGTTCCCGTCTTGTCGGAGCAGATATCTGTGGCTTGTCCCATCGTTTCGCACGCTCGGAGCTGTCGAACCAAGTTGTTATCTCTCATCATTCGAGTAGTGGCGAATGACAACGCAAGTGTAACTGCCAAAGGAAGTCCTTCGGGGACTGCGATCACAACGACAGTCAAGGCCAGAATGAAGACATTCAAAAATGATTGCCCCTTTTCCGAGGCGGATTCAGCGCTATTCCGGAGGCCGACACAGAATTTTATGAACAAGATTACGAACAGCACAAGCGCCGCAAGTGCACCAAAGCGGGCGATATTCTTTGCAAGAACGCTGAGCCGTACTTGAAGCGGTGTGAACCCTGGATCGGTGTCGAGAGAGAGGAGGATTCTTCCATAGCTTGATTTGGTGCCCGTAGCCAAGACGAGGTATGCACCGACGCCTTCCACGACCTTGGTATGAGAGAGAATGAAGGGATCGATCTCATGAGAGCCATTAGGAAGGTTTGTATCGATAGCGCTTTTATCGACCGGATCAGACTCGCCAGTTGCCGAGGACTCATCGCATTTGACCTGATGACCCCTTATCAACACTCCATCGGCAGGTACGATATCCCCCGGGCTGATGTGGACAATATCACCAACAACAACCTCAGAGATGGGAACGTCATGAACCCTCGCGGATCGAAGGACCCAAACATTGCGATCTTGCTGTTTCTTGTTGAGTTTCCGGAACTTGTACTCCTTTTGATAGTCATTCGCAGCACCGGCGAGAGTAATGACGACGATAGCGACGAGGATGGCAACACCCTCCACCCATTCAACGGGTGGGTTATTAGCAGTATGTTTAGTTCCGAATGTCTGATATAGCCCCAAAGCAAGCGATATAATAGCAGCGCCAGTTAGAAGGAACAGGACGTGGTCGTTGTAGGCTGCCCACATCAGTGACAGGAAGCTGGGGGATTGCTTTATGGGTAGGCGATTGTCCCCAAAGAATTTCCTTCTGTCGATGAATGCATCGTCATCGAACTCTGCCGGGATAGGAAGTTTAGGGATGGGGACCTTTTCTGTTGGCGCAGTGCTTGTAGTACTTCCAGCGACATTCACAGGAGCACCTAGGTAGGTCTCGTCCAGGCTCAGACCGGAGTGAACGTCGGTTCGCAGTCCTTCCTCCAAACCTTTTACCCCACCGAGGGCACGCAACCCCTGGACATCTTTGGATTGTACAAGGTCGCCTAATGTGTCAGGATCAAGGGAAAAAGCCGAAGAAAAAGTCGCTTGGGTGGGTTGTTCCGTGACATGTTTTGATCGCGGTTTCTTTTGGGTATCGTCAGTAAGATGAATTTCTAGGCCTCACCACTGATGAACTTACTATTCGCGACCAAAAAGACATACGAGGCCCATTGGGCCCTAAAGTTGGCGTCATTTCATGAAAAATGTCATTGGGAGAGTTGGATGGGATAAATCAGAAAGGACATCTGAAAAAGTGCACATGTGCTCTGGCGAAATACAAATACGTGTAAAAGGGGAAGGAGTTGTAAAATACAGCTTGGCGTATTTCGGGAGATTTAGATGTGGAATCCCTCGTAGTTAGGTCAACTGGTCTATTGTAACTATATTGATATTTATTCGGAGATTACGACACAGGATATCAGAGTATCATAACTTGATATTCAAAGAGCATATGTATTTGAGCTCATATAGCAACCTATGTACTTCTGATGCTATCCCGCATGTTATAGGGCATGGATCATGGATCACTCGGAGATCATTTACTCGGTCATCAATAATATGGGTCCTCCCTTATTAGTTCCTTTTAACTAGATAGTAATAGATATGCCGATGTTTGACAAGCGCCCGCCATTAGACATATCATGAAATATGCAGCCTAACAAACAACCAAAGTCAAATCCAGAACAGGCAACTGAGTTTCTCACAGGGCTATGCTATCTATTGTACTCCCCAAAAGCAAGCCTCAGAGCTCACACAAGAAGATTATTGACAGTCTCGAGTCTTGGCAAGGAGGCTGTGCAAGACAAAATACCATGTTAATGCCCGAGGCTGGCTGACCCCCTCGACCTAAATGATTCAAAAAGAGGTGTAGCGCCAACAAAACTTAATCATTGATCATTGAGCCCACAAAAAATTGATTAAAAAATGGCTAAAAATGGCCAATACTGGCTAGATACAGACTAACGGCACTGGGGGCATTCGGCAACGCCCCTCCACATTTCAAGCCCAAAAGAGAGTCTAATTCAACGTACGCTGTGCATTCTGATCCGCCGCTTCTACCCACGCTACTCTCCTCAAATCCTCCAGCGCTGCCACCGTATCTGGGTGGTCCGTTCCAAATGCCTTTTCTCTGCGAGAATGTAACGTTTCAGCCATTCCACCGGCGACCTCCCACTTGCTTTGCGACTGGTATATAAAGCTCAGGTTGGCCATCGCACTAAGTGTGTGAGGGTGGTCTTTGCCTATGGTCTCTTCCATCAGGCGCACAGACCGGGCTGCCAGGATCTCGGCATCCGGTGATTGCCTCATCATTTGATATGTCACTGCAAGATCCGCCATGGCAACTAGTGTGTGTGGATGACGTTCCCCGAGGACCTCTTTCATCACAGCTGTTGCTTTTCCTCCGAGGTCTTTGGCTTCTTCGAGCCGACCCTGATTGCGATATGTTGAGGCAAGGTTACTGATGGACATGAGGGTTTGGGGGTGTGTTTCGCCGAGCACAGCCTCGCTACTAGCCACGACTTCTTTTTCAAGGCGTTCGGCATCGATCCATCGGCCTTGATGACGGAACGTGGACGCAAGGTTGGCCATAGCGGTCAAGGTGAAGGGATTATATGTCCCAAGTTCCTCCCGACTAACATCGACAACCGCCCGTTCTAACCTTTCAGCGTCGTCTAGCCTCCCCTGATCTCGGTATGTTGATGCCAGAGTAAGTTTCCAGTTTAACAGTGAAGCATCGGCGGGAGATAATTCCATTTCCCCGAGATCGACCAGTTGGCGCGCAATTGACTCGGCCTCTTCATACTGACCGAGATTGGCATACGATATAGCCAAATTAGACATTGAACCCAAGGTGGATGGATGGTTGGGACCGATGGTTTTCTTCTTCGTCTCGAAAATCCTCGAATCAAGCTCGTGAGCATCACCCCAAAGCCCTTGGCTCCGATACGTGGAAGCTAGATTCGTCATCGAAGTCAATGTCTGGGGATGCGCCTCGCCGAGAATCTCTTGTCTCAGCTTGGTAACCCGGGCGGCGAGAGCAGCAGCCTGATCCAGCTGCCCTCGGCCCCAATACGCTGAAGCAAGATTGTGCATTGCTGTCATCGTCATTAAGTCTTGCTCTCCCTTCAGGTTTTTGCAGGAGTTCAGCACCAGAATGGCTAGATCTTCGGCAGCAATCCATGATTTGGCTTGCAGCCATGCCTTGACACATGCGGATAGCTCTTCGAGAGTTATTGTCGCTGCGTCAGAATCCGCATCTGTCGTGAGTACCCGATTCCCCACTGTCGTCATTGACGACTTCAGGTCTGTTGCTTCGGTCGTCCAGCCTCGGCCATGGTATATGGCTGTGAGCTCACTGACCTCCCTCTGGAGCGACTCGAGGGAGGGAGGATGTTTGTCCATAGATCACAGGCAGGGCAGCAGGGATCACTCAACTCCGGGGCAGGTTGATGTTCGTTTGTGTGGATGTTCTGATAGACGGGTTCTTAATCATTTACCCGTATCGGAGGGTGTCAATAGGTGGGGTTGATGATGAAGACAGGAGAGTGCGACATGCGACTCAAAGGAGAATAATTGCGAGCTGTGAACGCATTGCCAAGGTGTGGGGGGGGACACGAATGCTCCGATTAATGACAATACAGACGAGAGAGGGGTCAACGGAGACGGTGTTCTCCGGGTAATAATTTTGTAAATTGTAAAGTAACATGAACGATCGTCATTCCACATGATATTTTTGGAATATTAATAGCCTCAACCCTGCATCAAATATTCCATAAGGCTGAGACCAATACAAGAAATGCTGTTGCCTGAAAGCTGTATACCGTATGCATACATGACGTTGCAAAATATCAAACGGCTAGCTGGTTCAGCCCTACCGCGTGTACCACCAATTCCACAGTGGAGATGCGGCACGTCTGTTTGGCGCTAGTAATAGGGCTGTAACTTTAATTAAGGGTGAAAGTTACCTAGGTACCTAGATACTAGTACCCGTATCTGTACCACGGTAACGTTTGAAACACAACTTGTCCCGAACTCATGTTTCCCCGGTCCTCGGGTCACATCTCACTTTAAGCTTCACTTCAGAGGTTGCCCAGATTTCTCCAGATTGATCATGTCTCGCCGAGGCACGCAGCCAGAACCTTGTGGATCAGAGCCCAGTCGCCATCAGCGTCACCAAATCCAAGATGCAGATATAGATCCTTGGACTCAAATCCAGAGGTTCTTCAAGATGCCATCGCAAACAGGACTGAGGGAACTGAATATCAATCATGGATGGCCAGTGATGGTTTTATTACCTCTGGCTGGTCTTGCAAAGATTTTTCATTGGAACCCGATCATAGTTCTTGTGGTGAATATCGTCGCCATTATCTTCTTGTCTGAGGCGATATCTATCTCATCCGATGAGCTCGCTGAGCATCTCGGAGAGTTGCAAGGTGCATTACTCAGTGCCACATTCAGCAACACCGTAGAACTCACAGTGAGTCACAATTGATGTCCCAGATTTCGAAACAACCCGATGCTCACCCAGTCCAGGCGGGCATTCTAGCTCTGGTTCATGGCGAGATCTCATTTGCACAGTCTGTTATGGTTGGGAGTATTCTATCAGATATTTTGCTTGTAAGTTCTGGCATTATGAAAAACTTAGTGGCGGCCATATTGTCCGACTGACAGCCAAATCTAGGTCTTCGGCTGCTGCCTCATCACAGCTTCGTACAACAAGGAAGTTTTAGAGTTCAACAGCGCTCTTGCAAAGACTTTATCCTCCTTGATGATGATCACATCCGTGACGATGCTTCTGCCAACCGCTCTCTATTCGACTTTCCCAGTATCTGAGATTGATGACAGGGTGCTATCCTTCTCCCGAGGAACGTCATTTGTACTGCTCGCGCTCTACGGGGGTTACCTCTACTTCTACCTCGGGACTCACAAACACCTCTTCCTTTCAAATGAGAGTGAAACCAGTGACGATGAAATTGAAGGAGATTCATCACCTTTAACCAACCGAGCCAGCCTGGCTTCATCAATTATCCGATTGATAACTGCGGTGGCCGCAACAGTCTTTTGCACAGAACTTCTGCTTGAAAGCATCGGTGACATGACAAAAACGCTCGGAGTCTCTGAAGTATTTATCGCAATCGTTTTTATCCCAATCGCCAGCAATAGCACCGAGGGGGTTACTGTGATTACGGCCTCTCGCACAGGAGACACGGACTCTGCAATCCGGGTTATCATCGACAGTCTCTTGCAGATTGGCCTGTTTGTCATACCATTCTTGGTGATTATCGGCTGGTGTATTGCCGAGCCGATGACGCTTTTCTTTGACTCCTTCCAGACTGTTGCTATGTTTTTGGCTATCCTGGTGGTTAATCATTTACTTCGTGATGGGCAGTACGCCTACATTCATGGCGCGATGCTACTTGCTCTGTAAGTTTCCCTAGTTTCCTTGCTGACTCCAAACGATAATTTTACTGATACATAATTATAGTTACTCTAGTCTAGTTGTGGCGTTCTATGCGCACTAGGTAGCTCATGGCCTTTGCCACAACACATCTTTAGGAGACACCTCAAGTAACGAATGATGTGATATATCAGGACAGAAAGAATCTAAGTACCTAGGAAAATCACATTCGCCGACACTTCAGGCCTAATAAAGAACGCAAAAGTAATGATCATGTATCTGTTAAGAGAAAGCAAAGTCAATACCGATGAACAATAAGCCCAAAAGACAATACAAGCGACTCACGTTCCAATTAGCATCAGCCCCTCGAAGTAATTACTCCGTCCATCAGATATGAGATAAGTCATAACCACAACACTAAGCAAGAGTGTCGTAGCCTCAAACCCATCAAACCTAAGAATGAGCGGTTGATCAAAAGCCCAACCAACAAGAACCAGCAGCGGAGCAAGAAGCATCGTAACCCGCAACACATTATTAATAACCGCCCTGATCCCAAGCTCAATCTGATTGAGGGATCGAGACCCCACCACAATAGAGCGGTATTTGACCAAGTTCCCAAGCAGAGGAATAAGCGTCACGGCAAGGAAAGACTGGTTCATACCCGTTATCGAAGCAACGCCACTCAAACTCCCAACTATGTAATGAGTGCACACAAGCGCAAAAACAGAAGCAACGGCTAATATTATAGTTGCTGGGCCCTTGCCAATATATGGTTGTGGGATCTGGGCCTCCATGATCTGGTTCTGGCGAGATTGATGGTCGCTGCGGGCGTAGTCTCGCTGGCTGAATGGGGTGCTTGCGAACATGGCTGCATGGGTGCCAAGGCGGAAGACGAGGAATGTAAGAAGCAGAATGGCAAGAACAATGGCTGTTACACGTTGTGTCAAGAGTATTTGGTCTTCAGGGGTGGCTTTGGCGGATGGGAAGACATCCATTATGGTTGGGAGGGCGAGGAGGATGAAGACGACCATCATAAGGGATGAGAGAACTGTTGTGAGGGTGCGATCGAACCGGAGTCGCTTTTGGTCATAGCCTGAGACGAAGATAGTGGTGCCTAGGACCTAGATGTATAGTTTGTATCAGGAGAAGGTTCATAGCACCAATGATTGGATATGTTACTGGGATTTACCAGTAATAAATTGCTTATGACACTTCCAAGTATCACGGACTGGGAGATGTGTGGTTGGTTTTGCGCGATCGCATTGATTCCGATCTGGATAAATCATCGTCAGTCTATATTTGCATTGAAGATGGAGTCCTTGGATATAACCATTAATTCCACCGAGTTTCCCAGTGTTGATTTCAGCACTTCAATAACGGCCCGACTGCCACCTACAGTCAGTGCATCGACTGATCGATTAATCCATGACCCAAGTGGAATCAGAGCGACAATGTTAAGAGCGAAGATGACAGCACTGTTCCACTTCAGGGCTCCTCCTATGATACCGATGAGAGGTATCAAAAGTGACAAGACGCCAAGGTGGTGCTGGATATGTGCCATAACGGAATTGCAATATAGCATAAGTGAGCTTCGATCGCGAGGCATGATTCATTGAGCAGAAAGGTGAATCTGAGAGAATTCATCCGTCTGTGGAAAGTCCACACACATGTGCAGGTCAATAAATGAGGCTCGTTGTATTATAGTAATATTTCCATCCGATACGGTCACAGATGTAATTAACCGTAACCAACTGTAATTAACCAACAGATACATGTATTTTTATCTGCATGGCTCTTTAAGTAGAAGAATCCTAGCTGTCGACGCAATCCACCAGTTACACCAATGCGTACGCAGATGCCCAGGACTGAAAGGAAGTGGAGTAATACATCATCCCTTGACCCTCAACCCCAATGTTCTTTTGGTCTCTTTCCTCACTCTTGACAACATGAATAACACAGCTCACCCCCGACTGCGAAAGTCAACCAAGGTTGACCCTGAAATCATGGCCAGGTCCCTCGAATCAAATACAGCCTATGAACAAGATTCATTACTCAGGGAGGAAGATGGACGCGAAAGAAACGGAGAGGAACCTACGGATTTGCGTGACACAAACTACCCCGGCTCGAAGCGCGCTATGTTCCTAGGCAACTCGGTTTTACGTGTGATCAAGATTACGCTGGGATGCAGCTACTCCAATTTGCTACTGCCGTTTGTGTTTCTGGGTATAATTGCGGGGAGTCAAGGATGGGATGACTCGATTTCCTTCGTGTTCAACTTCTTGGCGATTCTTCCTCTCGCTGCATTACTGTCGTTCGCCACAGAGGAACTGGCAAAAAGTGTCGGGCAAACAGTTGGAGGGCTAATAAATGCGACATTTGGAAATGCCGTCGAAATGATTGTGAGTGGACGTTTGACGCTCTGTTAAGGTAGGAAACTGACACTGGTCACTATGCAGGTGGGGATCACTGCGGTCCGACAGGGAGAAATCAGTATTGTGCAATCTAGTATGGTGGGCAGTATTCTGTCAGGAAATCTCCTGGTAGGTTTGGATTTTATTGCATGTTCACTGCCCAGATGGTCTTGCCTACTTACACGAAAATTTAGATCCTCGGTGTTTCATTGTTCTGCGGCGGCTATGGAAAAGATGTGGTGAAATTCAACGTGGACGTTAGTGGGATACTATCATCTTTGATGGTGGTTTCTTCTGCAACATTGATCATCCCATCCGTCCTCTATTCAACCATACCGTCCAAATCCCACGACGTGGAAGCCAGCGTCCTAAGTCTCTCCCGTGCTGCCTCCGTGATTCTACTCACATTCTACCTGGTCTACCTTTACTTCCAACTGAAGAGTCACTCCGAGCTATTCGTCGACGATAAACAAGAAGGGGAAGAAGAGGAGCGACTTCTGGGCCCATGGTCGGCAAGCATCGTTTTGATCCTTGCAACCCTCGGGGTCACCGTCTGCTCTGATCGTCTGGTGGACAGTGTCGATGGCTTTGTAGATAAGTGGCATGTGAGCCGGGCTTTTATTGGCTTGATTGTGGTTCCGATTGTCGGAAATGCGGGAGAATTCAATACTGTGGTGAATTCTTCAATCAAGGGCAATATGGACCTCGCAATTGGTGTGGTCGTGGGAAGCACTTTGCAGATCGCATTGTTTGTGAGTCCGTTCCTGGTCATGTGTGGCTTTGTTCTTGGGCAGCCCATGTCCTTGCGCTACAGTCCCTTTGAAACTGTGGTATTCTTCATATCGGTCATAGTCATGGACTGCTTGATTCGTGGAGGTCGATCCAATTACTACGAAGGGTCTTTATTGGTTGGAACGTGAGTAACCACATGCGTGTTATGATTGTCTTCAGTACTAATTATTTCTCCTAGGTACCTGATAATCGCAATTGCATTCTACGTGCACCCAGATGCAGTCGATGCACCTTTCGTTTAGGATGCTGCAGGGTCGGCCATTAATTATTTCCAGTTAGAGTCATTAAATTTGAACCAGGTATAACATCTATGCTTCTAGCGAGCACTCAAAAATGATACAAGATTTTGCAAAATATTCTAAAAGCCAAAGGCAAGGATCGCCATAGTGGAGCCACCTCGTAGGGCTGAGACTTGGCGCTGTGATCAGACAAATGCACCAATTTTAATTAAACCAATCCTTTAGATTAAATTCAATAAACTCAGTTTTCATACAGATTTCCCACGGAGACTGAAGGGGATTTTCCAGGTCGACTTGCCTCCAACTCCAAAGGATCCTCTCTAGACAATAGACGGCTCTAACTCAAGCATCATGTGGATATAAGCAACCAAATCAATAGTCGTCACATCCGTTAGTTTGCCGGCTAACCGGCCAGGGGGGATATGATCAGGCAGCAGAATTCCCCTTTCTTATTTTGCATTCTCAGAATCATATTATCTTGCTTTTAGCTCCGTAATGACTATGCGTTTGTTTCCTGTATGTAGAGACAAATCATTATTGCGTACACACTGTGGCTGTTCAAAGTCACACAACATAAACCCCAGTTCAATCAGGTCCATTTATAGAGCTGCATAACAAGGCCCTAAGAAGGAATGCTGAAACACCAGTCATGTACGATCCATCACAGTTGCAGCGCCTGAACTAGGCTAATAAAGTATGTCTTTATTAGGAAAGGTAGTCGCCGGCCTTGTGTTTCCATATCAAATTAAGTACACCCAAAGGGTGGCCGCCAACCAAATATCACCATTTAGCGCTGCGCCATGCCCTATCTTCATGTAGAATGCACCTATGCCCCGTTGATACGACATGGCCTAGTCACACAAAGTCAGGGCGTTGAGCAGATCGGGGTATAAAGGTCCCTCAATTCACCCATCCAAGGCGTATCCTTTCCCCTCAGGTACCTTCCTAAATTATATTCTTACTATAATCGCCTTTCGAGTGATATTGGTCTCTGTCACCTATCCCTGTACTCCTCATCATGGGTCTTGTAAAGCTTCTGCTCAAAGTGATCCTCATTCCAATCGTTGTCCTCATTGTCATTGCTGTTGTTATTGTCCTTCTCATCAAAGCGCGTCGTGACCGCAAAAAGAAAGAAAGGGAACTGGAGAAATCTTTCCAACCGCCCCCTATACAGCAATGGGTACCGTACACCCCGGTCCAACAACCAGCCCCGGCATATGTCAAAACACCGGGGGCAATGGAGCAAGGGATTGGACATGGGCAGCCTTAGTGGCATTCTGTTTCTATTAGGTAATTATATCCTGCAGTGGGAAATTTAGTGATCATCTGTGCTAACATGGGTGTTGTAGACTGTTTTGGGCAAGATTTACACTATGGTTGGAAGGTCTATTTCTATAACTTTGCAAGTGATTTTGTGCGAATCATTTCCTTTGAAGATTTGTCTGTTAATGCAACTCGATGACTAGTTTCCAATGCAGTCATTGCACATGGTAGTAGTGACTCCAGTATCATGCTGAAACCTGTACTACCTACTCAGAGGGATCACCAATCTTAATCCATGTAAAAATGGAACGATATGCCAAGCATTCCCAGTTGGCTGGCGGCTACACATAGTTAATATAACGAAGTATAATGATTAGCAAAGAAAACGGTGGTAGTAGGGAACAAGATATCCCTGATGTCACTTTTGAGATTGAGCACCCCATAAAAGCGGCAGCAGCCCAGATAGGAAAGACCCCGCCATCTGTATAGTTGCTTATAGCGTACTGTAGACCAAATGCTCCAGGCTTTGCGTCTTGTAGAATTTGTACGTGGGCCAGCAAGCGAGCATATTGAGGGAGATGCGAATAAAATATGCTTTTACAAATGGTATAATCAAAACATAGGCGAAGAATGATTCCATGTGATCATTATTGGCAAATTGTTGAATTGAATTACATTGACATGGAAGGAGACATTCAAGCGGTCCTAGCTAAAGACATTGAAATCACGGAAGGGCAGAATTGATCTCGAATCCAATCCAACATGACCAAAGGCACCCTGGGGCACATGATGATTGCAGTTCGCCACAAGTGACTGTTCCTAAGAACCCCAGGGTCCCAAGGTCCCAAGTAATGCCCCCCAAATCCATGATGAGAAACAAGCAATTCTGTAGCTTGAAAATTCTAAAAGGAGACCTGCTCAACCGTATCGCGACGCAGAACCTCGGCATCCTCAGGCAACAGAAATCCGGCTTCAAGCTGCCGGTTGATGGCTTCTCCCGCCTGACGTCGATAGTTGGCTACCGTTTTGTAGATCGCCCACAGTTTGACATCTTTGAAAGGGGCCTCGGTGCCTTTTAATAATAACCAGGTTAGAAAATATGAAGTAGATCCTCACAGAAATGGTCAACTTACCAGTGTGCCAATGCGGATGCGGCTGAGGGGTAACATCGACGATTCTGGCAGTAGGCACGTCTATATGAACAGTTCTGACCCCAGCCAGCGCATTTCCGTACTCGTCTCGCTCGATGTTTCCGAATTTGTCGACATCAATTGTGGTACCTCGCGGGGGAGCTACACCGGTCGTAATCCATTTGTTCATAGCATCGAAGAGGGCATGGTAAAGGAAGGAATTGGCAAAAGTGCTCCACTGCGCACCTTCCAGATCAACAACTGACAAACGCTTCTTATCAGCCATAGAGAGGTATCGAGTCTCGCGATGGGACATGCCGGCGACTTCGTAGAGCCGGAATGACCTACTATCAGCACGGCGATGAGGGGGCTTTCACTTCCGCCGTAGAGTGTCTTGATGTAAACGAGCTCGAATTCACCTAGCACCTCAATGACTTTTGCATCGCGCATGTCTGGAAGTGGGTTACCGCCATCGCATTGGCATGGCATGAATCCCTCAAATGGGGCGCATCCGTTAGGAAGTCGGAGATGAAGAGACTCAACGATGAACTTTCTTATCAAGTCTGCAGTCTGGGAAAGACCAGTCAGTACGACGCGTTGGGCCTTCATACCCAGCTGTCCCGATCTCAAGGCATGTGAGGCAGCAACGAGAATCTCCGGAGACTGCAAGGTTGCGGCCCACCATCTTTCCTTGAAGATCCTGTAATTGTTCCACAGCTCATCTGCGTTAGAGAACGAGGGTATGTTGCTGGAAAACTCCTCTAGGGTCCGGCAGGGGATAAAGTGCATGTTTTTGTAGCGTTCGGGATCAACTTTTTTGATCTGGTCAATTGCAGCGGGAGCCTGGGAATCAACCTCCAGCCAGGCATGTCCTTCCGTCCATTAGCACAGACAACATGTCAAACTAGAATGCATGAAAACTCACCATTACGCATCAGCCACCGATTAATGAGACGCCAGATAGTTGTTCCACCCCATAGGTGAGATGGTTCCATGATGACAAGACCAGAGAATTTACCAGGATCGGTAGGGCAACGAAGAATAAGGCGTGTGCAGTACGAGTTGGCAACAGCAACGCCGGTCATCATGTATTCCTGGGAGACGTAGTCATACACAGGAAGCAAGTCACCGTGATGGAGGTCATATGTCACGGTCTTGGATGTTTCAGTCTCCGGTAGGAAAGAGACGCTTGGCTTTGTGACTCGCACGTGCATTGCGCGTTCTTCTTCGGTTGGCATTTTGGCAGGCGTGCTCTTTTTGTCTAGATCAAGCCAAAGTCAGCCCTCTGAGTCCGAAATGAAGCCTAGGGACACTAGGCACGTAGAAAAGACTCACAAGCTAGGGCCAACGGTGACACGTGATGAACCGTGGTTGAGTCAAGGTCGCGTTGGCTTTGCCTGATTAGGCCGGTGTTGTTGTTGAGATGCGAAGGGAATACCAGAAGAAGATAAGGGAAGTGGAAGAGAAAAAAAAACAAAACAAATACTGCATTTTTCGAAGAGGAAAGGTGGGAAGGTGATGAGTTGGAAGCAGCTAAGGCAAACAAAAAGCTAGACTGCGCTTCTCAAAGCGGACATTCAAAATAATAAGAGAGATAAAGACATATATTCATAAGTTTCATCTAAACCCGAAAAATAAACATGTTCGAGACTTGGATTAGTTCGGAATTCCACCAGAAGAATATCTATAGAATTCACACCAGCAACTCAAACACATCCAATCCCCAGAACCACTGTGCAATACCCATCGCTCCGACACTCATAGTTGCAGCCATGAGAAGATTGACACCGTTGTTGTCTAGCCAGTCATGACCAGTTTCAAGACGACGACTTTCCTGACTTTCCTCGGGGATATGTGTCGCCTGGACGCCACGCAATGCAGCATTATGTATGCTACCAGTGGTTTGGGCGGTGCTATTAGCAGGAACAACCGGCTTGCCCGTGGAAGGGTGAATGAGAACCTAGAAAAACAAGATTAGAGCTTTGTACACAGTGGCCAAGGACAAATAACCGTGAACTCACCTTCCTACCACCGCTACCCTCTACAACCTTCCCGCTTCTCTTATCGACAACACTGGCCTGCAAAAGCCCACCAAGGACACTGTCAAGAACACTGCCTAATGTACCCCAAAGAGTCATAGCTATGGTCCACAGAGCCCGATCCTTCAATCCGGCACTAGAACAGAACGGAAGAACCGCAGCAGATGTCGCGGAAACAATGAACGACCCCAGAAGACCGGCCCCAAGACCAGCTGCAGTAACACCACCATTTGTACCGGGAGGGACTTCACGGAGATTCAACGAGGTAATCAGGCGGGGTTTTGATTTCGAGAGAATGCCAAGCTCGGAGGAGAAGGTGTCTGCAGCGACAGCGGCGTAGTTTCTGCGAAAAAAAGCTTATTAGCTATATGCTCTAGAACAGATAGTGTAGGCATAAAATGTGATGTTGAGTGACATACGCTACAATGCCAACAATCAATATGTCAGCCGCATTCTGACCGAGTGAGAAACATGATTCGGTGCCTGTTGTTTTGGACAGAATAATCGTATGAGCGATCGATAATATGGTAGCGACAACGGAGTTCGCTAGGACTTGAATATGGTTTCGGGGGCCTTCGCCGCCTTCCGCACCGGTTGCGGAGAGTGTTAAATGTGACTTAATCTCATGTTTTACCTGTCATCGCGATCTTGTAAGCTGCGCCCATAACATAGATATAGGCTGAAGAGCGGATAGTATGCAGCTCCCCTCCACATATGGATAGCTCCATACCTTTGTGACCTTCGTCCCACCGAAATAGAATACTGCGAGAAGCGCCACGGGTGCCGACCATGGATGGAGAGCATGCGCGGCGGCTGAACATCCCGCAAATACCAGACCGAGCGGGGTAAGGGATTTGCGCGACCAAGCTCGATAGACAAGTCCAAAGACGAGAGGTATGCCTATATAGGGTTTCATTTTGTTGGTCTTGTGATCTCGAGTGCTGTCATTTGTTGGGAGAGATGGTGGCTGAGGTTGAAGAGGTGTGCAGCTGAAGGAGCATCGGAGCTTGGGTGGAGTCCGAAATAAGCATCGTCACATGATGTGAATTCCACTTTTATACAACTGAAGGCAAAAATAGAAATTGAAAGTATTAAACAGGTATAAGATAGTAATTACAAAGTTTGTGTGGCTCAATATTATAAGTATTAATGTATTGATCTGTTAGAGTTACATCGAACCAGCGAACAGCTCGGAGGTCTTCGTAACATCCGATTAAAGCAATGGGCTTGTAGGGAATATAGAAAAGAGAACGAACTCGTTATACCTAAAGGATATTCCTAAAACCATCTAAAATGAATACGTAGGTAGGTATGGTATGTGCCGGGTCAATATATAGACACCAAGACTGTGCGCCTTTTTGCTCCTCGGGGTATGTCCAAAATCCAGGAAAAAAATAGTATACAGGCCGCAAATTGAACCAAAATCAAAGGAAAAGGAAAGCATAATAAATCTAAAAGCGAGACAACAGGTGGCAGCCTTGCTAAAGCGCGAGGCCGCTGCCATCGCCACTCCAGCGGTAAAGGGCTAGCACCTCACGCCTGCGTGACTGCTGCTCGCCGAAGTCTTCTGGCACACGGCCGCGGACTTGAGCCAGTGCCGAGCGCATCACCTTTCGGAACGTTCGCTGCACGATATTAGTTTCGGTAGGTATAAGCCTTGGTCACGGATAAATCTTACCTGATATTCAGTGTTCAAAGTCACGACGCAAGCCTCATGCGCTCGTACGATTGTTTCACAGGCTCGAACAACACTGGGACTGGCATCTCCTTGTAGTTTATCCGCAGTTAAGAGCAGCAAAAAGCTGCCTTGCAAAAGATATATGCCAAAGAAGAAGGGCATGAAGCTTAGATCGGGGTCGTATTCTAAAATGTCCGAGGCCGCCTCAGCAGAGCTGACTGCATGGCCCATGGCAGTAATAAACGACTCGGAAGAAATCCACAGATCGTTATCGTCGAGCAAGTTGATCGGGTCCCACTTCCCAGCCAGCAGAATGTGGAGTACATGCATAATGTGGGTGCCATAGGCAACCACCATCCTCGTATGAACGATGGACTCGCTCACATGCGATCCTACCGTGCTACTCGACCGACCAGACGGGCTGACGTGGTTCAGGTTGGAACCTTCCATGGCTGTGTCAGGCTCACCGGCCCCGAGGGCGATAGAGCTAGTATATCGAGCCTCAAATTCTTTCAGGCTCTGGGCGTAAACATCGAGCTGCCGGCTGATTTCCATGGCCTGACTTTCCCACTCGCCACTATTGCGGAAATGGAGACCGAAGCGCGGGTGATTGCGGGCATGTTGTAAATCCACAATCTCACCCAGGATAGACATTAGGGGTAAGAAATACCCAAACATGCTATGGCCAGTGCATTCAGACGATGGGCCAGCACGGCGGTAGTTGACAGATGAAAAGTCGCCCGCCTGCCAGATATCATCGTTCATCGGCTGTAACAATCCCTCGCACTCTTTGTCCAGCAATGTCAAGGGTCGGTTGTAACAAAGTGCCAGGTGGCGATCTGTTGCATATAACAGCCACCAGAGTCGCCGGCGTTCCTCGCGTTCTTCCTCTGTGAGATTAATCGCAGAGTTGCCTGGGCCGTGGCCTAGCAAAGAGGACGATTGCCTCTTGTTGCCATTCACATCAATGTCCCCCTCACCCTCCATTTCGCCGTCTTGACGGGTTGTTGCATTAGGCGGTAATTCGCGACCGAGCTTGAGCTCTCGCGCGAGAGACCAGGCAGCTGTCCACCATCGCATACTTGCAGCTTTATATTCGCTAGCAGAGACGACAGTCGCCAAGTGAACATACGTAGCGACGTCATCAACTGCGCCAGTAGCACTACTTTGAGCACCCAGTTGATCCATGGATACCCCAAACCCACCCAGAGCCACCCCGTTGATTACCATATTAGCTGGGTAATTGGGAGACGCTTCTCCGGTGGCAGGTCCGTGGATAAGTGGTCGAAGTAAGCCAATAGTCAACTCCAGAAGTTTTTGGCAGACTCGGCCTCGAGCTGAGGGGGGTGATGTCAAAAATGCAGCCTCACTTGTTTGAGCTGCGACCCACAGCATGCTGGCGAGAAGCCCGGGGGTGCACGATCGCGGCTTTGTGGGGTGTAGGAATGATTGCTTGCGGAAGACATAGCCAACCACATAGGGCGACGACGGAGAAAGATGCGAGGACGATGAGCTGGTGAAATAGACGTCTAGGAGATCGCAGGCGAGAGATTGAGGGATTATAGATATAATGTGCGGAAGAACTGGTTGCAAGACCGGGTATCTCAATGAGCTGGAGAAAGGGGGCATGCTGAAGGAAGGGAAGTTCGCGGGTGATGGGGGAGGGAGTGGCAACCAGCTAGGTGACTGCGCTGGAGGAGAGAATCCCATAAAAGAAGCCGATGGGTTCTCTGTCGAGTTTCCAATGCGGAAGTGGTTCATGGAGCTCGGATTTGCGTCTTGCGCATTCATCAAAGGGTATGCGCCGTCATTATACCCCGAAAACCCTTGAGCATGAAGCATTGAACCCGGCGATCGAGGGTTCCCATTTGAGTTTTGCATCATCTGTATGGAGCGCATATCTGGCACGGACATTGAGGGTCGGTGCGATTCTTGGAGCGCTGCGTAATTATTGAATGGCATGCCTGTCATGTTGGAACCCATCTGCTGCTGAGAAGGCGCTTGGACGGGCGCTTGATTTTGGCGCATAGCAGATAAGCCAGCCACCTCCATGTTATGCGCCCGAGATTGTGCGCCTTCAGTTAGAGTCCGCGCGGCGTCAAAGGCGCGATCGTAATTTTCGTTGGATTCGTGCAATGGTTGTCCGTTTGAGGGCCGTACTTTGGCAAGCGTTATGTTTTCGTTGCCAGCAATGTCGTTGTCGGTAATGCCAGTGGCGGCTATATCCTTTTTCGACGCTTTCCCGCGCTTCTTGCGCTCGCGGGCGTACTCACAGCTGAGTCCGAACTCTGGGAACTGTTAGTTCAACCAACGGGCAAATGGAGACGGTTCGCTGGTGGGAAAACTGTACCAACACAATGCGCACATGGGTTATGCCCATCACATTTGGTTCGCAATTGGTTGCACTGGTCGCAGGCCCGGCTAATTCTCCGCCGGGCTGGGGTTGCGGATGAGTTTTTGCGAATAGCAGAGCGCGCTTCAGTAAGGGAATTGCGCAATTCAGGATCCTTAAGACTTGAATTGGATCCATTTTGTTCGCTGTAGAGGAGATGTTGGGGATGTTTGGACGTCTTCGGGCCGAGAGTGTTCCCAGGATCGGACGGGAGGTCGGCAGTATCAGCTTCGCGTGCCAACTGGAGCTGCTCTAGCGCATACTGCGACCCCTCCGCAAGCGTGTCCAGCCCGGGGGTTTGGGATTGTGTCATCCGTTCAGCTTGAGATTGAAAGGGGGAGTAAGAATTGGCAGAGGAGAGGGAGGTCATCGACATGCTTCTCCGAGGAGGCGGAAACAGGGCTATGGCGACATAGAGGGACAGATCAAGGGGATCTAGACTCTCTGGTCTATCTGACACAAAAGGATTGAGTTAAAAGTAGAATATAGGGTGACCAAGAAGTCACAACGGCATTGCAGAAAGATGCAGAGAGACGGGAAGGCGACCTCGGGACTTTCTTTTTCTCCCCTCGCCGCACCCAAAGCTTAGTTTTCACACAGTTTCGAAGGCCAAAGGCAAGGAATCAGAAATTCCAGACAAATTTTTTTTTTAAAAAAAATAACACCCAAAAAGGGGGATCGGAAATACGAAGATTAGAAGATCAGAAGATTGGAGCATTAGGAGATCAGAAGATCAGAAGATCTGGGGAAGTCATGTAAAGGCGGGGGCAACGGCAGCACGTGGTGCATCGGTGTGGTGTGTTATAGAATGTACCTCTCTCTCTCTCCCTCACACACAAACTTCTATTTAATCGATTAAACACTTAATACACCTTATATCCAGGCCTTGAACCTGTTTCCTGTTTTTTTAATCCCCAAGACGCCGTGTGTTTCAAGTGAAACTGTAGACTCCCTTTTCTTCCTTCGCTTATGTCCGTGTTCTCCACATTTCACTTTGATCAAAATCCTAGTCATCCACTAGAACAAACACGTATACTGGCCTGGGAGGAATTCGAATGCGTATATATACAGTCAAACCCTGCTAAAATGTACTCCACCCCGATCACTTTGGAAAAATTTACACTCCCGGGTTATAATAAACAGCTCCAAGGCAGCCTAATTAGGTATAGCGCACCCCGATTTTACAAACTTTACTTTACAAAGTTGTTTTTTAGGCCTACCGCCCCCATGGTTTATTAATTTCATTGGCTTAACTCTGCATCCGCCCTTTTCTGCCGGATTTAAACTCCCCTTAAATATGATTACATAATCCAAATACTAAGCCCTGGAGACCCTCACTTCTTTGCGGAGTACAGACCCCGTTAATTTGTAAAGATTTGCTCTCCGACGATCCTTACATTTTAACGGGGTTTGACCGTACTCCATACAGCTACATATGATTTCGGACCTAAACCCCTCTTCTAGCCACGGTTACATACCCCGGTCTTGGCACCGGGGATGAGAGGACAAAGCACATTAAGGTACGGAGCATGTACAGGGTCTCCGGATATAATCCTCATGCCGGGGCCATTCACAGGGGCCGGGTCTATAGGGGTCATCGGGTAGAATGTTAAATTATATGTGAATCTGACCATTCTGATACTCCTAGGGCTTCGGAAGCTCGGCAATTATACAATGTGCACTTATTCTAAACATTCCAAAGCGGCTAGATCCGCGTTCCTAGGTCACTATCTTCCTTTTTAACTTTTGGATTTTGCCTAAATTCACTCTGGGAGTTTTCCCGGGGTCATCTCCCCAATATAGAGTTGTGATGAGTCAAAAGAGAGGAAATAGTTCTAGAAGTTCAATGTCATATTCATACAGGTATATACTGTTTTCTCCATGTGTAATGTACAAATGCAATGAAGCCCGGAAAACAAATCGGGCAGGAAATATACAGAAAATTAAAAAGGCAGCTAAATGAATCCGGAAGTCACCTCCTCCACAGTACTCCGGACATGGCTAAACAGAAATGTGAAAGTATGCATAAACGCCAGCGGAATGCGGTAATTTGCAGAGAGATGAGAGCATCAAGAGAAGAAGTATTCGCTCTCGCGAATTCGGGTCAGGTCCCAGTCGCCCTTTTTGGGGACGGGGGCAAATTTCAGAGGCATCCATAACCACGTGGTTGCTTGGCGTGACTTGGGACTAAGTGGCCGCGCAGAACTTTGGGACGGCTCGTTCTGCTCCGTTCGCCCGGTCTGGTCGGAGGGTTCACCATGGACATCATCCTCTACATTCGACATCTCGACACGGGAGGCCTGATTGGCCTCAAACATCTCCAGGTCGCCGACCAGGCTCTCAATGGCCGGATCGTTGGTGTCGATTGAAGATCCTAGCGGTATGCGTTCCTGGTCTGGAATAACTTCTGGAATATGCCCGATGGAGTTCGCACCCATTGATTTGACGGTAGTGATGTCGGAGTCTGTACCCCCGAACTCTTCAAAGATACTGTAGGGTGTCACCATAGCACGACCCTCGGCCTGATCTTCCGGATCTTCCGAGTTGAGTAGAGTTTGTCGTCGGTGTTCGTTGATCAACTCCTGGAGTTTGGTAATCCTGGTGTTGTAGCGGTGACTGAAGATTTTCCGACCCAATGGAGTGTTGCGGGAGACTCTGGCCAAGAACATATTCTTGCCATATCGCACTTTGAATTCAGCGCCGAGGCGCCCGACAACATCATCGGAATGCATGCGAACGAAGGCATCTCGAAGGATGAGGTTCATCTGGTCGATATCAGCCGCATGAGTCCAGAATGAATCATGAACTGCGGAAAAGGTCAATCCTGCTTCATGGCATGCATTGGCGGACATGATCATGTGTGTGGCATCCAGAGAGTGGATGAAGTTCGGCGGGAAGGCCTGAAGCTGCTTGCGCTTTGTAACAACATCATCAGCGCCAGGCTCGACGAGACTGATGTCTTGTAAACTCGTATGAACACGCCGCGTCCTGCGAGTGCGATATGGCTGGACCACTGGGAGACCCAGTGGAGTCGTCCAAATCACAGTCGACCTGAAGGATTTCTCCGGGTCAGTGGATGTTGCAAAATCCTCATCACGTTCATCCTTGGGTACTAATGCCGCTTGCGTGAGCTCCTCAATTTGCTCCGGTGTCACAGACTGTGTGATGCGTTGGGCACAATCGCCCAGCCAATACTGGATCTCATGGGCTCCGTTAAACATAGATCCAAGAGCGCCAAAGATCTTTGTAGCGATGTAGAAAGCCGCGCTGTTCCTCTGTGTGTCGCTAAGGTCAGGGAGATAGTCGATAAGCTGCCTTTTGACCTGTCTCGTCGCCCCCAAAAAGGTCACACCGTAGACATTGGTCATGACCGTTTGTTTTACAATCTTTCTGGTAACTCTGCCTTCGAGAAGCTTAGCCAGATGCTCGCCATTGGCTGCATCTTGCGCAATGGCTTCCTTCACAAATTCGCACACACCGGTATAGACGTCCGAAGGGCGATCAGATGGTTCAAGATTGACCTGCTGGGCGCCGACACTGTCACCGCCCAGAGCGGCATAATGTTGCAGACCATTGCAAGAGCCATCTTGGTGAATTGGAAGATGAGAGACATATTCGGTGGGATTAGAGAGCTGCAAGGCGTTGCGGAGTTCGCAACATGCTGCCAAAAGCTGCCATGGATCCTCAGCCTGGAGCCACCAACGTCGTCCACGCAGTCCTGCGTTGGCAGAGTCAAGAACATCATCCAAATGTTCCATTGTGAATTGCTCCCGTTCAGACATGCTCGCTTTATCAAATCCAAACAAGTTTGCAATCTGAATTTTCAACCAGCGCATGCCAGATTCTCCAAGTGCCTTGCCCTTATCGAAAAGAAGCAACCCTCTTGAATTATCAGCACCCATCTGATTCATGTAGGGAGGGAGTGGGTAAGCTCTTCCACGGAAATCCATGTTATGGGGCAGATAAAAGACCTCTTTCCGGAAGGCTCGCGCTACCTCAAGCTGAAAGTTCTGGAAGCATCGAACAGAATGGAATCCAGAGCGAAGATTTTCGATTTCACGAACTTTGTGGTGCCACGCTTTTTGCGTTTCGTAGTCGGCATCTGGACTTGGTTGTTCTGGTGTCTTCAGGTCTGGATTCACGGGGGCGAGCTTTCCCACAGATTCACCGCCATTCCAAGCCTCGAGCATCACGTTGAAAACTTGTTCATTGATCTTCCACCCAGTGGCACCGAGAACATCAAGGCCTGCTCGGATCTCCTTCAGCCCATCATCTTTCAAGACAGCTTTGAGGTAGGCTGGTTGTAGTAGTTCACCGGGAGTGGTGCGCACTAGGTTGGACTCGTATATCTTATAACCGCCAGATCTGGGCCCTGTCCAGGGTTTGGGCTTGCAAACCATGGGGAGGTGGCGGGCCAACAGCTCAGGCGGTGGCTCCTTAGAAACAATCTCCACAAGTTTGGGGTTTATGTGGATATGACCGGAGCGTTTTCCGAAGTTAATCCGATAAGAATGGTCGAAGGCCGGTTGCATGGTGAGAACCCTTTTTTTCGTGGCAGGATCCTCGGTCCAGACAGGGGCTTTCGAGACTTCGACTAACATGCTCATCAAGACAGCACCGATTTTGACCTGCGAGCGAGAGCCCCACATCGTTGATTCATCTTCTGCATTGATCTTTTCAACAAGCGACCGCCATCGAAGTCGGCCTTGTTTGTCTTTGCGGTTTGCGAGGGTCTGCTTTAGTGCCTTTAGACGAGTCGGATGCATAGACTTGTGCTTTTTCAGATAGGCATCGGCAATGAGTTCATCCTGCAACTCTTTTCCAACAACTGAAGCGAGGATAGAAAGTTTGACTCCTTTGTCCATCCCTTGGCGACTGAAAGTAGACATCACAGATAACAGAGTGAGTGCAGCTAACCGGTCGGGATCGAGAGCTTTCAAAAACACACCATACTCACAACGCTCTTTTTGTTCCACAGTTACGATACGGGCCGCAAGTGTCTCTTTAACGAGATGCAACTCCTTCTTGATTCTTGCCACAAGGTCGGCGTGCCATTGACTCATGATTTTGTTGAGCTTTTTCTCATCGGAAGCGACGTTCAATCCGGATTTTTGTCTCTCGGCATTATCTTCTCGCCAACGCCAGAGGGCCGCGTCGAGACTGTCGGTTTCAAGTCGTATTTGCCTCAAATCCGCAACCATTTGCTTTCCTTCCTCTTCCGTACCTGCGAAATTTTCAGGCAAATGTACATCACAATTGCCGGAAAAGAGGGACAGGGACTGTTTCAGAGATGTCAGTCCCAATCCCTTTTGGTCGGCAGCTTGCACTTCGGGGGTATTATCGACGATGGTGGTGGACACTTCAGGAGTTTCAGAGAGTTCCATATATTTCGAGACCAAGTCCAGCATGTCGGACGAGCAAATCTAAGTTGGAAATTGGAAACATCAGCATGATTTCAAAGTACAGACTAGAAATGTAAGCTCACCTTAGACAGCTCACCAACATCAGAGTCCTCGAGAACCTCAATGCCGACAAGCTCTTCCTCCATGCCCGCGTTTTGGGCAAGTTCCCAGTATCGACGAACAGTTCTGTCGCGCTTCGATCCATGAAGCATACGCAGCGCCATCCGAATCATAATCGCGAAACTGATTGCATCCGGTGTCACGCCACCGGCAGGCATATCAACTTCGAACCATTTCTGCAACGGCAGAACCATGTCTTGCTGTCGGTGGAGGATCATATACGACACCATCTGCTTCATGAAACGGTTATGAATAAGGAGATACTCCTCCGAGCCAGGTGGATGGTAATGGCCAAGGCGGGTAATCAACGCAGAGGCTCGCTCGAACTCTCCAATCTTCAATGAGAGATCTAGGTTCGCCTTCATCTCCAATTCATCACCGCCGACACCATGCCTCCTGCGGAAGACTTTTGATTGCGATTGTGGTGTCGAGTCGAGGATGATCAGGGATGATGTATCGAAGTTTTCAAAAGGCATATGCATGAAGTGGTCGTAAGTCTCTGGTGAATGCCCATCGATGCTAGAGTGATCGGCGGCTGTAGCAAGGTGACGTTCGGATTGCGCAGATGGATTACGCGAGCGATCGTGAATCGGATGCCCCGACAGATTCAAGAGTGGGTTTCGATTACTTGAATGAAAACGTGTTGTCGGTAAATGGAAGGGTGCTCGGAAGGCCTGCGTCCTCCGGAGTTGAAGGAAAGCATTTTTCTGACAAGCCACACGGGATAACATGGTGCATAAACCGGCGCTTTTGGGGGGTTGGAAATCGGAGGTTGGAGGATTAAAGCGAATGAGAATATAATGACTTCAAAAGAAAAGAAAAAAACGTATTAAGGGTAAATTATAAGATAGATGCAGATTTCCAACGATTATGTCCAGAAAAACAGAACACCGCAATGGTAGATGTTGAGCTAAACCAATGCGATTGTTCCGTTATAGAAGACGGATCGTAATCACGTTGGCACGCTGCCCTGCAACCCTCGACCAAACTGGGAAAAAAGAGGGAAAGGGGGGAGAAAGAAATAAAAAAACACGAAGGCAATGAGAGAAAGGGAGATTTATCGGACCTGTCGCGATGAAACGGAGATGGCAGAAAAACCGAACAAGGCACGTGACCCAGCCCATTCTCTTATCGTGATTGGCGGGCATCCTTGTATGAGTGGCAAGAGCTTCACTGCTTTTTAGGCTAACACGAAGCAGCTATAATTTTGGGATTATGATAAGCTTTCACTAAAAATTGATTGTTTGGATTATTGTACAATAGAACCCTTCGCTATTCGGCCTCATTACCTGCTTGGGCCTCTCTTTGTCTCCGGCGATTTTCCTTCATAGCCCAACCAGTCATGTCGGGGCGCGCAGGATCAATTCTAGGGGCGCTCATTTTATCGAGGTAGGCTTCTGACTCGATGTTTGATTCTAAGGTCGGGAGATTTTCGGTATCCTTGTGAATCATGTAGCTCTCGTATGTGTACCAAGAATCCTCGGCCTGGGATCAGTAAGAATTAGTGGGAAACACAAATCAAGAAGGTATATCAAAGAGACAACATACCTCAGCATCAACCCAGCCGTATGTTTTCCATTTTTCGTCTTGCATTTGTTTAAGAAGGTCTAGATTGCCGGCATTTGCAGCCCCTTCGCCATCTTCAGCGGCCTTGACTTTAATATCAATGGCACGTGCTTCACTCTCGGCAGGGCGTTCATCGTCGTCCTTTTTAGCCCGCGAGCCTTTCGCTTTTGGGATTTCATCTAGAGCATCCAGGTGGTGAAGTTGAGGATGGAACTGGACAACTGATGTGACGGGTGAGAGATGCAAGTTTTCTAAGAATGAGGGTTAGGATCGAATGTTGTCGCCAGAAAAACAAAGCGATCGAGTAGAATCAACGTACTATCCGTGAAGGTGGCCAGCATGTAAACTGGGTCGCCTTCTTCAGAGGGCTTTATCCGACCTCCGAGTGACTGCACTCGCATCAATGATGCAGAATCCACAGCCCTCTTATTATCCACTATCTCCACATCTCCATTCGATTCCATCTTGACTCTCCCCCCTGCAGCTGCAGTCCCGCTACCAGCAGTGAAGCCACCTGCCATGCCATAAGCGCCTCCGTCGCGGGCGGAACGGCTCTTCTTCACCGCATCCCCGTAGCGCATCCCCTTGTTAACGTCGTAGTTTTCTCGGGTAATGATGGGAACTTCGACTTCAATTAGACCGGTGCGCGGTTTAAGTCGAAGTTGAATCGGTCGTTGGTTTTCTTGGTCATTGTAGGGACGGTCGTGCTCTCGATCAACGTATTGGAAAACATAGCGAGAGATATCGGAGTCAGTGAGGAGGACGTCGTAGGAGGCAACAACAGGATCGTCATCGGATAAAGTCATGGCGACAAGGTGAAGATGTATTTTAGATTAATAATGAGCGACCAAAAAGAGGAAAGAGGAAAGAGGAAACTACAATTGCTGCAACTTGAACCGATAACTTTTTTTTTTATCGAAATTCATCGGCGGGGATGTGGCAGAAAGGCTGCCATCGGTTCACCGCCATTGCTTGCCTTAGATTGATATCGATACCTTCAATGTTCCTAGGACCTAGCGTGAGAGACGTACCCCCTGCTCAATTCTTCTTATTTTCCATCGATTGTTGTCAATTCATCTGTCTATTCTCGCACCAACCCGCTACCATGATTCGAGGGCATCTGAACTGCTCGTGTCAACAAGACGTCTGTCACATTTTAGGTTGAGACACAAAGGTTCCTTCTCATTAAGGCAACCAACGATACATAAACCAGTAACAAATGCCTCCGAATAGGGTAGTCGCAAATAAGAAGAGTATCAGGGCCAGCCAAATTAGGCAGTCCAATTCATCCTACAGGATCCTATAGGTCACCATTCAAGCTGTTCCTTTAGATTATGGCAACCAACAATACGCAAATCGACAAAGAAATTCCCCCGGATGGGGTAGTTCGCAAAGAAAAGGACGTCAGGGCCGCCCGGAGCGTCCCATCGGGACCCAGTCAGTTACCATTTAAGCCGTCACCATGACCAACCAAGGTAGGGACTTCTCACCCGTGGACCCTTACCTAAAAAGCACAGACGCCGGCATCTATGAACTTACATGATGTCGGTTGCAATCATGTGAGAATGATACAGTAAGAGGCCAACGTGATCCGATCTGCCTCATGACAAATCATCCAGGAGGATCGGTCATGGTGCTTGGGGGTTAGATGACTGGTGCGATATCGATTGATAGAGATAGTTGGAGTTGGATTTGCACGTCAATATAAACTTGCTCGGCTAAATATTCGATCCCTTGTACTTGCAAGGTTGTATCTGACCTGATAAAACATAGATCCATCGCTCAGGGTCAGGTCTAGTAGATTTCACACGGTCTGTATACTTAGGAGAGTCATGGCACTATCGTCTACAACTAAGAATCTTCAGTCTCATCTAATCTGGCCGAGAGTATCAAGATCCACATTGATATAAAAAGACAATCTAAGAAATGTCGTCCTATTATGATCAAAATTTCCTGCAACTATAATTAATGAATACCCTCATGAGATCCCACATAGATCTCAACCTTTCCTAACTACTTGCCCTGTCATTGATAATGTCTTAGACTGCACATATCTTTCTCCACTTTAGTTGTTTTTTCCCCTAAACATAAAAATATCCATTGCTAAACGCTCGAACCCATATTCGATCCAGTCTCATAAAATAAACCAATCACATCAGGCTCAGACGACAAGCACAAGACTTGTAGTTGTACCTACGAGTTCCACAAGACAACTGCAGGTCCACAGAGAATTATTAGCTAACCGGAGAACAGGGGGTATTCATCTGACTGTCTTGTTCTCCAACAGCTGTATATGTTCCTCTGCATCAGAAACCACCGAGGGTAATGGCAGCATGGCAGGCCAGAATGAAACACATCCAGCCATCTATAAACATCATAAGCCGGGCACATAGCAAAATATATGTATGTCTCAACATACCTGAGCAGGGCTCCTCAACCGTATTCAGATACCCAGCGCCTTCCGTCTTCATCTTATCCTCGGGAGATGCAGTTCGCCGCGGATACCTGCATGACCAATTCAAATCAATGACCCCGCGCAATCACAAATAGGATGCTCATCACATACCTGTGCCTTCCCCAAAAGCAAAAGTGGGCGACGACGCCCACCACGATAATCGCAAAAAGAACGCTCGCAATGACCACGGGCAAAAATGGCCACTCCTGGAGCTCGTGAGAGAAATTTACCAGCTTTCTGTGGCTAGTATGCGTGTCAGTTGTCGTTATCTTGGTGTATGTGCTGTGGTCTGTCCAGTCTATGCTGTAACGGTTCTCAAAGCGAGCTGCTTCGCGCATCACTGCTGGGATAGGTGCCATTTTCGACCGCGACGGTGCGTAGGCTACTGCTCAGTGAGCTGTACGTGTCTTCGAATTCTTTGGGTCTTTTCTGGTGTTGTCAACGCGTTAACGCACTGAGGGTAGGGAGCGATGGAGATCGATAGTCGATAGTAGCAACGATTTTAGATGAAATCACAGCACTGATCAGCGTTGGATTGAATATGGTAATATCGAGAATAAGAGCCTCGGTGCAGGTTGTAAGTTGCGACTGTTACAAGATCTTGAGAGAAAAGAGATTGAAAGAGAGAAAGAAGAATTTGGGGGGAGTTAATGTCTGAAAAGCTGGAGGCTGCCTGGTCACTGACAAACAAATCACAGCTTGAAAATAATCTTAGGGAAGGTGGTCCAGGTCATTTTGACCAAACAAATGTCGAAGAGATGAGTGGAAAAAAGAGCAGACATATTGGAAGTGGTTAGAGGTCTTTCTAATACGACCAGGAGCAACCATAGAGTCGTTTTCTCATGTAGAGTCAAGATTTTAGAAAGTTTAGCTCAAATAGCAATACATATGTGGGTAGCAATATGGTACACCGAAAGGGCATAGTGGATGCAGCAGCATCATCGTGACTCAAAAGCCACAGAAGGAACCTCAGTACCATCCTCCTCCGACTGAGCCTGCATTCTTGTCAAAAACACCCCAGCTTTGACAGCACACTGATCAGCCTCTTTTCGAAAGTTCAGAATCCAAGCAACCATGAGAATATCATGCGGCAAGTGATCCTGCACGAAATACTCCACTCGACCTTCATTCTGCTGCATTTTACTCAAATGCCTCGCCAACCGATCATGTTCCTGACACATAACCTCCCGGCCACCGGAAACAATTAAAACAGGCGAAGGCAGGACAAAAGGGTGCCAGATGGGCGCAAGATACGGCTGGAACTCGCTAGTGATTTCTAGGTTGCCGATCAAATGCTTCGCGCCCCACGCGGGGAATGAGGGTGGGATATAGTCCGTCTGTACATTGGGAATGTTATCCCAGAGATGCTTGTTGCGAGAGTTGGGGATATCACACCAGGGCGAGAAAAGCCACGAGCACGTGGGCGGAGGGAGGATCGTCTCGTCGTCATAGTCGGTGATGTAACGCAGGAGTGCGAGGGCGAGGTGGCCACCTGCGCTGTCGCCACTGAAAACTATGCGAGATGCCGGGATGTGCAGCGTGTGGAGTAGGTATGAGTAGGCGGAGATGGCGTCTTGGAGTTGTGCAGGGAAACGGCCGTTGGGGTTGCAGGCTAGACGGTACTGTAAGCTGAAGACGTGGCTTACTGGTGTATGCCCGAGCAAGCTGTTGGCGAGGAACTTGCATGATGATGTGCGACCGTCTCCAAGGATGTAAGAGCCGCCGTGGAAATGGAGCACGATATGCTTGTCTTGCGTGGTTGTTGTGTTGTATTGGTAGAGTGATGGGAACCAGGTGCCTCCTACAGCCACTGGCTGGATCTCGTCGTCTACTGTGATGCTGGTGTAGAGCTCTGGTGCTCCAGGCTCTATCACGACGAAGCGATCTCCATCTAGACCTGGCTTGAGGGAAAGTGGTGGTTTCGTGCGAAATGCCACGAAAATGCGTAGGAAGACTTTCATGAAAGTATTTGCCAGTGCTTGTCGATATGACCAGTCCTGGTCTTGACGAAAACGAGGGCGTAGATAGAGCAGTGGCGCGAAAGGCGCGTATAGAATCGAGTTCATATTTATCGACCTTCTGAAGCTCAAATGGGCATTGACGAAAGTGTTAAGAAGTGATAAGGTTGGGTCAACGAAGCTTTGGAAGGTTGAGGCCAAAGAGGCACCAGGGGTGATGTCAACCCTGCATCAGCTGTCCAATGTGTCGCCAGCGCCTCCCCTGAGTTGATTCCACGGTTAAGTTTCTGTCACCTTTTGATGTCCAGAGTTACAAGATTACAAGACTACAACCATGTTCTAATTGATCCTGAGATGATAGAAAAATGATATCATTTGAGTATATATGTACGAGCAGACTTGAACTGTCATTGAAATCCACATGAAGAAAGGGAATAAAAGAGAAAAAAGGAAATCTAACATTTTTGCATGGAATCATACAATCGCCAAGACATCAATGCATTGCGACGTGAGATATAAACGTGAGAAAGGGGGGAGAAAGCAAATTTTAGAATCCCATGAGAGTCATAAAAAATCGGAGATTATGTGGGTAAATGCCGTGTTCAGCATTTACTCTTCTTCTTCCTCATCTTCGGCAACCTGTAAGAAATTGTTAGAATCAATAGTGTGGATTTTATGGAAGGAATAACTTACGCCATCGTGGAAGTTCTTTCCGTCAGTGGTGGCCTTGATGACACCAGCACGGATACACCAATCACCGAAACGCTCAGGAGTCTCGCCATCAGTATCACGCTCAAGAGAGTAGCGCTTGAGGAGGCCCTTCATAATATCAAGGATCTCATCCTCCTTGATAGAAGAGCGGTAGCGCTTGTTGAGGCGCTGGCCGTGGTAGCCACCGCCCAGGTACATGTTGTATGCACCGAAGGCCTTTCCGACAAAGGCAACCTCGGCGAGCCAGGGACGAGCACAACCGTTGGGGCAACCAGTCATACGCATGACGATGCTGTCACGAGCAAGACCGCACTCCTCAAGGGTAGCCTCGAGCTTGGTGATCAGAACGGGGAGGTAGCGCTCAGACTCTGCCATGGCCAGACCGCAGGTAGGGAAGGCAACACAAGCAGAGGAAGACAGACGCAAGCCAGAGAAAGCAGTGTTGTCAAGCTTATACTTGGCCATGTGCTCCTTGATGGCGGGGAGGTCTTCATCGGCGATGCGAGAGATCATAAGATGCTGGTTACCAGTGAGACGGAACTCGCCCTTGCCCATCTCAGCAAGCTCGCGAAGACCGGTGCGCATCTTGAAATCGGCAGAATCCTCGATACGACCGTTCTCAATGAAGAAGGTGAAGTGGTTGAGACCAGTATCATCCTTAATCCAGCCGAAGGTATCGACGTTGGACTTGAACTCGAAAGGACGGGGCTCACCGAACTTGAGGCCGTCGGGAAGAAGCTTCTCGACTTCGCCTCGGAAAACCTCAACACCCATATCATCGATGGTGTACTTCATACGGGCGTGCTTACGGTTCTTGCGGTCACCGTTGTCACGCTGCACGAGCATGATCTTCTCGCAGGCAAGGTGGACCTTGTCGGCGGGAATGTATCCGAACATGCGACCAGTCTGGGGGTAGGTCTTGGTGTTGTTGTGGGTGGTACCCATACCACCACCAGCCAGAACGTTGAAGCCCTCGAGGTGGCCATCGGCGCCCTTGATGGCAATCAGACCAATGTCGTGGGCATAGACATCAGTGTCGTTGTGAGGAGGAATGGCAATGGTGATCTTGAACTTGCGGGGAAGGTAGGTAGGACCGTAGAGGGGTTCGTGGTCAACGACAGCATCTCCAGCAACCTGAACCTTCTTGTCGTTGTCGTCCTTCAGCCAAATCTCGTGGTAGGCAGAGGTTGAGGGCAGCAAGTGTTCACTGATCTTGGAAGAAATAGCCCAGGTCTCACGGTGGAAGGAAGACAGCTCGGGGAGAGAACTGCACATGACGTTACGGTTCACATCACCGCAGGCAGCGAGTGTGTCCATCATGGAGTTGTTGATGGCACGCATAGCACCACGAAGGTTGCGCTTGATCACACCGTGGAACTGGAAGGTCTGTCTGGTAGTGAGCTTCATGGTCTCGTTACCGTGTGAGCTACTGATGGCATCCATCTGCAGCCACTGCTTAGGGGTGGCAACACCACCGGCGAGACGGCAGCGAATCATGAAACTGTAGGCAGGCTCAAGACCTTGGGCCTTGCGCTCATCCCGGAGATCACGGTCATCTTGCATGTATGTACCGTGGAACTTGGTCAGCTGCTGATCACTAGCGGGGATAGAGCCAGTGCTCTCGTCAAGAAGAGCCTCAGCGATGGTACCGCGAAGGAAGTTAGAGCCGATCTTAATATCCTCGTTGGTGATCGGGGCAGGCTCCTCGGGCAGACCTTCCACCTTATCGACACCGAGAGACTTCCACAGGCGGGGCTCCCATTCGGAGTACCCGGTCTGGTAGGCATCCGGGTCCTGGTCATCACCGAGGCCAATGTCAGTGAGCTTGCGACCACCCAGGAAAGCGACACGGTCATCAAGGTCCTTTCCAGGCTTGTTGTAGTAGATCTTGTCCTCCTTGCGGGGCCAGTAGTGGCTGTCACCGAGACCGAAAACGGAATAGTTGATGGTGGACAGATCGAGATCACCAGTGTTCTTGACATGCTCCCAAAGGGCACGACCATTCACAGGGAATTCACCCTGGCCTGCAGTACTAGTGATGAACACCACATTCTCTTCAGTGGGCAAGTCCTCAAGAGGGAACTCATCCATAGCAATGACCATGGTCTTTAGGCCTCTGGCGCGACCACGGTTGCCAAGACGCTTAGCAATATTCTGGGCATTACCACCGTCGGATGCGAAAAGAATGGTGAGAGGAGCACCAAACAGACCATCCAAGAGCTTCTCATAGGAGTCCTTGGCATTTCTCTTTTGCAGAGCACGAACCTCAGTGCCGTAAGACTCAGAGAGAACAGGGGCATACTTGGGGTGGCGGTTCATGAGCTGGGTGAGCTGGTTGTCCCGGCGGAGGAACTCCTCAAGATCACGCTTGATGCGCTCGGAGTCAAGGGAGAACTTTGGCTCGCCCTTCTCCTCGTTGTCAGGGTTCCAGCGGTACAGGGGCCAGTAGCCGAGATCGATGGCCTTCTTGGTCTCCTGCAGCACTGTAAGTGCCGAGTCGTTCTCTTGATTGTAAGGCAGGTAGGCGACAACAACCGAGGGACCGTTGAACTGCTGGGCCTCAGACATGGCCTGAAGAACCTGGGTGTACGAGCTGTAAACAGCGACGGAGGCGACGTATGCGTTACCTCTGTTCATGGCATAGAGACCAATATCCTTCTTGCGGCGAGTAGCGTCAGATGCAGCGCGCT